ATGCCCATCCACAAGCCCCGCCCGAGCGCTGCTGATTATTGAACAGGCGGTCTGTTGCTGTTATCTTCTGACTGTTCAGGAGTCGTGCGTACATGAAACCTAAACCACACTCACGCTCTTGCTCAATGACACAAGTGTTCCCTCTCTTCGAACATCATTAAAGATTGTTGATGAATCTCCTGGATTGCTACAGTCGTTCTAACTGAAGACTCAGGCCAGGCTTGTGTACGCCATCCTGACTCATGATGCACTGATTATTTTTATTTTTTTACCGTGGCTTTAAAATAGTCTCATGGTTGTGGATGGATTTTGTTCTGATGACATGGAGGCGACTCACTCGTCTGCTCCTTTTTAAAACACCTTTTAGAACATGACACGTTTTATTCTCAGGCAATGTAAAGACATATTAGATGTCACAATAATCAAACAGCAAACGAATATATTGAGGCCTTCAACTTACTTCGATCCAGTGGGGAGTAAAAGTGGGGTCGTCTTATATTCGGGGGTCTAGATTTTTTAATTAAAATAAACAACAGTAGACCGAGCCACTTATCTCTATACAGTAGTAAGTGTGCACCGCCGTGACTGAGACTAGCCATCGCCCACAGCTGCAGTACAAAGAGGAGACACTGTGATCGTCTGTAACAAAGTGGCTCAAAAGGAGGTCAAGTTAACCGCCATTTATGCTGTAAATATTGGCTTTTTCTTTTAGTGTGTATGTGACTACCAGGGATTTTACAACTGCTGCCATTTGCACTTCAACATTGGATTAATTTTTCAACACTGGAGGTTGCCACAATTCAGCATTTTACCCCGTCCAACGGGGTCCAACCCTGCCTTTAAGGTCTCTCTTTAAATACTTGGAATAAGACTCAACAGAATTGTGAGTGAAACGTTTTAAAATGGGAGTTGGGTTTGCAGGAAAGAGAGAGACGTTGGACACCCTGCTGTGTATTAAGATAAGAGAGGTGTGTTTGTGCGAAAATAACGCGTTAACGTGCCCAGCCCTAGTATACAATAATAAGTATACCGAAAACTGATGAAACTTCTCATTAATTAATTATCGCCGACAATTATTTTATCTCGCATTAACGCAGTTTTTATTATTTATTTTCTTATTGTAAAAGTCTGTTGCTCACTGGCTTTTATTTTGTAAAATTCCATCGTGAGCGAGCCTAGTATGTTGCTTACTGCTGCGCATGACTGCTGCGGCGCTCACAGGAAAGAGGAAACAGTCAGAAAAGAATTGGCGGATAATCAAGCATGGACAAGTGTACGAAACTTTTACATGGCCATTTTCATTTTAAAGTTCTTCCAGACGGCGCAGTTGACAGAGCCAAAGTTATTTGGCTTAAGTTATTTGTAACCACTGCGAAGTTGAATTTTCTCATCACTGGAGTACTTGATAAGTACTCCAAAATATGTTGCAGCCAGAAACTCAGGCGGACGCTGAAAGGTCGTTTCACTTGTCTTCACTTTATTTAAGCGTTTAAGACCCAGTACCTTCATTCACTCTGCCTACGAGTCTCTTCAGCTGCTGAATAATAACTACAGCTTTCTTGCTAACTCCGGAGCATCGCAACAACAAAACTCTTCTTCTATGAACTCCTGCATGTCACTGTCACTCACAGACTCCACCTAGTGGTGTAGATTATGCAGCACATTTAATTAATAACATGTCAACATCAACTGCTTGAATAATGTTGCAGTTCAGAAAAATACATTAACATTAGCAACTTTGAAGATGAAATCAAAAAGATTATAAACTAAGAATTTTAAAATGACAAGTACAACAAAAATTAGTTTGTAGGGTCCCCGATAACCAAACAATAAACATCAATGTTCTCAATTGACCTGTCACACTCTCCCCCACTTCAAAAATGGCGTCCCGACATTTTCATTATACCTCTTATAAAACCTTTCTGGGCAGTTTTTTTTATATAACAAACAGGATGACATTATGCCCTTGCAGTGGCAATACGCTTTAGTTTTGTATTTATTTGCTTTGATTACATTGTTTAAGTTGAGAGTACATTTACAATAAAAGTGCGCTATACACTACTTTTGAATTCATTATTGGATTTTGCGTATAACAATGCGATTAATTGTGATTAATCACAGGAACTCATGCGATTAACGCAATTAAAAATTGTAATCGTTGCCCAGCCCTATTATATACTTATTTATTCAGATTTTAGATAAGGTCAAATTCACTTAAAAAGGTTTTGTCATACTGGGGCATAACTGACGGACACAGTTTGTGTGTGAAGACGCTAATGAAACTTAGCAGTCTCTGAATCTATTTTTTTTTGGGGGCTTTTGTGCTTTTATTGAAGAGACGGGACAAGTCAGAAATGAGAAAGAGAGGGTGGGGAACATCTTGTGGCAAAGGAGCCACAGGTTGGAATTGAACCTGGGCCACCCATGTCAAGGACTTCTGCCTATGTACATAGGGCGCACCTTCTAACCACTAGCCCACCTGCGCCCGTAAACATGATCATCTAGTGGCTAAAATGGAATAGCTACAATCTTTAAGAATATGACCTGTTTGAGTCAAAAATCCATTCAAACATAGATTATAAATATTTTGTCTTATATAAACCATGTAAATGTACGAGGAATCTCCTTCAGTTACCTCGTCAATAAACAGAAAACTGAATTAAGCTCTCTGCAAAACAAAGACTTCCAGCACACGTTGTTTCAGGCTGAAAGATTTACAAGCCTCGCGTCAGTCTCAATATTAATATGAAAATGATTAATTTATTTTTTCCTTTATCAGATAATCTATTAGGCTTGGCATGTGAAAACAAAAACATTGGAAATGCCAGGACCCCTGAAAAAAGAAGTACTTTGGACAGCTTTGAAAGGAACTCTAGACGAGAAGTGTTAGATTATCAATATCTGCCTGAGGTTTGTCGTCACATCATGTGAAGCCCATTGCACACCGGCTCTGCTATCTTTATTAGTGATGACAACAATGATAGAGCATGTTTTGCTTCAGGTTCGATATTACTGGAAACTCCTGGCTGAGGTTGTAAATATGATGTAGTCGTGCCCAGAAATGATGTAATTGTTTTGAGGATTAAGTATTCCCTATCTTGATGTTCATAAAATGTCTTTGATATGAACATCAGGCTGAAAATCCTCCCTACCTTGATGCTTTTGAACATAAGCACACAATGAACTCATTATGTAAAAACAGTATTACATGATAACCTCGTTATAAAAAAAGAGCAGCAGGTATGGAAACAGTGTGTTCACAGAGCTAAAGTTACATTACGGATACTGTAAAGCTGTCAGCTTAAAGGGCAATGGAGGACACATGTGTACCATTAAAAAGAACAGTGATAATGAAGGTTAATGCAGAAGGGTTTGGTGGGAAACAATTGCAGCACAGTATAGCAATATTATGTGTGTTGATATGTTGACACATGGACGCCATTAATATATACTGTTGTTTAAATTATCAAGATGATATCATAAAATCAAATTTAACTTATTAATGCAAGAATGTTTCATGACATTACTTTTTTCAGTTTGAAAGTCTGTTGAGTTTTTCTCAGCTAAAGTCAGCAGGATAGGTGTGAAGTTGGTGGAAATAGAGATAAAGGGGTCGTTAATTAATTTCAGTTGAACAGTTACAGTATGTGTTTCATATTCTGGGATTGCTTCATGACTTCAATTTGCATTGGTTTAAATACCTATATTAGTAAGGCAGTGCAAACTGCTTTGTGCAGAGCCCCCGACGGATCAGCTTAAAAGTAAACATTAAACTTCTTGTTATTCCTTATTTCCCATATTTTATCAATCTGTTTGCACACATTTCGCAATCTGGGGGGCCAACATTAACAATCTGTGGGCATGGATTTGTAAACTGTGGGAACAGATTTGTAAACTGTGCTCGTGGATTTGTAAAATGTGTGCACATTTTTGTAAACTGTGTGCACGTTTTTGTAAACTGTGCTCGTGGATTTGTAAACTCTGTGCACGTTTTTGTTAAACTGTGGGCACGTTTTTGTAAACAGTGCTCGTGGATTTGTAAACTCTGCACGTTTTTGTAAACTGTGTGCACGTTTTTGTAAACTGTGGGCACGTTTTTGTAAACTGTGCTCGTGGATTTGTAAACTCTGTGCACGTTTTTGTAAACTGTGTGCACGTTTTTGTAAACAGTGTGCAGTGTGGATTTTTAACCCGTGGGCACAGATTTGTAAACTGTGGGGACAGTTTTTATAAAATGTTGGTACGGACTTGTAAACTGTAGGCATGGATTTACAAAGTGTGGGCATGGACTTGTAAACTATTGTCCAGGATTTGTAAACTGTGTTCATGGATAAGTAAACTGGTTGCGTGGTTTGGAATTTAAAATTAATTTCTTCAGAGCTTATGTCCCATTTAAAATCCTTAAAACTAATGATTACCCTTTTTATGAAATAGGTAAATGTAGCGATCATTTTTTTGTAATTTACTTTAGGAGTGAGACATTTATTAATCAACTCTACTTTCACACAAGTTAGTCAGACGACTGCTCAAGTATAACAATCTTTCCTTCATCAATCTCATCCACAGCGACTGACTCTGCTTCTCTTCAGAGAGTCAAGGCTGTAAAAGCCTTTCATGTTGAGCTAAATTCAAATCCTTGCGCTGCGTCTAAGACAAACCATAAAGGAGATGTGTCAGTCGCTGACTGAGATATGTCAGTCAGCGACATGTCAGAGATATGTCAGTGGCAGGCCGCCATCCAAATGAATGGTAGGGGAAACACTGAGCATGCATCCATTACTAAGTTCTATTGAGTTTTGTTCTCTGCTTAGTGAACTAAATACATCAGATCTGTGACATACAGTAGGGAAAATAATCTTACCTCAGGCTTTATCAGTCATGACTGAAATAGGCAGTCACTCATTGAACAGTTTGGTGAACCTTGGACTGATATCTGTATGAAAATATGTGCACGTACTCCTGTGTTGGATTCAGGAGATCTTAGCTGTTTGGACTCTTACCTCACATGACTGAATACAGTGGATGTGTCGAGGGTCAGGGTACCACTTCATCATCCCCGTGCAGACTATACTCTGGAAAACAAAGCACATAGCAATAGTTGAGCAATGGAGTCAGAGGGAATGAATAACACTGTGTTTGCCATAAAAACAAGATGACACAAAATACTCTTTCTGAGCGATTTTATTTACAGTCAAGGTATTTGAGTTGAATCATTGACTTAAAATGAACATTCAGAGCTTAGTCTGTAGCGTGTGTCCTCATTGGTCACACCAGTGACTTTCCCAATGAAGATGTGGATAACGTGAAATTACCAATCCATAAATCCAGCAATAGGTGTTCTACAAACGGCCTGTTTCAGCCCACATCATCAAATTGTCACTGAAGCAAAACAGCATTCTAGTGTAGATATATATTTCATAAAATGTTTTAAAATATAAACTTGTTAAAATATAATTTTGTTTGACAGATGTAATAGTTTCTTAATTTCTTTCACTATAGTCTGGTCTGAATCCAGCCCTCTGCTGGGATCAGGATGATCACACTGGAGGTTTTACAGTATACGGATTGAAACCCTGATTAGATCGCCTGATTATATCTGATTATGTAACCCCTTTTGTCTTTTGAAACAACACGATTTCAAGATTGAATGAAAAAGGTGATATTTAATCTCATCTGTTAGCTTTAATAATGTTGGATTCCAACCAGTCCGTCGGTAATACAAATTGGTATTAGGCAGTAAGGGTTTTGATGAATCCATCCATCCATCCATTATCTATACCGCTTACCCTTGGGGTCCAAGGGGCTGGAGCCGTTCCCATTTGTCATTGGGCGAGATGCGGGGTACACCCTGGACTGTTCACCAGTCAATCACAGGGCTGACATATAGAGACAGACAACCAGCCACACTTACATTCATACCAACCGGCAATGTAGAGTCACCAGTTAACCTAACGAGCATGTCTTTGGACTGTGGGAGGAACACGGAGTACCTGGAGAGAACCCACACATGCACAGGGATAACATGCAAACTCCACACAGAGAGACTCCTGGCCGACGGGGATTCGAACCAAAAACCTTCTCGCTGTGAGGCAACAGTGCCAACCACTGCAGCACCGTGCCGCTTGGATTGATCTAATCCAGTTAAGATAAAAAAAAATTTAAACCTGACAAAAGTGAGATTAAAAATGTGATCATTGGTGGGAATTTTTTTTTATTACCAAATCCGTATCAGACCTTCTGAACAAACTGGGCCAAGAAGACAGAATTCATATTTGCTTTCTTTTTTCTAAATCATGACAAAGGCAGCCACACCATGAATGGTTAAATAAAAGTAAATGGTACTCCATCTTGTATATTATGGCTATTCTAATCTTTGTAGTGTTTGTTACATATTTATACCAATTATGATGGAGGAATAATAATTGTTTTAATACAACTTATGTGGATGTAAAACTCAATATATCAAGGTCAGATTTGGATGAGGCTACGTTCTCGTCTCATTTATTTGACCCTGGGAATTTACACGGTGGTCAACAGAGAGCTGACTGACTTACAAACATGGACAGAGACAGTGGATGGATTCTCCTGTGTAAGCCTGACCCAGCCGGGGAGACCTGATTCTGGAGTATTTGAGATAAGACAATGCAAAAAAAGACTCTGGCAGTGTAAGAGATATGGTGTAAGTAACCCCACAGCCATCCAACTATTTGACCTTGGCAAGGTTAGATTAACCGGCAGACTGAGTGACTGACCGACTGACCACCCAAAACTGGAGCAGTGTTAACGTAGAAGCGATTCTTGAGTTATGATATTAGGTCAGAAAAAATCTCCAACCAAAGATCTGACATTCCTAAAAGTTCGTCCATGGAGGTTTGTGTACACTGTGTGTTGGAGAAGTGTGTGTTTTCTGAAGGACTTGACGTCAGCTGGAACCTTTACTCTCGCTATCTGCATCTGATTTCCAGTGATACAAAAACACTTGAATGATAGCCCACTCGTACTGACACAAACATGATGTGGATTCTGCCGTGCGATTAGCTGGTAGAGCTGGGAATTTGAAATCTTTTCCTAGAAATTTGAAAGATAATACCCTTGCCAACATTTCTGTCAAAAACACGTTATGAAACACATCTGAAACATTAGAAACGCTCTGCTGCAGTTTATTCTCTGTGTTGTTAGAGATTTCTGAACCCATTTCAGAAAATGTATTCCTGTTTGTTTTTAGCTAACCTCGATTACCACAAATTACGTCAATCCAATATTAGGTCTTCTAAAGGTTAGAAAATATGACTCAGAACAAAACACCTGAATGTAGAAACATTGATCTTCAACCTTTATTAGGAAGAGCTGAAAATGATCTCACCACCACTGACTGGTTATGTTTGGTGAGACTCAGACGATTGTCTACTTTTGAAAATGTTAATGCTGTAATTATTTATTTCAGTGTTAAAAGAAATATAAGAAAGATTAGAAGGGAGATATCCCGATAGTATCAAAAAGTACAGAAGCTTAAAAAAAACATCTTCAGTCATATTCTAACCCAAAGCTGTAGTGAGCAAAAGAGAGAGAGAGCAGCAGTGATCCATTCAAATTCACAGGTTAGAAAATACCAAAGTTTCTCAAGTTCTTTAGGCATTTAAGTTACGCTTTGGTGCCAAAACATTGCCACCGTATTTGTGAGATTTACACAGTTAGCATTTTGCTAAATAAAAATAAGACATTACCCAAAATAAAAATTCAAATAATGATGGATAAGCTGTCTCTGAAATACAACATGAAGTTAGGTCAACTTTGCACAGAAACTGACATCAGACTGTCCTTCAGAGGGACACTTTTTCCTCTTCTAATCAGTGAGTGCATTTCAGAGCCTGTGCTTTTTCACTTTTACTTCAATCAAAAAGCTGAATCTCTACTTCTTCTTTCCTTCGAGTCTTTCTTTAGACAGCAATCTGAACTTCTACTTTATGACACTTCCGATGTGAAGTAACAAGATATGAATTCTGTGGCATATACGTGTGGCAGAAGCTCCTCTATGTTTACTGTATGTCGTCTGTCTCGAGAATGAACTCTGCGTACACTTATCAGTAAAGGTGAGTCAGTCTGGAGCAGTAGCTCCGTCTGCTTCATGCTGTTAAGACCACCAGATGTTTGGATGCGTTATTCATTCTGATGGATGTTTTTCTGCAGTAATCTCAGTGCTGTTTGTCGGCGGATCAGCTTTCACAGAGTCCTGATCTGGTCGCATGGCAGCGAGTGAGCAAAACAACAACTGCTTTTAAAAAAAAAAAAAAAACAGCACAGAGTTTCCAAATGGTAGCAGAACTACAATCACTAGCTCTGTCGCAGTTATTTAAGCCAATCAACCGACATGATGAAACATGGTACAGCTCAGCAACAAGTCCAACTTTGCAACCCGATCCTACAGCACCCACCCTCTGAACTCTGCAGTGTATTCAACTGGATCTATTGGGCATGTACAAGAATCATGGATTTACATGTGTGTCTTGAATGCCAGTTTTTGAAGTAAACTATTGCATGACAAATGTGGATATTCGAAAACTGGCTCTATTGAGATGCAAAACTATGCTTGAAGTAAGCTGCCAATAGTAGATACTGTACATTTTGATATCTAATACAAGCACAATGATCATGACAAGGGCCAAAACTACAAAGATCTGCCATTTCTTCACAAAATATGTACTACTATAAAAAGCTTTGAAGCGGTGTTTAGTACAAGATTGGAAGGAAAAATTTACAAGGAATAGCCATCCAAAGTTCTTAAGACTGAAATTTAGAGGGGGGCACACCACTGCTTGACACTATTGGGTTGCATCATGGGAAAAATCTACGTTTTTAAAGGAGCAATATGTAGCTCTGACACCTAGCATTTAATATGGGTACTGCAGTCCAAATTCAAAACATTGTAGAGAGCTGTCTGCCCCCTCCCCCTCCTCCTTAGAGTCGAACTGCATGCAGGTTGCCATGTCTTGGACACTGAAGCTTCAGTGTTTATCCAGCTCTGCATGGGTCTGTAAACCTTTCTGTGTTCTAACCTCTCTCCATTTTTCAAAAGCATCTCCAATATTGATCCTAGTTTGAGCACGTTTCTGCTCGTGGAGCTTATTAGAAACATGCAGAGGCTTTTTAGGTCGGGTACAATCACTTCTATCTGAACCAGTTCACTTGGCCGCTTCCATTGCTTCAACACCTGATGGTTTGACCTGATAACTGTTCTCATATCTGGTAGAACAAGAGGCATCCAAATGGCCAAGTGGGGGTGTCTTAAAATGTCCTAGCTTCTCTGGTCCAAACAAATCCAGAGCATTCAGGAGCAGAATCTAAAGTTAGAAGGAGGACATACTGGCTGCTGCATTGTTGTCAGAGAAGCCAGCACTTCAACACAGCATGTTTCCTTAATGTCTGATCATATAGTAAGGTCATTTTATGATGTCATTCATTAGATGTCTTACATGTTGGTCCTTTAAGCTTGATATAGTCTAGGAGCCAAAGGTAATCATGTTATGTAATTGCATCATATTTGACTGTGCTGCTTCAGATTTCATCATTTATTCATTAACCCCTCTCTTCCAAGTCTCCGGACAGTATGGATGAGCTAGTCAACACTTAGAACTAGAAAGAAAACTCTATCTTGGGAGGCAGTGGATAAATCTAAACGTGCATCAGGGTTGGGCAGCTTTTACAAGTTCAACAGACTGAGAGAACTGAAGCTTCTGTGCTAAACGTCAAAGGGTTTCTCAGTGCGCCAGCAAAACGTCCAGTTAGCACGTTGTCTCCAGTTAGAATAGACTAAAGGATTTGTTCATCTGTTGTATCTTCAGTCTGTGTCAGTGTGGCAGGATTAATTGTAAAAAAAAATGTGGAGAGATGAATTCTCCTTTATTCTGCTTTTAGTTTTAGATTAAATTCTGCTTCTAAAAAAGTTAGTTAAGAAAATATTTCTTATTTTATTTTATAAACCACTCTTAGGAGGAATAGGGTACATAAACAGTGCACTGCAGTGTTTTTTTTTTAGTTATGTAGTTTCGGATAATCAAACGGCCTGAAGGAAAAACAGAGTTTAGGAAAGTGGCGTCCACCATTGAACACTCTGTGACGCTGCAACACAGCCTTGCTACTTTATCATCTCTTCAACACGACACATGTTTACATCTTGCAGAAAAACTGAGATATTAAGATAGATGTGGGCCCTTGCAGCTCTTATACAGCACACAAGATAGTATTTCAATCGCAAAAAAACCCAGCAAAGAACCTCCCGTCAGTGATGTTAACATACACGTATATAGAGGAGGATCTTTCCCCTTACATCGCTGCCATAATGAAAGCCTACAAAAGTGAAGAGAGCTTTATGTACTTTCGATGTGGCTGGGTCAATAATGCTGCTGTTTGGAAAGTGAAGAGCAAGAGATTCTTCATCATCCAAGTTTCGTTGAGTGCTAATTAGCAAACACTAGCTAGCTAATGTTTCCAAACGATAGTACCAGGCTCACAGATGTCACTGTCAGTCAGTGTGCTAGATAAAGGCAGTAATAACACAACCCAACCCCAGGCTCGTGTCCTTGATGGTTAGGAAGCCTTTCTTGCCTGCTACAGAAAGCTAATCTTTTTTCTGTGCCATCACAGAACAAAATAAGATTTAGGAGAACTCAGGTTTCTAGCAGAAGAAACACTTACTGAAGTAACTTGACCCTTTCCTCAGGTGTCTTACCTCGACTTTGGTGGGTAACATCCAGTGTTTTAAAGAGTCAGTTGTCGTGCCGTTGGGCAGGACTACAGGATCGCGCAGATCCATGTCCAGAGCCACAATGCATGTTGGGTAGCAAACAGCACCTGCAAGGAAAATAAAACCAAACAGACATGGAATTTAAAGGATTGGTTAGTTTCTCAGGTGGGGTTGTATGAGGTAGTTGTCATTGGTAAGTGCCTCAGGAGATTCCAGTCAGTGCGGCTACTTTAGAGAGTAACCAGCACTGAACATTTGTGGAGTTTATAATATTACTTCAGACTCCGCTGTCATAAACACGTTTGTCTGACACCATCATTGGAGCGTGTCTATCCAATGTACCCTCCTAAACTCATACTCTACTCTTTATTGTGAGTTTTAAAAAAGAGCCTCTGTTGTTGCCGTAGCTGGGTAAACAAGCAGTGACATGTTGGCAATTCAATCTTACTTGGCAATCACGCTTTCCAGATTTTTGACAGCAGTTTTATAGAGGCGGTATCACATTTCAGATACAAATAATCTTTTCATATTTCCACGTTTCGTCTCCAATCTAGTCGTTCTCCACTGATAAAAAATGTTCCACTCACCGACATCCATCCCCTGGTCACAGCTGTACTCCACAGAGTTGAGATCGGGAGGAGGAGAGCAGGATCCCTTGAGTCTGGAGCACATGTGGAACTCTGCAGTCCATTTACCATCCTTACTGCAGCGAATCTCACTCTGGAAACAAAACAGAGATACCAATGTTCACTGTGGTCATCGAGTTACTGTGTGATAAACATACATGCTTCAGTATCCCCAACACACTGCCAGAGCAACAATTTGGCAAATATCCTAAATGTCCTCAATCTTTGACGAGCAGAAACGTTTGACTGCTTTCAGACGGACGAGAGGAAGTCGACCAGCGTGAAAACAGCAGCACTGGAAAGATCATACCGTATAAATACAGATTATATAATTATCTCCTAATATTGACAACAGGCATGAGACCATCATCTGTTAGCACTAATAAAGGAGTTGTTGTTTTTAACTTCTGCACAGACAGGTATTGATGGAGATATTGGTCTCACTATCTCTCTCTCGCAGGCTGGACTCCTGTAATGGATTATTCACTGATCTGTCAAAGACGTCAATTAGACAGCTCCAGCACACACAGATTCATGCGGCCAAGTTTCGAAACACGGACCAAAAACTAAGCTGAGCTCATAAATCACAGATCCATGCACTTGCTACCAAAATCCTCACACAGTCAACTTCCAAATTCTCCTACTGACCCATAAATCACTAAATGGGTTAGACCCTCGTAACCTGTCAGACAACCTGACCCAGTACAGACAGACCTCACGGACAGACTTCTCAGATCAACTGATTCTGGATTATTGGCTGTTCCCCTGAGTAAAAACCAAACATGGTGAAGCTGCTATGCCTCTTGCATAAAGAGGGGACAAAGAGTGGAACAAATTCCCAGAAGACCTAAGACTGGAGACAGTCCTAACTACTTTTAAATCCAAGCCAAAGACTCATCTGTTTAAAATACCTTTTTAATTCATATTATTTTACATTCAATGATATCGTTTTTTCATTGATACTTTCTGTACTTCTTTTGTTTTAGCTTCATTGTGTTTTTTTCTGGTTTTTAATTGTTCTTTTGGATTGATCTTGTTCATGACAAGTCAAAATTTGCCTTGCCTTGATGGAAGAGACAATCAGGAATGACTAAATTTAGATCTGGCCTACATTTAGATGGCCTTAATGTGTCTTTAAATAAAAAAACATTTTGCCACATACACAGCTGAAATGTTGCTGACATGTTCATAACAAGGTGTTAGTGATGCTGCATGACTGAACACAGTTTTAGAGCATCTGTCCTTCTAAGAGGAAAATCAGCATCATATTTGACATCCAATTTACCGGTAAAATCTACTACTTTAGATAAATAAGCATTAGATAATGATTAGATAACTGGATAATGATCTTACATTATCGGTGGTATCGGGGCACCGCAGGGTGCAGGCGGTGTCATAGTACAGGCCGTTGGTGCAGGTGTACATGCCCTGGAACATGTCAGGTAGGGCTGGGCAGGATATGGGCTCACAGGTCGTCTCCTCCCATTGCCCCCCCTCCAGGCAATCCAACTTAAAGTACTTTCTAAAGACAAAGACAGGCAATAAATGTTGTCTTAGTGATCTTAGTTCAGGACATTATAAGAGTTTAAGAAACACCTGAGAAGTCTAACAAACTTAAGCTTATGAGCACAATGAACAAAACACATTTGATAAGGCTAGATTAATTAGCAGGCTAATGTTAGCACGCTTTAGTTAGCCTGTAGCTTCACATTGCATGTTAATTGATATGGAATGACCAGTGATCTAAAAACGCTTACGTGACAGTCAAATAATCAGTGAGTATGTTCTTCTTTTCTCTAGACCTTGACAAAAACAGCTTTTATACACAAGGGGAGGAGCCGGCCGTCCATCCAACACGGCTCCGACAACAACCCAGCCAGCGGGACTCGCACTTCTCACTCATTGTAGACAGTCATGACTCAGAGACACATTTACACAGGAGAGACTTGATTTCTGCTGTATTTATGTGTAAATTCAAGAGGATGTTTCACAAACATTTCAACCTTAAAAGTGCAACAAAGACAAAACAATCTAAACTTTTTATTTGTCTGAATCCTTGTTGTTTGGTAATTTTCAGCCACCAAGAGCACCAAATTGAACTTAACTTTCAAAACATCGGGGTATATGGGGTTTTATTATGAACTCCCTCACCTGCACCCTATAGCCTTGCTTACCTTTTCTGTTTGTCTATTTTTTTTCTTTTACTGCTTCAAGAACACAAACCATACTGAGCACAGAGGACTGCCCGCTTTCCAATGTGGTGCAGATAGTGTGTAAATGCATCAGTATGTGTAACAATCTTAAATTTATGTGGGTACATGTGTCAAAGGTAGGAGTAAAGAGCCTGTTTAAAGCTCTTTAATAGCTGCTGCTGTTCACTTTCACATGCTGGACTGATAAAGTGTCCGGGGTTATTACCATGTTTACCCAAAAGTTTGAGAAAGCGTAACTCATAAAGATACTCGGCTGCAAACAGATCTTAACATTAAAGACTTTTCCCCCTCTATCCAATGGAAAAACAATGTAATTCATTGGTATTATTATGTATTTTTAAAGGATTTAGGAATGCTAAATGTCAGCTCGTTCAATAACAATAAGGAAAATAAAGTATTACCATGTGTGTATGTGTGTGTGAATGTACACACTTCGTGATAACTGCATTCATTTATAATCTGTATGTTTAACATTATTGTACAAAAGCTCAATAACTCCACAGATATATGAGAGCTAGCTCCATGTAAGCTACCGAAGAGGCTGTTTCTCCTCCTGTTAGGGAGCCCTCAGCTCCCTAACAGGATGTAAACTGTGTTCAGTAATGAGCAGTTACCAAATAAATGTAATTGGCAATGTAACGACAAGGCGCAGTAAGCAGCACCACATATTTTATTGGACCCTAATGTGAGCAGAGTATCGTTTTACAACACAAACACATAAATGCCTCCTTTAACTGTACCCATTGATTCTTCAAACTATGCCCTGGGGGTCTGGGTGTTCATGGGATGACTTGTTACACTGTTTCATAAAATATCAAAATCAAAAATCATTATTTTTAGCTGTGCATAATGGGCTTCTTGTAAAAAAATAAATAAATAAATGAAGGCATTTCCTCTGTTAAGAAGGGAGGCATGTTTGATAAAACACTGTAATTATTTACTTTGGCCAGTTATCAATGCAGACTCAAAGCAAAAAGCAGACAAAAGACTCAGGGCCTGATTCACAGAAGGATTGTGCTGTTTCCCCGCCTGTTAAACCTGTGCAAAGGAATCAAAAAGAAACTGTCTAATTGACAAAACACATGCAGGGCTGTTAAATGCTCCCCCGACTGCACCGCAGAGCAAACAGGGTCCTGATGAGCACGTGCTGTTTGCGTGTATTCAAATGAGCCATTAGGAATTCATCTGGGAATGTCTCTTTACTATGCAAATCAGCGTCATTGCAAAGCACCTTAATTCACCAACACCGGCACTACAGCCACGCACGACCAGAGTAACAAAAAACAGTTGGTCTGATGAGTTGGTGGTAACTGCGCCGCAGTATTCATAAAAGATATCACTCGCAAACTTTCCAGGAAAGCAATTCTGCCTCAGTATGATTGAAAAATAAATGATCTGTATTCAAAGTCTGTACATATAACCTGTACTGTACACTGACATATAATATAAACAGTGGTTAAATCAGTACGGGGCTTCCAGACGCTCCAACTTCATCATCTTCTATTGAGACGCTTTGGAGCTGTTACACATGAGGTGGGATTTTATTCTTTCTTCCATTTTGCCTTTTCTTGCTCCATTCAGAGGGGAAGCTCTATTTTAAACGATGAAACTGACTGAAGTCTGGCATCAAAGTACACCCTGAAGAGGTTTTATCTTCCCTTCTAGCTCCTCATCCTTATTTGGACAAAAAAATAAAATAAACCCTGCACCTGTCAGGCTGACAGCTCAACTCTGCACAGAGTAAGGTGCACACAGGTGCAGATAGCTTCTCTCCACATTCAGACACAAAACAGGAGAAAACTGCACAGAAATGATTAAATTGGTGTGTTTCCACCTAAATATCATCAGCGCTATATGCTTTGTGAATTAGACCTTGAGATGTATAAGATATCGGGAAGCAAGTGATGCATAAGCGTTTGAGTATTTAGAGGCTGCAATCCGTTCGTAGTGAATGAGGCCTTCAGTATGTTATTAAAGTCCATTGTACTTCAGTAGTTTATGCCATTGTATATTAAAAAATGCATTGCATCAGTAATCTGATACACAATGTATGGGGTTATCCTGAAAACTTCCATCCCAGAATGTATACAGTGTGTTGTTTTCCCTGTCTTGGGTAGTGTTGTATACGGCTTAACATTGATTGTGATTTCATTGTTAACACAATTCACTATTTACACATTGCAAAAGTCTGAAATGATCTCTATAAATAAGAAAAAGTATTTCATCAACAAGCCATGCTTTGTCATTCAGCAGCGTGTATCACTTGTTGGATGGAGGCCTGGGTATAATGACCATGCTTTCTCACCGGTTCAAGCTAGCTACAACAACCATTGGATTAATTGGTGCCATGTTGGTGCCCACAAAGATTTTTGTATGTGCATGATTCTAGTGTCAGACCTCTTAAACCATTATTGTGTGTCTCCTGAGCTACCAGCTGGCATGTAACACTTACCTCAGTGTCTTCTTTTTGATGCTCCCTGTTACGTAGAAGCCCGGGTTGCATTTGTAGCGGCAGACAGAGCCCACGTCGTGCCCTGAGGCCCGACAGTCTGCTGATAGCAGCTTGGCGTTGGGTACGTTTGGAGCCTCGGGACACTCTATCTTGCAGTAAGCCTCCGGGAAAGACCACAGACCGTCCTCCAAACACACCAACCTGTCGCTGTCACCTGTGGAGGGAGACGTAGAGGAGGGGCTTTTTAAAAAAAATAGTTCAAAGTATAGCTCGGCTGAGGAGGGAAATAGTACCCAACAGAACTTTGATCTCAGTAAGTGTTGAGTTGTGTGATCATTTTAGACTCAGTATGTTTGCATAAGCTCCATATTTCCTTAATTCTCACCTGAATTTAAAGGTGAGGTTGTCATGGTTAATTAGGCAGAATTTTAACTAATGGACAGTCTTCACTCCACCTTTACAAGTCCTCCACCAAACTGCAAGTAGCACCTGATGGCATTGTTCTTTTCTTTTTTGCACGTTCTTGTGTCTTTTACAAGTTGTGAAAACAAATCCAATAGGACTACAAGCTTAAAGAAGCCATATGTAACGCTGATACCTGTTCAAAATGGGTACTGCAGTCCAAATTTAAAACATTGGAGAAAGCTGTCTCCCTCCGCCCCTTCTCTCTAGAGTCAAAGTGCATGCAGCTTCAATGTTTAGCCAGCTCAGTGTCGGTCTTGAAACCTTACTGCATTCTAACTAGAAAAAAAACAATTAGCTTGCCTGCTTTCATCGCTGCAACTCCTCATGGTTTACTGTTTGTCTGGCAAACCAAGGGGTGTCCAGTTTAGTTCTGTACTGTTTGATACAGTGTGGTACGGTAAACCCTGATCTTGCTTACGTTTCCACAGCAAACAGCGCCCTTACTTGGTGGAGATAGCTGCATTAGCTATGTAATAGCAGCTGTACACAGTGTAGCCCGCTAATAAATTCAATGAAGAAGATTAACGCGACACAGTAAACAAAGGTAACAATGAAGGACGTCCAGCAGAGGTCTGCACCTCCAAGGTCATCCATGGAGCAGTGCTACACAAAAAACAAAAACAGCCTTGAAATGACTCTAGAAAACCATGGGATATTTAAACATTGCATGTTTTGTGTTAACCTTTGTAACTGTTGTCACACGGGAACTGACAAATATTTTGGCCAATCAACAGACTACAGTCTGTCTCGCTCCACCCTTTAGGGTCAGATCAGTACTCTTTACACCCCAACAGAAAGGAGTTACACCACTAAAACACAAAGGGCCTTGTTGTTAAAATGTGTATAAACTTGATATCACTCAAAATCAAATGTGCAAATTGATCTACTGACGGCGTGCAGTGAGGACTGCGTCTTTCATATGAGCAAAATGAATGAATATGCAATATGGGGCGTTTCTGATAGTGTGCAACATACTGGGAGTAGTATACTCATTGCGATTTATCAAGCCTGAAAAAAAATGCTAAAAACATTGGACCTAGTACCGAGTTTCATTGTGTCATTCTGCTTTCCCTCCAAACTCTCAATGACGTAAACCAGTAAAACAAGCAAAAGCCTAATTTAAACACTAACACCTCCACAAGCTTTGTACCTCTTATAACTCAAGCAATTATTCTTAGTTGATCACCTGCAAAGTGCACACCAACCAAATGTGCAATCTGTTGGGAGTGAACACACACTTTAGCACTCTACACTGGATTTTAGTAAATCAGGCCCAAAGAGCTCAAGTAGGTCGACATCATGGATTCATTTCTGTCCCTGTAAACATTCTGCTTTGGTTTCTTTACTTTACTGTCCAGTTACGAGGAGAAGGAGAACTATAGCTTCTGTGGTTTAAAGGCAGTATTGGCTCTGCTTGTACGGCCCTATGTGGAGCATGAGTTGGTATCGGTGGAGAACCAAAACACCGTAAAACATTCACAACTTTTATTGTGTCTATAAAATGTTACACATTTTTTTTTAAAATCTATACAAACATTGCACTGGTTGTGTGATTATCTAAATCCTTTACAGCTGTCCTGGAGAATATGTATTCTCTCTCTGCTTTCACCTCTGAGCGATACATGACGGCCTCCAAACATATTTCACTAAAGCCACAAATGCAATTATTTCTGCACAATCTGTATTTAGGATCATGAATACATGGAGTCTATATGACATTTGATTCACTGTGGCTTTTCAACCACAAACACAAGTGTTTTGACATCATGCTTTGTTTCATCACAAAGAATAAAGTAACATTTGACAAGACTGAAGGAGAACGAATAGGCTCGACAAGAACAGATGTGCAGATCAGTGACTCACCCTGCAGTATGGCTGGTGCTCCGCAGGTGAAGGAGCACTGTTTGCCAAAGGTGGTTCCCCAGGGGCAACTGAATATGGCGTGATAGACATGAGACTGATCAGGCAGGCCGCAGTCTACAGGCTGACAGCTAACCACACGATCCCATGAGCCGTGGTAACACTCCAGACGTGCTTCTCTCTGAAAAGAATGAACAGAATAAGACTTGCAGGGACAGAGATTTCTATCTATGAAAGCTGGTTTGTGCACAACATGAGAAGCCCCTTTTCCACCGAGCTGTCTGGTTCAGGATGATTTTTTTGACATTTCCAACGTCAAAAGTTGGGAATGGTACCAAAATAAGTGATCCATACCGTCCTACTTTTTTGGTACCCTTCTGTTGGAGTGCCAAGGATACTGATCAGACCCTAAAGGGTCCCTTGTTTACTGTGTCCCCGTTCTTCTTCTTGAACGTTTTACTTAATAGCGGGCTACACTGTGTTGGCCTGCTATGATGTCACACTACCAAACTGCTGAACCAAACCAGACCGCTTGGTGGAAACAGGGATATAGATAGCAGGGATGTGTAGGTGTGACCTGCAGTGTAAAGCGCTTTGAGTAGTGAGAAAACAAAAAAGGCGCTATAGCATTAAAATAAAGAAATAAGATGTTATTCTACGATTGTTTCACAGTGATTATGCTGTACAGTATGATACAAATGAAAATGTCTACCGCTGCGCACAAACATAGATTTCTCAGCACGCTGCTCTTTATGCAGCGCTCTGTGTCGCTTAGTGTCCTGTCAGACAGGACTGCTACAGACCACAGACACAGTGTACACAATTTTGGATCCCGAGAGCTTCTATATTTGTTTTGCTGTGGTAGCAAAGAGGTATTGATATTATTTGATTTTGAAGGGTATCATAACAATATATCATCATTCATACATAGTCATAGTTTAAAATCCTGTTTTGGTGATGACCCTTTGTTCTCATAAATTGGAATGAAGATTCTCAATGAAATAGTTTGGACTCAATAACACAGCAAACTGTATCCTCGTCTCTGGGTTGGTGGATCGTATGGTGAGGGTTATAAAAATACCAAGCCGTATTCAAAGCATTGCATCATAGCCAATACGTTCTGTTGATTTTGGCCCTTTCACATCCATGAGTTTTTAATTCTACCCACATCTTTCCTAAATATCTGTCAGAATTACGGACAATATCTTTGATTTCTTCTTTGACATGCAGGATAATCCGTCACACTCAGTGCGTTTACATGGAATAGCTTGATTGGATTAAGCCATATACCGATTTGTTACTCGAACGGACAGCTGTCACTTGTCTGAGTATGCCGATCAGAGAATCGTATAAATGGCCGGAGCATGGCTGACTCCGCTACGCTATGTGGCGCTGTACCCCTTTCAACACGTGGTTATAGAGCCACTTCAGGTTGACCTAAACGTCACAGCAACAACAAACTATCTGGCGGCATTCAAAAAAGATGGCGTACGAGGAGATGGACGACGCTACAGCTATGTACATTTTGTGCATTATTTACATTCTAATAATGCATATTAGAAGGACGACAGATCTTTTGGCTGCGGCAATAACAGCAGAAGGAAGCTGTTTCCGGCAACAACACTACTATTTATTACATCGTCTCCTTCCACTTCCGGGTGAAAGCCCCGGCGGAAATTCTCGAGCATGCGCAGAACGCAAAATCCGATTACGATACGATGGCTGAGTTTACATGCTGTTAGTTTGCCAAATATGAACGACTTATCTAGGTGTCCTTTTCCGATTATGAGATGTCCGTTTTGGTCCGATTTTGGTCTGATGTAGGTCGGGCTAAGATGTTTACATGCATTTAAAGTCCAAACAGTGTCTGATACGATCAGAATTTTGAATATCTAGCGCCATGTAACCCTACTGAGTGAGGACACTGTTTGCTTTTATCTCACCATTCATAAGACATGTAACTCAGTGGGTTTCTAGTTTGTAGTTGGAAAGCAGGTTGCGACCATGAATGTACAAATGCTGGAACAAATAATTGTAGTATTCTTGTAGACTTTGGAAATCCTGCATTCCCTTTTCCCTTTTATGTTGGTGTTCCTTCTTACACCCCTCTTTAATCCATTGCATGTAAACTGTCTCAGATCTAACAGATTCATTTTCATCAAAAAGATAACTGGAGGAGAACCTGACATTGACAGGATATGGTGTTATTCTCACAGTGTCCAGTACCTGGTGGGGTGGGGTTGCCCTGCCGTTGAGGACAGTGATACTGAAGCCACGGTGACACTGAACGGAGCAGTCCGAGGCCTCTCCTCCTCCTGTACACCTACAGAGACACACTGATATATAGATAGAGCTTCTGCTTGTTGTTTCAGCTCTCTGATTGGTTAGATTTCCCATTTTCAAAGGCCTACCTGACAGAGGCGTGGTCTAACTGGGGGGGGCTGCAGTTGTCCATCTGACACGGCTGCCGCAAACAGCTAGGGAGGGAAGAAGAGGGAGGAAGAGAGGATGAGAGAGAACGACAGACACAGCCAGGAGGTCTACACTGGACCATGCTGGGAAAACTGAAAAATGTATAATTTACACTGCAAAATATCTGATTGACCCTTTGTTGGCTCTCTGATTGGTCCGCTGACCACTAATCACAGAGGTTCATCTCATAGCAACCGTTGCTGGCCGACTTTTGGTTAGACAAACTTTCGTCTGGACCAAGTCTCTTCAGTGAGTCACAGTGACATAGTGACCTTAAATTAGTGACTAAACATGGGGAAAAGGAAAGCTGTGCTCGGGTGCAAAAGTGACTCAAAATATCCACATTGTAATCCAGGAGTAGTTTTCATCACGTTCCCTAAACTGCTTTATAAATCTTAAGGCGATCTAATAAATCGTCCCTCAGTCCAAGTGAATGTGTAAACCATTTCTGAAAGTTGTTTTTTTTTCTCTTATTTGTAATATTTGACTTTTTTAAAAATGGGATGGGGATGATATCCAGAGAAGGGTTTCTCCTGAACTCAAACTTTGCAGCAGTGAAGTCGACGGTGGCCTTTTGGGTTCAAAGCTGTCATCATGTTGAACATTTCATCCTGTGGCCTGCACTAACGTGTAAAACAGATAAATGGCATAAAAACTAGAATGGCTTTGATGTTTTGATGCACTGTTTAATTTATTCTCCACAGTGAGTTTTATCCTGTTAGTGGGAAAACACAAATTTAGATCGGCGAGCTACTTTTAGGAGGCTTGACTGTGATTTTCTTAAAGTGACACAGGGATGATTGTGTTTCTTTTTTTTTTTATCAGGTTTGTATATCTCACAAACAATGTATGTGATCATTGAATATAGAATAATAATATATGGACTTACATTCAAAGGTTTTCTGTTCCAATGTTAAAGATTTTGGATTGTATGAAACAGTTACTCACATGTTGTGTGAGAAAGTAGGCCAGTGTGTGTGTGTGTGTGTGTGTGTGTGTGTGTGTGTGTGTGTGTCTTTGTGTATGTTGGTGTGAAAGCATGCGTGTGTGTGTTCAGTAGGTAGTTGTGGGAGAGCCCACCCTCTGATGCGCACCCGGTCAGGGCGAAGGTGCTGAAGTGGCAGGAGGTCCTCAGGGCCACGCCTCCCACCGCCACAGAGGGAGAGGAGAACAGAATGAACACGGACGTGGTGACGTAGAAGGGTTTAGAGAGGTCGTGGGTCACATTCACAACCAACGGGTTCCGTTGACAGGAGAGGTCATGTGTGCCTGAGTGGAGGAAAATGATTTTATTCTGTCTGTCTTTGTCATATGGCATTCGATTACTGTGCAGATACATTCAAATCCAGGAAAGTACCTAGTGAGTGGTTCTTGCCGGTGGTATCGGACAGGAACATGGTGGCTGTTCTTCGACACTGCTCTCCAGACCATGACCCATCTGAAGCCAGATATACGATCACAGAGGCGGCAACTCCAGGATGGACGAATCCCACCTGGAACGATAAAGAAGAGACGGTGGTTTCAAAGAACGAGTGATGGGCATGCAAAGACTTTTTTAAAATTCAGAGAAGTACAGAAAGAGCATGAGTGTATGGATGATACAATGGCTTGGACTGTGGATAAAAATGTCAATCTATCCGTCTCATTATCTTATTTGGATTCCAGTGGGGGGTAGAGCCTATTGCAGCTGTTTTTAGGAGGAGAGGTGGAGTGTACACTTAGGGACCGGTCACAAAGGTGTCGGCAAGTCTGACAGGTCTGACATTTAAGCCATTCACTTGCATCCACACATCATGCATCCCTCAAAGTTCTAGAAGAAATGTCCTCCTCACTTGCCTGTGACACGTGCACCTAACTGTGTGAAACTTTCCCTGCGAGACTTGAGCGGGGAAGATCTCGGGATGTGGGACGAGAGGTAAAAAGAACAAAGCTGAAAATGGCTGACAAGCAACAGTCTTTCATTGCCCACTTGCTCGCGGTGAATTTTCCTCTGAAAATGTCTTTTTACATTGGCTCGCCCCAACTACATCAGAACATGTACTCAGGGACTGTCAGGGTAAATGGCAGGGAGAGTCTTGGTGAAAAATTCTGGCAATTGGTAGATGGTAAATGGACTTAAGCTTGTATCAGTTCTTTTCTAGTTTTCTGGCTACACTGCAGGTCACACCTACACATTCACACATGGAAGAGGCTGTGTTACGGTGTAGAAGAGTAAATGCTCTTGAACAATCAGACAGAGACTATGGCTTGTGAATCAAAGATCTGTTTCTTTCTCTTGGAGCAGTTCTTTTATAGCATCCCAATCATCCCGTAATGGGCAATCATCACACTGGGCAATTACAACATGTGTGCTATATAAAGACCATTTCCTAGAAGTTTCTTGGCCGGACAACTGGTCTCTTACCAGGAAAGGGTGTGTTGAGCCGTTTTCACATATGCACTCTGGATAATATCTAGATAATTGCAGGAGGAACGCTCCGGGGATTCTCCCGACCTAGCTGTTCACATATGCTCCTTACAGCTGGAGACTTTCCCTGTCAGAGGGGAGGGGGGGCTCGGAGAATTTCCTGAGGTAACCGTGACGTAAATAAACAACGCGGAAGTAGTGGCCGAAGCAACAGAGTCCGCTACACAACGTTATAATGAGAATATTTGCCTTTATATCAATGCTATGTGTAATCCAATGGAATGACAACATCCACAAAAGAGAAGAGAACAACATACTGACGAACAGAAAACAGAATGCAGCCGTTTAATTACGTGCATGGAGATCGTAGTGGTCGCGTGCAGACACTTTAGGCATTCACTGTATATAAACGCCATTCTCTTTTCATTGACTCGAATTGAAATCTCCGGAGTATATTCGGCCGCGTTCAGACATCAGCTCACTCGGATATTCTGCGGATAAAATACTAGAGGTCTGGCCGGATAAACTCCGGGTAAAGTCTGCGCGAAAAATGCAGCTGTTTGCGTTCAAACATAGCCTAAAGAACCTCCGGGTAGCCAAATCTCCGGAGTTTTTCAGGAGATTTCCGTATGTGTGAAAAGGGTTATAGTATGTGTGTACATGTATCAGAACATGACCTTGTGACCTGGCTAAATTCAGAGGTTAGATACTTATTGGTTTGTGCCTGTTGCTGTCCAGATTGTGTGTTTCTGTTATGATTCAACCTTTCAAACTACAACAACGGCTGTAGGTTTCCCTGTGCTGTTTGTCACTTCTCCCTCTCTGTTTGTTGTCAACTCTGCCCAGGTGAACCTTCTGATTGCTTCAGAGGGAGAGGCTTTTGGAGTTGGGGACTGCTGTGCATCTCAGTCAGGGATTGTGTGTTGTTGTGTTATTTATGTTATAATGGTTTCTCAGTTGATCTTTGTTATCATTTACTTTGTGTGATGATATGAATAAATCCCTTATTTTTCAATTTGGTAAGTTGTATAGTGTGTTTTATTGGGTCCATTTGTAGGTTTGTTGTTAGCTCCATAAAGTAGAGCCGCCTTATGGTGGGGCGTAACAGGCTGCTTAACTCCGGGCAATTCAGGGTCATCAATTCATCTAACAAGGATGTTTTTGGACTGTAGGGGGAAACCAGACAGAACCCATGCATGCATCGACCATGAATGTGCAATCTCCACACAGAAAGGCTCCGGTCCTTTGTTGGGAGAGGACACTGCTTACCACTGCACCACCATGCAGAACGTTAAAAAAAGTGCCTATTGGATTCCTTGTACTTGTTGTGCTGATCTGAACCTTATGGTTGGCCATCTTGAAAACTTCTTTGAGTTCTTACTGCTTGTCTTTGCCCCCTGTGCTGACTCTTGTTGGTCAGATGCCGTCATTGTGCTGGATGAAACTAGGAATATGACTGTGTGTGGTGCTCTTACAGAGCTACATGTGGTGGGTCGTAAGGCACTGATATTGATGGCTAATGTAAGTCTGATGTGCACAAAAACAGAAAACGACAAGACCTGGGACTTCCAAGTTAGGAAAACAGAATTTTCCAAACAGAGACATCAAAATTCTAAGAGAAAAAAAACAAGCCAGTTGTAAAGTCTGTCATTGTGTCCGGGGTAATTGGTTTACACCAAAGATTGAGCTGTTACAGGTGCATGCTGTAACATATTCCAAGATTACCCTGGCCTCAGCTTCGTGTGACGCCATTTAAACTTTTCACATCCACTAGACAAGCCTGCAGACTGTGAATGTTTCAAATTAAAAATACGGATTTTGGATGGAGTATCACTTAAAGACATTTTAAAGGCATTCACCGACATGATTGAGTACTTCCAATTGAAGGAGACGAGCTGATAAATAAGAAGGGTGTCTTTTATAGAGCCAGCAGACATGGATATGATTGGATGGCTGAGGAAGACTTTTCAGAGCTCGGGTAGATATTTAAGGTGAGACAGAAAGCACTCAACAAGGTAAAAAAAAAAAAGGAGAGCTGGCAGATACTTGTGTTATCATGAAGGTTTGTCAGGTGGTGAAAGAGTCCTCAAGAATGACGCCATCATTAGGAATGACTGGGGTGATAAAGACGGCATCCATAAAGGAAGCAGGGGATGGAAAGATGAGTCATTCAAAGAGAAGTGGAAATGATGAGACGGATGAGAAAAGAGTGTGTGAAGCGACGGAGAGAAGGGCGGGCTTATGACTGCAGAGGACTTTTTCAAGCAGTGCACGGTGGACAGGGTTGTTCAGGTATCATTCAAATCAGCAGCTACCCCTTTTCATAGCCTGGGCCCTGCGGGGCTGATTGTGGGAACTGTGGCTGTGGAAAGATTAAATAATCCAAAACAGCTACATATGAGAACCAGACATACAGGTGTGTGATGGAAATCCAGGTCCAGATTCAGCCCAGCACAATAAACCAGGACATCTCTGTGAAGCTCCGCTGCCTGGAGATTGTCTGAGCGCTTTAGATTCACTGGGCCAATTATTCATGAGGATGTTTTTAACTGAGGCAGCTGTGTGAAACCCTGTCAACGCTGACAACAAACACAAACGTCATTAATAAGAAACTGTATTTTTAACCACAGAGAAACAATCGGTTCCCTACACTGCATGTCTGAGAATTGTTTACAAAGGATTGGGAATGTGGTAGTTAATTACAATTCTGCTGCTCGGCGACGATCATAGTTCTACGTTATGTTTTCATGATGACTAAGAGATTTATTTATGAGGACAGTCGGATTATTATTCCTGCAGATGCAAGTGTTTTCACAACTTGTGAACTTTTGGAAGTATTTAGTATGAATGATGAGTCAATTATATCATACTTGGTCTTTCTGTCACTATTTATAAACCTGCTTATTATCATAATTGAATGATTTCTAGGATTAGAAAGCACAGAGTCGAAAATATCCCAAAACGTTTAAAGAATGAGTAGACGGTTAGTCATGACCTGGTAATCATCTACAGATCATTAGTATCAGAAATTCACAGGTCACCCAGAAAATGTGTAATTAGGGTAACCAGGGCGCTGTATGAATCATGTAATTGTTAGACATTTGGAAATGATGTGTGTGTGTGTGTGTGTGTGTGTATGTGTGTGTGTGTGTGTGTGTGTGTGTGTGTGTGTGTGTGTGTGTGAATGGAGGTTTCAGTCAACTTTGGGTAAGAGGCCTGAAAACTGCACGTTAAATGATTTAGAAAGAACTGGAAGCTCTTGAAGCCAGAGCAGCGACCCACAGTCAATCAGTGAAACAATTAAAGTAGTCGTGCATAATGGTGCGTTCCATTACCCTCGGAACTCAGATCTGCGTTCCAGTTGCAAGCAACATGGACGCCTCCAGGAGCACCTTTGTCCACAGATAGAACTTGCACGATACTATTGGTGATTGATTTAATTACACAAAAAGACGAATAAGCTGCTAATAAATACAACAGTTACAGCTTAAATGTCACTGTTGATGCACATGGCAGCCATGTTGGATTTTAACTCGGACTACTGAAGTTGCTCAGAGTCAGACTGGCAACTTTTCGACTTCTGAGGTCAAACAGAACACACCAATGCACCAACAGACCATGGATTGTATACAGGCCCGCCCACAGAGACGGCTGGGCCCATGAGAGGGAGGCTGAATGGGCCCTCCACAGGAGTCACTTAAAATCAATACATGTGTGTTTTATCAGTAGTTCTGACTAACATTCACCTCCTCGGCCTTGATCTGATCAGCTTATGGAGCTGACTGAGAAAGATTTTGAAATAGAACAATAAATGGAGGAGGATGGATTATATTTTTTGCTAACCTTAATGGGCCCATCATACAGCTGGCCACACACACACTCATGTACACACACACCTTCAGCCAGATTGAATGTTCCAGGTCGTTGCTTGTGTCCGGCTGAGCTGTGCAGGGGAACCAGGCATCGGTGAGCTTGTTGTCACTCACCTCGAGGTGCTGATACCTGCAGAGCTTCACACAGAACAAGAAGAAATACACATTGCTTAGTAAATAATAAATAACTACATATAGAGATAGAGACTGACGGACAGACGGACAGATGAATAAATAACTCTACTGATTAGATCACAAGAAGCAAAAACATGAAAATGAAAAAAGAAGAACAACAAGAAAAAAATTACAAATTAAAGTGTTAAGCCCTAAAAAGTTATTTCAAAATCTGGAGACAGAACGCTGCAGATATACAACACGACTAACATTATTGCTATAGTACATTACATACCATAAGCGTAGACTCAGTGTGCTTAATGATTAACATGTAGCCAGATATGTATGAAAAGAGGATAACATAAAGCAGTGTGAATGTTTACATAGTGAAACAAACATAATAGGCCATAACAATATCATATATCAGCAGATATGGTTACTATCTACATGTATCTACAAGTATTACCTTAAATATTTGTTATAATACTTTATATTTTATATTGTGAAATACAATATCCAATAAGTCACATCACATATCACAAGCTAACAGGCTTGCATATAAATGTTGAGCATACTTTGTACTACTTAATAATCATTCCACTGGTTATATTGGCTCATGATCAAACATGTGCCTTTGTTGCTTATTTCCACTTTATGTTGGAAGGTTGAAGGAGACTCTCTATGAAATGGCCGCTATCATGGAGGAACCCCGACAGGGTTAGAGCTAGGACCCCGTCGCAGAGTGGAGGTGTGCTGCTCACCATGAAGGGGTTCCTCCGCATTTACAACAGGCTCACTATACATTATCCAACACTACTACCACTTAAGAAATCAATCATTTGAAAAGAAAAATGTTGATTTGGAAATTATTTTATTGCCTTCAAAATGAATTATTCCTCAGTTAGAGCAGGCTCTACAACAATTGTTAACTCTGCACCCTTCATAAAAAGAGCTGATCGAGCAGTTTCTACTCGCATCAAACTGAACAGTCCCACTGATGCCGCAGTGAGAAAAAAGGTGAACAGGTCCACTTAAATCAGCTCAGCACCTGGTTGACTTTTTCTCCCTCATCTCACTCAACGTGCCATTTCAGTTATGTTGTTTTTTCAGTTATTTTTCCGTCATAACCTCAAGCACCTTCTGCATATTTTAACCTCTGTCCTCCGTTCTTATCCTCACTTTTCACCTTTTCCTACAGTAAACAAAAACATTTAACACAGCCGTGTAGTGATTAATCTGAAGAACAGATTGCAGTTTTCCTCTTGAGGAGAGAGGAGATTCTTTGGCAGTGAAGCAGTTGAGATGCCACGCCGACTTTATCCATGACACTTTGATTTCTTCAATTTATTACACCTTGCCCTTCCTACAGATGCTGCGTAGTGTAAAAGAAATCCCAGGAGGCTTCCCAGCTGTGAAATGCTGGAACTGGCAAAAAGAAAGTAGCTTCGGCCATGTTGCTTTATTTGCAAGGTGCTGATGTGAACACTTTTTTATAAACTGAAACATAATTTCGTAGCACTAATGGATCAAAGAGGCATCGCGCAATGGCTGACATTTTATGGGGATGTCAGAGCTAAAATAAATTATTATTAGCTTAAGTTGTAAAAGAAAGAACAAGCTATGCTGCATTCATATGCCGTGCTCTCATAAATAAAAAAGTTGTGGCAAATGATCAAAGTTGTTGTTTTTTCTTCGGGTTTAACATTCACAGTCTCTGCTTCCCTGTGTCACCTTGACCTGAAGAGCTTTGACATCTTGTGTTCACCCCTTTTTCCATGTATTTGTCTTGAGTGGAAACAGGCCTCTCCTCTCTAGAAGAGAAGGTTTATCACTCGATAAAAACGTTGACCCACATTTCAGAATGTAAAATAAAGTAGCAAAAAATAAAAAGATAGGAGGAGATAGGTTAGGAGGGCGACCGACTCTATCAACTGATCCTCCCCCGCCCGCACAAACCCGCTGATAAACACAGCAAGCTGTTACTTTATAGGCAGGCTGTGAAACATACAGATTACATACATACAGATGAATGACAAGGAAAGTTTAAATTATTCCCAGTATTTAGCACCAGAATCAAATGCTTATCTGCACATAAATTAGATGCTGATGAGGAAACAATGCTTCATATAGAATTCTACATACTGTAGTTTGTGATGATTTCAATATGATTTACTGTTTAAACACTAAGTTGTGTTTTGCTTACTTGATACAAACCTTAAACTCAAGTGCATGGTCATTGTAATGCAATGTGCTGTGTTTACTGTGCTTGTCAGAGTTTAGCCATTATTTTTCTTAATATTAAAGTACAGACATATACCGCAGGAAGCAAATATTCTTAATATAACATCTTTTTTTAAGCCATTTGTCTTGACACAACTTGCCAGGTGTAGACAGTGGTAAAGGGCAGAACAGTTTGGCCTAAAAAACACATACCATAGTACCAGGATGGCTGAAAGACGAGGAAGAAGAAGAAACCTGAATAAAATGTTGCACATTATACCTTTAAACAGGTCTGTCTAACACAGAATGTGGCACAAGCGGTTAGAAGCATTGTTTTTCACTAGTGCACCCTTTTGAGCTGGTCTCTTGTTGTTCAACCTGTTTCCATCTATTTGTGTTGTTCATATTAAAATCCCTGATTCATGCTTAAATAATGGAGTTATCTACTGAAATAAAATTGCAAGTGGCTGAAAGGAGGGATCTCGAGAGCTGGAGAATTCTGGAAAGATATTTTTTTTCTGCCAGGGCGCTTATAAAAAGCTAAATAGCTAAGAGCTAAGTTTTTTAAAGACTTTATATGCGATTTTTTGATCCAGCAGATGTCGCCCTTGAGCACCAGCATGAAACCAAAACAACACGTGCTGCATTGTTGTGTTAGCATGCTAATGCTAGCGATCTTTATTATGCTCGTATCTTCACACTGCATGTAAATTTACCTGAAATGAGCGTGATCTAGAAACACAGTTAAGCAGTGAGTACAGTATGTTATTCTTCTTGTCTCTAGTCCCTCAATTAAACAACTTTTTATACATGAGGGGAGGAGTCGGCCGGCCATCCCGTCCATGTAAACAAACTGAAGAGAGGACTCTGAAAACTCTGAAAACATCACAGACAGTGGGACTCAGGTGTTACACCCATTGTAGACAGTCATGACTCACAGAGTTATTTTCAGAGGATATACTTGATTTATATTACATTTAAGTGTGAAAAATCACATATAAAGCCTTTAAGGCCAAAACATAGAATAAGGTTGGATGATAAGAGACAAGATAAGAGTGGACATGAGGTGGTTTACCTTTGAATTAGTTACAGAGATAAATGTGCATGGATCATGATCACAGATTGGAGTTATTGTTATTGATCCCAAACAAAATGATCCCTTAGTAAGATAAGCAACACTGGAGTTACTATATTGACGCGAGAAGGTGTGTGAGAATAGAAGCTGCACTGTTTTAAACATATTTAACTTTATATTGTTCATATCAAATACCTTGGTGAGTGATGGCTCCCCGGTGGCAGCGTGGGCGGGACAGTGGTTGGGGTCCTGGTGAGAAGCAGTGGCAGTGGAAGCCCACTGGTCTGTGTAGCCAAGAGGTGTGAAGTAACCACAGTCACGCACACTGGAGCCCCGCTCAAACTCCTCACACACACCGTCACCGTCAAACACATAACACTGACTGGGTTCACCTTCGGGGGACAGAGAGAAAAGTGAAAGAGGAGAATTTATGAAAGAATATTAAACCTGCTTTCTTCATCTGGCAGCATATCCAGTCATCCCCCGCTGTTAGACTCCAATCCAAATGTATTTGTCAGTGAACCAAATCCGAGCAAATGTATTTTCTATTTTCTTTGGCCCCTTTTAATGTTAGAAATGTCAAAGACAACCATATCTTACTCTCTGTGCTGTCAACAGGCTGTAAATTGGGGAACGAAATGAACTTTGACTTCAATTCATTACTGTAGCTCACAATCACTTTATAATGTTAATAGGCAGTAAGAGAACATAATATGTAGCTTGGATGGTTAGTTTAATCCCTAAAAACCCATCAACGGACCCAGGGTATCTATAAATCACAAAGTGACAACAGCAGCAGTGTGTATTACAAAGAACTGTCCAAAGTCTTCCAGGCCGCTCAAAAATATTTACTCCAAAAAATTAATCAATAAAAAAGTTATTTTAGGTAGCCTTTGTAAGCTCTAAAATACTGAATAACATTGAGCAAAATGAAAATTTACCAGAGACCCTCAATTTCTGTCCATGGTGGTTGAATGTACCAAAATAATAACATTTATTCCAATGCAACATGGTACTTATTATATTATTATAATGTTTCATTCTGACATTACTGAACAGATTATCTCTGTTTTCTGAGTCTACATACAAATGAAGATTCTGTACATGGGGGGGTCTGGATTTTCGGCATGTGTTGTACATTTGTAGTCTGGCGTTATCAACAGGCTTTGGAGTATTTAACAGTCCATGTGGACAAGGCGGAACCTTTATACACGCTTTAACATACCGGCTCCCATATCAACTTCCAACAATGACTTTTTTGTCTTAATAAACAGATATCTGCATAAAAGTGAGGCTGACAATAAACTATAACTCAAACATTTCAACTTGAGACACAAATCTAATGGACAGTGTTGCGAAAGCCAATCAGCGTTTAGATTCCTTGACTACCTGGAACGCATCAGAAATGATCAAGGCGACCACCATTCAGCAAGCAAACATTGTGAGAGCTGTTGTCTTTCCTTTAGAGCACCACTAACAAAGGTTTTATTTTTTATTTTAATTTTAAATTTGCATAAAGATGTTTCTATTTTGTCAAACTAGAGGGAAGCGGCGATGAACGTGACTGCAAGATACCAAGAAATGCTGGGTGAAGTACTGCCTGGATGTCATTTAATGCTAACCGCTTGCTTCACTAGCTATCGACACAGTTGATCATGGTGTCCTGCTTACTAAGCTTTCAATGTTCAACTTCTCCCCCAAATGTTATTAAATGGATGAAATCTTTTTTGGAAAGTATAACTCAAAGGTATAGGATAAACACTGAAATGGTGTACCATTTCCACATGTAGGCTGATGATACAATCAATTATGTACAACACAGCAAGCTTTAAGGTAACAGCAGTGATGACCTCCCAGTGGCTTTAAAAACTCCTGCCTTCACTTAACGTAAGGAAAATAGTTTGCAAGTTTTTCACAAAGAGTTCAACAGATAATTTTACATCCAGTTTTTATTTCAGGAGAAAAGCAGCTGTATCTGATTTGAAACATATTGGTGTAACCCTGGTCTCTAATTTCATATTTAAAAAATAAATTAAGATGGTAACAAAGAGTGAAGTTTCATTGTTCTAATATTTGACAGACTGTTTATCTACTGAGGCAGCGACACCCTACTTTAATGCTATGATTATGTCATATTTGTCATCCTGTCTGACCAGCTGGGCACAGACCTCCTTTACAACATTGAAACAGGTGCAGTCAGTAATCATATAAATAATAATAAAGTGCTTGACAAGAAACCAAACACTTATCACCATTGTCACTGCTTCAGATCTCAAAATGTACTGAACTGTCTCACTGTTTTCACAATTACTATTATTATTTTATACACTGTAAATTTGTGTTTTTAAAGTTATTTTTGTTGACTGCCCCAGAGTGTCTAAAAATAATTTAAAGATTTAGTGCCAAAAGTTGGGCAGAACCAGAACACGTGTGACAGGGTCAATCAAGCACCAGCCACCGTTGCAAACCTTTCTTTGTCTAGCTTTTCATTAAAGACGTTTGTGATGAGTAAGAGTTGCTGGTTTGATTGTGCTCTCACTGCAAACGAACCGCTCCAGGGTTCAATTGGAAACAATGTGAGACCACCTCTTCCAGGCCATCTTGGCTTGCTTCATGTGTCCCACATCAGAATGCATTTGCTGTGTTCACACATGTCCAGACAAACTGGTCAGTTTCTGCAAACGATTGCAACTTTTCCAAACGACCCACATCCTCAAAAAGCATCCTCAGATTTTATAAAGGATGTGATCAATGTAATAAGGAATCTTGGCTTAGCGAAGTCTTCCTGTTAAGAGAGTTGCCTCTGAGCTGAGTTGAGCTGAGAAATTAAATTTGACAAAATGTGCTTCAGCAGTGTATCACATGAAACGTGGGAAGCATCAGTGGAACAACAGCTTGTAGTGCAGCAGCTTTTTATGAAAAAAAAAAAAGCGGCAAACATCAGACACTTCCAAAGTTTGGCGTCATGAACATGTGGACAGCTGCAGAAGGTAGACAGACAGAGCCGTGTCAGAGAGTCAGCGCTGCACAATTGGCTTCAATTAGTCGACGGAAACATGTTTCTGATGAAAGACAAATTAGTTCGAGACAATTCAATGACATATTGTCATCCCGAGTTCATTTGGCAAAAACTACAGTGAGTGAACTCACCAAAAAACCCACTCGTTATTTGACAACACCTGTGAAAATGATTAGTCTTTTCACTTCCAAGCCTGTGTATTTATCAATCCTCACGAAGGAAGACTACTCGACAATCCTTGACTTAACTTTTAAGACCATCTGTTCCTTATTTACCCTCTGTATGCTGTAATATTGTGCAACTTAACCTTTATTTAATCAGGCAGTTAAAACATTAAATTAAAACACTGAGAAATCTATTAATTAAAATGAAAACCCAAAAGCAGCACTTCTTTAACAAACACAGCTTGCCTGGTCTGTAATGTGATGACTATAAAAGCAGTTAAGCAGCGTGGTCAGTGCAGAGCTATGGTTAACAGTAAAAACACACCAACACAGAGCAGGAGCAAAACAATTCAGCATAGTTGGAGTTAAATGGGTCAAGCCACTGTGGCAAGAAAACCAAAGCAAATATTCTGTCTATGACTCAGAATTAAAACTGAATAATTGGTTTTAAGTGTTGCAATTTGTAAAAACCTGTTTTTGCCAACTTGTTTCCTTCCTAGTCATGATGTCTTAAATTGTAAAAGAAGAGATGTAATAGCTTCAGTCACGGCATGGCGAGTCCTGGTGGTAGAGGAGGAGGGGGGGTCGGTCTCTGCTGGTTTCCCCCTGACAAATAAATTCACTGGATGATGGAAATTTTATCCGAACATGTTTTCCTTACACAAACCCCAACACCACACATGAGTAACTACCATCCAGCTGCTAGAGGAAACAATGCATGGCCTTAAAAGGAAGTATTTAACATACTGTCTCGTCTCAGCTGAGCTCCTGTTAGCAGTCTGAGGGAATATGCATTAAATAAGTTAGATATTTTTCAATGTCGCACTTTTTTCAACTTGGTTTATGACAACTGAAGAGCCTTTGGGTGAGCACCCTGTTATGCAGAAGATTGTATTAAGGCTCCTGAGAAACACCACATACCACAACAGTTGAGATGATTTCTGCAAATGCCTGCACAGAGTAGGGATGTGCGAGTTTAGCTGGTAAAACATTGTCACCTTCGCTATAATGGAACCAGAATTATATATTATGTGTTGGCCCTCAATGCCGTCAAATGTTGTGTCTAAGCTGTAATGCAGACACCTGCCTCTAGCTGGGGCTGTAGCTCCTGCTAAAGGGCCTGTTCTCTCCACTCTATGGCTCATCTGTAAACCATGTAGTCTGTGTCAGGTTAAACTGACTGATTGATTGATTGATTGATTGATTGATTGATTGATTGATTGATTGATTGATTGATTGATTGATTGATTGATTGATTGACCAATCGGTCATCTTCAAACTATTTTAAGCTCTATTCTAATATTTGTAAAAAGACATCTGCATACCTGTGCAGATAACAACCTATGCTTAGATGTCATCTCCACTCCAACTCTATCCTTACCGTATGTCTCAAGCTGCTCCTCAGGTTGCAAACAATGTTCTGAGCATTAATAAAGTCTTTGTGCAAATATCTAACTGCCAGCTACACCATAATACCCAAAATGCTGAGGTCCTGAGTTACAGAAAATGGATTGCGGCCACTAGTAGCTCAAAAAGTTGTGCATCATTGCTCCTGCTATCTGCTCTATCTCAAGGCCTTATTCGACTCTCTCTTGTGATATTCAGGTGCAAACAGACCAAAAAGAGATCTTGCTCTGTGCTGTTTGCCCTAATTTTGCGTCTGAACTTTGAGAGACCCTATCTGCACCTGTACTGTGCGCAGAGCTTTGCTCTCATGCTCACATAGCTGTTTTGTCTACATAACAACGATGAGCTAAGGGACGGGAAACTCCTCAAATGACTGCATAATGGCTCACTTAAATACATACATACCAGCACTGTCACACAGAGACGCTGTTCTGCAGTGCAGTAAGGGGTTGCAGTTAATCCCCTGTGTGTGTTACACACACATGTTGTCTTTTTTTATTCATATGCACAGCTTTAGCTGGAGCCAAATCTGTACAATCCTTTTGTAAATCAGGCCCTGAGTGTCACTCCTCCTGTCCTCATTGAAGATAGCCAATGGTTTCCAAGATTGGTGAAATTTAAGTGTAGAGGCAAGAACACACAAGTAAAGAGGTAATTCTGACAAAATAAAAACATGTGTGAGGTTCATACTCTAAGTGCTCCCTGTTTGGCGGTGCACATGATGAATGTGTTTGACTAATATTGGGCTAAGAAAAACACATGTTCACCCGCCTTCAGTGTACAATGGAGAGCTTTTGGTACACCCCTGTCCATGTTGTGTTTTAATGCTTCTGTTGTGGCCTGTCTGCGTGCTTCAGACTGGGCGAGGGTGCAGACACCAAAGTATTGTCGCCCTGTGGTGGAATCACAAACCATGGGGGCGCTCTCTGTGGCTTCTTTGTTTGTCTTCTGCCATGTTTTGCTGCATGTTTTTGGTACTTTTTACTGCTTTTTTAACCACCTGACCCAGGGTTAAACAGAGGAACATTCACCCTGGCTTCATGTGTGAAAACTGTGTAAGGGATTTAACATCAAAAGAATATTACATCACTCAGCATATCTCATATAAAATAGAAAGTTAAGTTAGTTAAAAATTCAAAACAGGTGATTTTTTTTTTTTGATGACTAAATCGTGAAAGTCCCACAAAAACATTTTCTGGCAGTCACATGACTCACTGAGCCACACAAATGTTTCTTAATGGTTCTCATCTTACCATAAATCTTTGCTTGTTGATTCAAAGAACAAATTTTGCATGTTTGCCTAAACCTCAACAAATGTGAACCTGGCCTAAACCCAAACCACAGTTGATCTTATGAATGTTTTAAGCCTCTTATTGGAAGAAAGAAACACGTTGCCAACTAAGGACAAGATTTGATTGTGGCTTTTAGTACTACAATGTTGACATAATACCAGACATGATATCAATACTAGTAAAATCAAACAATATCCATAGCTGTTTTCGAATACCAAGGCAACAAAAATAAAGTCCTGGCCAACAAATATTGGGTAATTTCTTGTTTTTGATTTCCAAAAGTTGCACACGAACTTCTATACACACTCAGTACAGAAAGGTTGCCAATGTCTTTGTGTAATGTAGACAGTGACGTCTCCACTGTCAGCTCCTCTGCTCTATGTCTGCTTGTAAGAGACACAAACATAACTTTTGCATCCTTATAATTCCCTTCAGGGACATCAGTACTTGCTGACAGGTGACTTGAAACTTGAATGGACAGCGGCTGCTTTCTCTCTTTCTAGATTTGATGCTTGTTGATACTGTTAATCATAAAAAATACCAGCGATTGTTTCGAGTCACATCATGTACCATAATCTGACAACTGTCATGTGATGCTCTCTCTCTCTCACTTCGAAAGGTTTTCTGACTTATACAGCATTTTTAATCGAATTAAAAAAGCAAAAATCATCTAAAAACAAGCATGTCTGACATTTTAAGACTAGACAGTGTGCCAGTGTGTAACCATTGACAGCTTGGATTGGCTCCAGCCCCCTGTGTCCCAGACAGGGATAAGCGGTATAGATAATGGATGAATGGATGCATTGATGCATTGATGCATTGATGATGGATGGATGGATGGATGGATGGAGGGAGGGAGAAAGGGAGGGACGGATGGATGGATGATGAATAGATGGATGGACGGACGGATGGATGGATGGATGGATGGGTGGATGGGTGCATGGATGAATGTAGGGAGGGAGGGAGGGATGGATGGATGGGTGGTTGGAGGGGGGGAGGGATGGATGGATGGGTGGGTGGATGGATGTATGCATAGATGGATGGGTGGATGGATGGTTGGAGGGGGGAGGGAGGGAGGGAGGGATGGATGGATGGATGGATGTATGTATGCATAGATGGATGGATGGATGGTTGGAGGGGGAGGGAGGTATGGATGGATGGATGGATGGATGGAAGGAGGGAGGGATGGACAGACAGATGGACAGTGTACTTAAATGCTGGAGAGTATTTTTCTCATGTTTCTCTGCCGGTTTCTATGTCAAGACGTTTTAGACTTCCAAACTGACTGAGTAAAACAAAGACTTACTTTTTCCCCATCAGGTCATCTGTTTCCTATTACTTTGCGGTGATGCTACTTTAATGGTTTGCCGAATGGGTTCAGAAACTTGTATGTCCTATAAATTAAATTTGATTGGCTTGATGTTTTTTTCTGTAACACTGCTGAGTGCACAAATGAGAGATGTCTGGCTATTAAGCAACCGCTGCAACACACTAAAACTTGATATGGTGTTGCCACTGTTTTTAAAGAAAGCCCACTGCTTAACATGGCTATGTGTTTGTGAGCGTGTGTGTGATCGTGTTGACCACACATAAGGCAGAGATGTGTGTTTCCTTGCACCTGAGTCATAAAGAGCTACTCACCATTACAGTTAAAGCCTGTCTCCTTGTTGCATTTCTTGGAGCAGCCGTCACCATCCAAAAGATTTCTGTCGTCACACTGCTCTGACCTTTAGAGAACAAATCATCATCTTCATCATCGTCATCACCCTCATTACTTTTAACATTTTCATCGTGTTAAAAGTCATCCGGTATTTTACAAACCCCTGTATGAGGCCGTCTCCACAGTACGGTTGCCCGTGGGTGTAGACGAGAGATGGGGACTGCTCACTGAGGAGACCATCTGCTTCCACCTGGATCGTGTACAGGTATTTGACTCCCTGCTTTACGGAGCTGGTGGAAAGAGGGATGGAGAACAGAGGGAACATGGTTTCATGATTTGCTTAAAATAGTATTTCTTTGGCATTGTTAAACAGTGAAATAAAAAGTCTAAAGTTTGCAATGTTCTTGCAAGCAGCCGTAAACAAGGCTTTACTGCCCTGTGGATCAAACTGACCTTTATAAGCTTGTTGACTGATACCAATGATGACTCATTCAAAACAAAATAGGAAAGAATGATTGTGTTTACTGGTGCCAGCGTGGTGCAGGTTGACCCAAATTCGTTTGCACATACCATCCCCCACTTTGTGCTATGTAGAGCGGAAGCGTTAGATTTGCAGTGTGTACCCCAACAGCTCATTTCAGCATGAATGTGGTGGATTCTACAGCAGCAAAGTGGAACTTGCTCTTGCAGTGGTTACGAGTTATAACCTCGCTGCATCCTATGACCTTCAAGCGCCGCAGCAGGAAGTGTGTGTAAAGATACCTCAGCTCCAGTGTCAGAACTATTGATCTGTTTTGGTGGGCTCTGTCTATAAAAAGTGCCTCCTCACAAATCTTCTGCTTCTGTGTCTGTTGGGCACGAAATGTAAGCGGGTCAAGCAGGTCTGTCAAGTCCCTCCAGACTGTAAAAAAAAATTATCTTCATGAATTATGGATCAGAGAAGGAAATGAAGAATTTGAAGAAAAAAACAACTCCCCCTTCCATATTCATCTCTTCTCTATCTATATTTGGACAAATCCACCAACCTTTTGTCACAGCTCTCTTCCTCTCTGCTCTCAGATCTGTCTCATGACCTCATGGTCATTTTAAAGTTCCTCGGGTTGCTTTGCTTTACTCACTACCTGAAAAATGCTCTCTTAAACTAAAAAACAAGGCTGCTCACTCACGTATGAAAAACACCTTTAAATCTACCAAAACAAGATGCTTCTGCAACAAGGCATCACAAGTAAGGGCCTGTTTCCATTAAAGCCATTTTTTGTATTGGGTGTGCCCATTTTCTATAGAAATCAGTTTACCAGCGTCCAAAACACCCTCGCAGTTGGAAGGGATTTGCCTCTGTCTGTGCGCTCACAGCACTCTCAGTTGAAAAAAGTTCAACCTTTGCAACACCCTCACATTAGTCAAGGTCACTTCTCCCTAACCTACCAAACTCAAGAAGGGGCGAGGCTTCTTATGCCAAAATTTGTCAACAACATTCGAGGAGAAGAGGCTAATCTGACTCGTCTTTTCAAGGGTACAATTTCCAGTTCTAGAGCTTCTGCTAATGCCAGGAACCAACTGCTTTGCATGCTTCTTACGATTTCTTTGTAAAATGTACTTGAATAAACACGTAGCATTTAAAACAGGTACTGCAGTCCAAATTTAGAACTTAAGAAGAGAGAGCTGTCTCCCCCCGCCCCCTCCTCCCTAGAGTTGATGTGAACGCAGGTTGCCATGTCTTGGACACTGAAGCTTCAGTGTTTATCCAGCTCTGCATGTCTGTAAACCTTTCTATGTTCTAACCTCTCTCCATTTTTCAAAAGCATCTCCAATATTGATCCTAGTTTGAGCACGTTTCTGCTCGTGGAGCTTATTAAAAACATGCAGAGGCTTTTTAGGTCGGGTACAATCACTTGTACCTGAACCAGTTCACTTGGCCGCTTCCATCGCTGCAACACCTGTTGGTTTGCCTGGTAAACCGAGGGGTGTCTAAAACAGCTTTGTGTGGGAGCCTTAAACCCGCCTACCTTCTCTGTTCAAAACCAAAACAAACCATTCAGGAGCAGAATCTAAAGTTAGAAGGAGGACATACTGGCTGCTGCATTGTTGTCAGAGAAGACAGAACTTCAACATAGCATGTTTCCTTAATGTCTGATCATATAGTAAGGTCATTTTATGATTTATTTCAGGAAATATCTCATCTCATCTTATTGGACTATTTAAGCATCAGTGAAATTTCAAAACAGACGGTGGTCACTACAGAGGCAAAAAAAAAAAGCATCAGAGGACAAACAGAGGCCCTAATGTCTCAGGGCTTAGGTGTTAATGAAAAGGGAGACCTCTCTTTCTAAGTTACATGCAACCACATCTGAGGGCAAAGTAGGGTTTTACAATCTTTCCAAACAGTCAATTTCATAGGTGAGCCTGCAGTCACAGAAACAGTTCTGAATTCAATCTACAAAACTGAATGGGGAATGGGGAAAGTCCTAATACCTTTGTGGTGTCACTCACAGAAAGTGACAAATGTAGTTGTGTAAAGAACAGAAAAAGGCTCATCTTTATAGAAGGTCAAACACTACAAATGTCCTTTACTTTATTAATGGTGAATGAACTTTACAGGATTGGAGAGCCACAAAAGTACTTAGATGCCTAACACTCTTTCCTTTCTCAAAGAGAGGTGATGGTCTCAAGTAGCTGTTTAACCACTTGATGCAGCACGTCCAGGGTTATTTCAGATGATTAATAGCTTTGGAAAGACCCTGCCAACATGCCTATCCAGGGGGGCCCGTGTTTGACCATTTATGTAACTTTTTTAGACAAACAATCTGACACTCTCACACTTACCACACGCACTGATTGGCCGGCTGTGAGGCGAGGAGACAGGAGCCAGTTTTGTTTCAAACTTTCTTTCTTCATTTGTTACACAACTGTTTGAGGCTGAATGAAGCGCTGCACTGTGTTTGGCTTCAGAGACGGACCGCATGAAAAGCTGCACCATTAAACGCACACTTAAACAATTTCTCATGTCTTCCTTTCTGCGATGACAGGTGTTGTGTCAAAGTCTGTAACCCCCGTCAGACAGTGCTCACCTCCTGTAATAATGTTGTTTCTTATGCTGAGGTCATGTTAAGCATCACAAACGATGACTGGTTCGAGCGTAAAGCCTCTGGATTGATATCACAGTTGAGTCTCGTCAAAATTCTTTAAAATGTGAACCACCTACAAAACTATCAGACAATCAATTTAGGGAACCCAAGCCTACACCATCGGACTGTGTCATCCCCACAACCACTGCTGTCCTCATTCATACACGGCCTGCTCCAACCTCAACGGCAAGGAGGTGTGGTCAACAGGAATGTGAGGAAGACAAAGGAGAAATCCTTCCTGCATACCATCCCATATGCTCTTTTGTAAAGCCTCTCAAGATAACACTTATGAATTTGCACCATACAAATATTGATTGATTGATTGATTACAACTGCATCAGGTGAAAAAATAAGGAATGGCGCCCGCGCTGCACACCAAGACACGTTGGGCCGGCCTTATGATAGGGCCCAAAGAGTTTTCTATAAGCTGACTGCTTTATATCATCTTTCATGTACCGGTAATGAGTTTAGTCAATCAATGAGCTGAAGATAAAACCAACAAAGCCCAGCCGAGGAGCACAAGTTGGTTTTTAACACAAACTGCTTTAGTTAAGTGTTTTATTAGTTTAGTTTTCTGTGACCATTTGTTGTCAAATGAGGAACTGGTACTGGAACTTTCTGTGAAAACAGCTTGGGTCGCTTTGTTGTTTGAAAATCCAAAAAAGTTTCCCTTAATGTAAAATCACAGACTTCCAGGGTGCCGGATGGCCCTCAGGGTTATGTCATGATCAGAGGCTATGTCCTCGACACTGTGGCCATGAGTTCAAATCCTTTGCTGCATGTAAATGGTAAATGGTAAATGGACTTGAGCTGGTATAGTGCTAGTCTAGTCTTTTGACTGCTCAAAGTGCTTTTTACACTGCAGGTCACTGCTTTACATTCACACACTGATGGTAGAGGCTGCTATGTAAAGTGACAGAATCAGAAGTTACTAATCCCATTCATACACCACTGACAAAGCAGCGGGAGCAATTTGGGATTAAGTGTCTTGTCCAAAGGACACATCGGACATGTAGCTGCAGGAGCTGGGTATTGAACCTCCAACCTTTCCGGTTGATAGACGACCGACTCTACTAGCTGAGCCACAGCAACCATGTCATCCCCCTCTCTCTCCTCCAGACATTTCCTGTGTTCTCTACAGCTGTCCTATCTAATAAAATGGCCAAAAAATTACAACAAAAAAAACCATCACAGAATTCCTGGTTGACAAATATGTCTATAGCAACAAATTGAAGTCATTGGATGGTAACATTCTAGTCTGAATGGTTCAGTTTAACAAGTCTTTCTTGTTCCCTGCACTCACTCTTCCATCTCTGTGTTCCCCTCGGTGCTAACTGAGGTGCAAATTCAGCAGGAGGAAACGGCTCAAGACCAGATCCAAGCAGTCACTGGTGTTTATGGCCTCTGCTGCTCACATTTGGCCCATAATCAAAAAAAAAAAAACTCAGCAGTGCTGTTGTCTCCCTCTGTCCTCTAACCCTCCCTCACCCCATGTATCTTCTACTTTAAGTTTCATTTCTCCTTCTCCCACATCTCTCTCTAGGTTTATCTTTTCCAATTCTCCTCTTTGTCTCCTAGCTCTCTATTCTTCTTCCCTTCTCTCGCTGATTCTCTCTTCTTTTCCAAACTCATTGCTCTCAAACACCGTTTTCCCCTCACATCAACCCCTCTCTGCCCTCCTCAGTCTTGCATAACTCAATTCCCTCTGGTTCTTACATCTTTTTGTACTTAGACACAGCTTGTGTAACATAGAGGACGTGTTCCCTGAGAAATAAACTGTTTTTTGAAGCTGTGTCCACCTTACATCTGCCCCTGCTCTGTACAGCAGCAACAGCTCCTCAGATGTATTCAAAGTGCCAGATCTTTGAAAACCGACCCCGAGTGTACGACAACTGTCATATCCTGACCGGCATTTATCAGATCTTTGTATAAAAAGTCGTGTGAGAGTGGAGAGATTTACGGTATTTTTAGGGAGGTCTGTGATGTGGCGGAATAAAAAAACTGGATTGTGGCTTTACATTTGGATTCCAGTAATCATTTGAGCAGCCCGCAATACAAGACAGGATACTGTACAAACGCACTCAACTTAGCCCCAAAAACTTCAGCATGCTTTTGATTGAATATATGCTTGTTGAAAGAGATTTGGATCAGCAGCCGCAGCTTAGCATCCCCATGTTGGAAGCATTTGTGCTTCGGGCTGTTCAAACAGAACCAGACCCAAACACTTTGGAGGGAGAGACAGATAACTGTGGATTAGCAGATCTGAGGACTCACACACAGACATGGAGGTATGCTGTGGAACATTTACTTAGTGTTGACCCTAAATAACCTTTTTATTTTTTATTTTTAAAGACCTCAGTCTTTTTTTTTTTTCATCTGAGCTGCTGATGTCTAAAAGAAAAGTTTGTATTTATATGTGTGTGTGCCCAGCATGAGTAGTTTGCCCAGCCGTAATGTTATAAATATTCATCTACACCTTAGAGAAAGCCAGACTTGCCTCAGGTGGATTCCTGGATAATTTACGGTGGTTTGGACAGAAAAACAACACACCTGTCAACTCCCATTATGCCCCGTGTTTACCTCCTGCACAGCGTGATTTCTGAAAAAAGAATGCCTCTATAAACACATTTTTGGGCTGCTGTAACTCTAATGTCATTTGAGGAATGGTTGTCTGTTAACCATACATTGCATAGAGAAGGGGGTGTAGATGCTGAAGACGGAGAGGATGGACTTTTCTCATAATCATAGTTTGTAGACAGACTAGGGAGACACATTAGTGTTAGAACATGGTGAAGGGTATTCTGCACAAAATTTTACCTTTAAAATGTATGGGGATGACCCAGAGGTACCCAACCACCAGGTCAAGGACTGGTACCGGGCCCTGTACTATTTCATACCGGGCCGCAAAGAAAGAATACATTTGTTTGAATTATATGTATTTTATTTTCATTAGTCTTCCGGGTATTTTACTCACTCCTGCACTTGACTCAGTCGTGCGTATTTTCCAAGCATCAGTAAGTCCGCAAGCTAACCCCTCGCAAAAATGACCCAAAAACAAACGTCACTGGAGAGCGTCTTTAAAAAAGGGAGAAAGAGCCAACGATTAGACACCAGGAGGGTCGCAGCGTGCCAACAAAAGATAAGCTGAATTTAAATGAAAATACCAAGAGTGCTACTTAAACTGTGGGATCATCGCAACAGGTGATTCACATGCCCCACTTCAATTTACACTCAGTCCTGTAGGGCCCTTCATGACTGAGTGTAAACTGACTGCATTTTCTTTGATAGCCAAAAAAACATGCCTAAACAAACACCTGAACTCCCTCAGCATGTACCTGTCAGTGTAAGTCTGCTGGGTCTGAGGTGGGGGGGATTTGCCGGTGAAAGGTGGCAGCCGCTGAACCCTGTACAGCGGAGGTTGGCAGCCGGAGCACAGAGCGCTGCTGGGGCCCGACGACAACATGGCAGCGTCGATCTCCATCTTCTCATCGAAGGTGCACAGCTTTATGCCGCCGATGGCAGAGCTGTGGGTGTCGAGGAGCAATGTGAGCGGCATGTCGCAGTAGACGTGCTGCGGACCCAAGTTGATGCTTTTCCCCGCGTCTGTTATCAGCTCGATGTTGGCTATAGCTGGGTTTTCTGTGAGGGGAGAAAAACAGACAGAGAGGTCGTTTTGTTGTTTTTGTGTGGTTGCACTTCTCACAGTTACAATAGTATGACGTCATTGGGTCATTCGGTCATTCGGTAACCAATATTTGGAAATGAACACCTTATTCATGTTTGTAACGACAGTGGTACGTGACGACCGGTTAATCTGCTTATTTTAGCGAGTTCAGATGTTGAGGCTGTGGCCAGATCAACACGTGGAAAACATCCTGAGATGACAGCTGCCTGTTAGCTCTGCTCTACAACTGAAGGTTTTCAGATTTAAGGACTTTAGCCAATCTGTTACTTCTAATTCTGCAACTGTTTTCAACACAGTTAGGTTTTTGTATACAAAGATTTTGCATCGTTTGCTGTGTGAGTGTTAGTAACTCTTTCTTGCGTTAAGCTTTAGTATGTATGAAGAGTATTAAAAACATAAAAAATCAGAATAATGTTGTTTTTCCACGAGTGAAACTAGCTCCATTTTTAAAGCTGTCTTTGGTAAACCCTTTGGACAAAGTGGTACCCATCGCATCTTTTGCCTTAGTATTTTACTGATGACAAATCTGATCTTGATTTTTTTTTAACAGTCAAACAATCACTGTAAATGTTTAATGTGGGGGGGGGGCGTGTTTCAGCGCTGTGCATCTGAAACTCCTCACAGGAGCTTTAATGATGTGAGCTTCATTGATTGTTTTGGACTTCTCTAGGCTGGTTCTAAATGCAGGGCTTGACATTTAGACTCAGGAAGAGCTTCTTTCCTCAGGCTGTCCCGACTGTTAATTCCACTCTCCTCAGTTAAAACATAGCACCTCATGAATAAAAAACAGAACTGTGCATTCTGCACATTGCGCTTTGACACCCTGGATACTTAACACACTGACACTTTACACTGTTTACATTATTATATATTTTGTATATTAAAATATTTATTTTTTAATTTTACATTATATTTCTATATTACTGTATTTATGTGTATTAGTAATTTAAGTGTTTATTGCATGGCCTTGCGGAACAGTCTTTACAGTCTGCTTATCAGCTTTTTGAATGAATGTGTACATTCATTCAGCTCTCGGAGCCAGCCTCAAGAGGACACTCAACGAACTGCAGGATTTTACACTTCCACTTTAGCTTCATTTTTTAACACCGAAGCTTGCTGCTTGGTATGAATGGGATTAGGTAATACTGATGGATACTTTACACAGCAGCCTCTGCCATCAGTGTGTGAATGTGGTGTGAACAGGGTGGATGTGACCTGCAGTGTAAAAGCCCTTTGAGTCGTCAGAAGAATAGAAAAGTGCTTTACAAGCTCAAGTCCATTTACCAGTTATCTTCACGAGTGCTGACTACTCTTTGTACAATTGGACATATTTTTACTCTCATAAACTAGATCGTTAAAATGTTCTTAAAACCAAAATTCAGACATTTAAAAAAATCTAAAGTGGAAGGAATCACCAGAAGAGCTGGGAGAGTGAAAAAAAGATGGGAAAAGAAAGTTCCAGACACACTGGCGAGACAGCCGGAACTCGATGCAGTAAAAACTTTGTCTTTTGCTGAATCTGCCGACTAATGCTGAAAAGTAAGTTGAGTGAAGAAGAGATAATGTTGTTTTGATTGGGTATTGTAGCAATGATTTGTTACTCTCTTCTGACATGTACATAAACCAGATTGCTTAATTTTCTTAATTCTGGGAGATAATATATTTTACCAATTGAAAATGAATCTTCCTGAGCCATTGGTAACAAAAGTCTGTCCAGGGATCTTTAAAGCCACTGGCCCTCTAATAGATTTATTTTTTTATTTTTTTGCCTTTAATGGAGAGACAGGACAGTGGATAGTGTTGGAAATCAGGGAGAGAGAGAGAGTGGGGAATGACATGCTTGAGACTACAGCCTCCATATAAGGGACGTGCACACTAACCACTGCACCCCCTGGCCCTCTAATAGAACGTCCTGTCCTTCCAGCACAGCTCTTCCCAGAGCCCACCATATTTTCAGTCGTATCTTCTGAAGTTATTGGACGTACCAAACCGCAGGTATAAAGCTGCTGTGCAGTGACACTCACTTGAAGAGATGTATGTGACCCACAGGGTGAGAGCTTGTGGGACGACCGGGTGGAGGAAACTCAGAGTGAGGGTGCAGCCTTCAGTGTCAGGACATGGTGACGTCACGTTGGTGTCATAAAGGCTGAGTTCGGGACTCCAGGCCTGCAGACTGGGTTCACAGGGCTGCTCCACATCTGGGGGACCTGGGGACAAGAACATCACACAGATATGTTTGTGTTCATGTACTTGAAAGCTCCTTTGAGGAACTTTTGGGTCGTGTTGACTTTAGCGTCCCCTGTGGACAAAAGTTGAACATTCATGTGTACGTTGTGTTTCCTGACAAAAAAGAACATGTCCTTCTTTGTTTTAACATGCAACAGAATTATTATTTGCCATGTTGAAAGGCTGTTATCAACAACAAAGAAACGTACGGTGGCTGGGAAGTGCAAAACCAAAAGCTTGCAAAGTTTGAGTCAAATTTCAATTGGTAAACATTTTTTTACATTTTTACAAAAAAATTTACAAAAACAAAACACTTTTACCAAGGACAAAAATAATTAACATTTTATAAAAACAAATGTACAAGATGTGAAACACTTTCAAGACCTGGAAGCGATTGAGTGAACTGTTAATTAGTTTGTTTTGACGTAAAGACTTTGTGAAATGTGTTATTCAGAGTTTATGGTGATCGAATGATGTTTTGTCCGTTTTGTGTGTCCCCCCTGAGATAATTGACATGCAGTCTTTCTGTCCAAACAAATGAACTGACTGCTCGCTCAATCACTTCCGGGTCATTTCAAGCATTTGATAAATTCCCTTTTTTTCCGCGTGATTCTGTGGTTTGTAAATGTGTTTGGTGACTTGCAAAAGTCGTTTGTAAATTTTACTCTGCGCTCGTAAGTGTTTCACATATTGTGAATTTGTTTTCTAAAATGTGAATTTGTTTTTCCCTTGGTAAAAGTGTTTTGCTTTTGTCATTTTGTTTTATAAAATGTAAATGTGTTTACCAAAATGTAAATTTTACTTAAGCTTTGCAAATGTGTTTCACACTTTTGTAATTTTAGTTTGCACTTTGCAGCCACCGTAGAAATGGTCGATCCTGTCATTTACGGTCTCATTTGATTTCTTGGGTCATAAAGAGGTTTCAGTGTTCATCTCAGTCTTTTTCATTAACAGGTAGAAACTCCTCACAGGAGCTTTAAGGGTCTTTATTTTAGCTTTATTGTTTTGTGCTGTCCTATATTTTCCTCAACATCTTTGCCCAGTTCTTTTTTCTTTTTTTTTTAAAGTGACGGATTTCACAAATTTCCCAGTCTTACCTTTAACAACTTCCAGCAAACACTCTTTTATTATTATTAACAAGAGAGAGCAGCCGTTTTCCAGTGGAGGAAGTTACGAGTCACCTCTTCCTTCCATAAAACATGGCGAGCATTCAGAAACACAGTAGCCTCTCCATTACAGCAGACAAAATTAGTTGTTAATTGTTACAGTGTAAGTAATTAAGTGAATGGAATATCATTACAGGGAGTGTTATTATCGACTGTGTCCCGGGTGAAAGTAGGAAAAATCCGGATGTTAATGAGGTGTTACATATTTCACACCCGCTCGGATGACGTCCAGATCGACCTAAATAGGCGTATAAACGAGCCAGCACTGTAAACTGTTATTTCCTAAAGCTGTTGCTTCCTTATATTTACGACTACTGAAGTAGCAGACATATAAATACGATCTCAGATCTTTCTTTTTTTTAAAGCTGACTAATTGCTAGCTGGAGGAATATCAAATCTGAAGGATATCTGAACTGAAAACAAACATGAGCTGCTGCCTTTTCTTTATTTCGGAGATGTTGTGCTTATATAATGACATCAACAGTAAGATCATAGGCTGGACGGGGCACGAAGTGTCATCAGTTTGCTGGTTTGTAGGCCGTTAAAGGGTCAAACACACAAAGGTCTTTCCAAAGGTCGAGGCTGCAACTTTCCAGATTAAATTTCACCAAAGTTGAACTCAAAGCAGAGATTTTATTCCCCCCACTTTTTCTTGCATTGAATAAAAATGTACAGAGAGCAATGATTGTCAGTTTTAAATCATGGGCATGACTGAGCATGCCGGTGAACGTTTGATCGTAAAAATATGTCAATAATTATTTACATTCCTACAACTTTTGAAATCAGAGACTATTTTGAAACTTCAAAGCCAAAGGGTATACTGCACGATTTGAGGCCAATTAAGAGCCAATTTTTGAGTCTTAGGACTGAGTCTGAAGTTGGCCTGGATTTCAGCCCAATCACGCGTTGTTAGTCGTGCAGTGTGCGGAGAGGGCATGACGGGCGATCGCGGCCCGATCAGCTAAATCCGGTCGGATGATTTTCAGGCATGTTTAAAATTTCTGGTCATGCGACTGCACACACTCACACGGTGCAGGCACAGCCAAGAGACTATTGCCTGACTTCCTGGATGTGGAAAATGACAGACAGCATCTGATATCACCATGGCAACAGCTGGCATGCCTGTTGAATGTGCATTGCCCCTCGTGTCATCAAAAGAAATGTTGGCAGGTAATATCTGGAGACCTCCAGCTGAATATTTTTTGATGATTTAGCTGTTAGTTATCGTGTGTGTGTGTGTGTGTGTGTGTGTGTGTGTGTGTGTGTGTTAGAGAGAAAGTGAGTGACAGAGACAACTGTAATACACATAGATCTGACCTCTCCCCTCCGTCTTTGGGAGCTTTCTATTGACAATCGTCATGACCCATCTGGAACAGTTTGAGCTCTCAGGTCGTGCCAGACAATCGGGTCATAGATTGTGAGGACATAAATTGTATTCTTTGGTTGAGCGATGTAAATGAATTAGCCGGTATTTTACAGTCCATCTTAAACCATCAGTCAGTTTGTGACAGGTTCTCATTCAGCCAGCAACATGCATGGCCAACCTCTCTCTCTACTTTCTTCAACTAGCAATGCAATGAAAAACACGACACAGTGTTTGGCCATTTAACTGTTTTTTCTCTGTGTGTGTCGCCAGACATGGTATCAGCTTTGAATGTGTCCAATTTCCCCTCTTCCTTCCTTCAGCTGAAGGTGATATTGCCCATCTCCGCTGGCTGACAAAGTGACCCATCACATCAGCGTCTTGAGGAGTGGGAACGAGTGAAAAGGGGAGCCAGGGGAACCAGCAGACTGGCTGTCTCCACAGCTGTGTGCATACCGCTGTTTAGAGTAAGACTGTAATTGACTCTTTATCATCATAATGATCCCGCAGCGAAAGAGAGGGAGCCCTAATCCCCCCTGTTCCTCCTCAACGCTTGTTTTCCAAGCATAAATTCCAGCGGAGGATTTCCACATATTTAGGTAGAGTTCCCACGAAGGAGAGGGAACGTGTGATTGTGTTCCTAATGGTATTCACTGTGTTTCTCTCTTTCTTTTCTTCTCTTCTGCTTTCAGGTTTTCCTCCTTGCGTTGCTTTTATTTTCGGCCTCGTTCTTCTCAACAAGTTGTGTCGGGGGAAAACGATCTTCTTGATAAGTTATGATTGGAAAAACAAGCTCCATGTGCCACTGCTTACATGCAGCATAATGTTTCAAAGTACGCTTGGACAGGATCGCGAGATACAATTCTTTTGGCTGTTTTGTTTATGACAGAGTTTCAATGTTTGAACGGCACCCAGATATTACCCCGAGCAGACGTTTGTCTAATAATCCTCTCTCGTCTTTTGGCCAAACCAAGACAGAGAGACGTCTGTAGCTGAAGGCAATTATCGTTTAATGATTTTCTACTTTTTCCTCCTTCAGGAGCCATTAGCCTTGCACGCACCTGAAATTTACAGGGAAGAGACGTGTGTATTTGTGTGTGTGTTTGGTGGGAAGGAGGTTTCTTTGCTTCGTTGTAACAGGAGACAAAAGTATAACTCAAGGACTCAAACTCAAACATTACCTTCTATCAAAGATGACTGAACGGAAAGAGTGTTTAAGGAGGAGAATAAATAAAAAAAAGATCCGGTTATGAATCACTTCAAAACTTTAACACTAGAAGTCCTTTACATGCAGCTCAAACATGCATTAGACTCAGCGCTGTTTTTCTATTAACATGGTGAGTTTTATCCATGTTGCCTAAAGTAAAAAGCTATGAAACACTTCTTCTTTTGTTTTTATTATGACTGACCTACGGCCTCCTCGGGGGTCCAGTAGCCTGACGTGTCACAGATGCGAGGTGAGGTCGCTTCGTGGGCGTACTGGTGGAAAACACTGTCCTTCTCACAGTCGCCACAGCTGATAGCAGATCCATGAAGGGAGGAGCTGAGACAGAAAGGACACAAAAAGTGCTCATCAGGAGTTATCACCTCTTTTATATTAAGGACCTACAAGGTCTACAAGTCCTACAGGAGATGAGATAAGATAACATTTTATTGTCCGTTTGCACAGAAATTGTTTGTCTTGCATTACAAGCTCAGAAATCCTTGCATCCCAATCCAATCACATCACAGTCAAAAAGACCGAACATGAAAACAGCATAAGTTACATTTAAAATCACAGAAGTTCAGGAATGACATAAATATATAAATAATGTTAGGAGATTGTCCATGAAAAGTGCTCACAGTCCATGTGCAGCCCAGGTCAGGTACATTAATGATTGGAACTGTTTGTTCAGCAGAGATATGGAGTGAGTAAAAATAATAATAATTGAATAGTTATAAGACCAACTGCCTTTTTTTTTATACTTTGACTGGATAAAGCAGGACAACTGTGGGCAGCCAGAAAGAAATAAGAACTGGCCGTTATATTGGAAAACATTTAAAGGGTTATTGTTGAGGTAATGTGTGATAAGTCATAAAGTCTGTCCCGCCTCCTCTGGCCACTTGTCTTGAATTGAGAAGTCTTTAAAAACCAAACTAGAACTCCACACAGTGTATTTACTTAAAAGTATGCGATGTGTTCTTTAAATGCATTATTATGAACAAACGAAGGAGAAAAGTTATTTGAAAATGGCAAAGCTCGCCTGGTCTGCTTCACTATGTAATAATAATAATAATAATAATAATAATAATAATAATAATAATACATTTAATTTGTAACGCACTTTACATTTTTGCAAAAAAAATCTCAAAGTGCTACAGGGAGAAAAAAATAGAAATAAAAACAAATTTAATCAACTAAGCAACTAACGAAACTAAAAGCACAAACAGAAGGCTTTGTTAAAAAGGTTTTTAGGGCCCTTTTAAAAGCATCAGCAGACTGTGGGGCCCTCAGCTGCTCAGGGAGAGCGTTCCACAGACTGGGAGCAGAGGAGCAGGAGGCCTGGTCACCCATGGTGTGGAGTTTAGTCCTGGGGGGATGGAGGAGGTTGGTGTTTCCAGAGCGGAGGCTTCGTGTGGAGGATTGTGGGGTGAGGAGTTCTTTGAGATAGAGGGGGGCATTTCCATTGGTGCACTGGTAGGTGAGAAGGGTGACTTTGTATTGAATCCTGAATGAAATAGGGAGCCAGTGTAGTGACTGAAGGATGGGTGTGATGTGTTCATATTTACGCACCCTCATCAGGACCCTAGCAGCGCTGTTTTGGACATGTTGGAGCTTCTGGAGGCTCTTGCTAGGGATCCCGATGAGAAGTGCGTTGCAGTAGTCCGGCCTGGAAGAGACAAAGGCGTGGACGAATTTCTCAGCATCTGAGAGGGAGAGTGTAGGACGGAGTTTGGCAATGTTTCTGAGGTGGTAGAATGAGTTTTTGCACAGATGTTTAATGTGGGCTTTAAAGTTCAGTTGAGGGTCCATTTTGATGCCGAGATTTGTGATGGTGGTTATGGGGGATGACTTGATCTGGTGTGGGGTGCCAAGCTGTGTTGTATCCCAACACAGCACTTGCAATGGCGGCTAAATTTCAATCCTGTCATGCTGCCTACATTGGGTGAAGGTCGCGGCTGCTCACAAAGGACACAGTCCACTTTTCAGATGAAAAAAACCCACAGAATTGTATATAGTAGCATGCATTCATACCTCTGATGGAGTGTTCCTCGTAAAGGTGTCAGCCAATAAACAGAGACAGAATCCAGACTCTGGTCTGTGACCATGGGGGGCAGAGGGATGGGTGCAGGGGTCCGGTCCATCAGCCACTTCTGGTAGACCAAGTCAAGATAACAGTGCATCCGGGCCACTTGGTTGGGAGTAAAATGGTTGGTGCAGTTGTCATCTGATGAAATGGAACAAAAAAGGAAACGCATCAATCAGGTCTGAACACTCCATCTGTCTTCACACAACTGGAAACAAAGAGGTTTATTACAGACAAATGGAGAGAGAGGAAGAGAGAACAGCCTTTGAACGTAGCAGTAATGTCCTTATAGTAAACCTTTGAGAGTGTGATTCTGCTAATATAAACCAGAAACGTTCAAGTTACATAGCTCATGGGATAAAGAGATGGGAAATGTTTGGAGGATTCAAGCCCACAGCCGTCGCTGCGTGGACTAAAGCCTCTTCACATTGGGATGCACAACAGTAACCACTAGACTATCCAGTAGGGAGTAGCAGAGAGAACTCCCATGATTCCCCGCTAGCCTCGACATCATTCTTTGTTATTGTTTTGATTGAGAGCCCCCTTGGCGGCAGATTTTTACATACTGCACGTTTAAAGCTTAAGTCTGTATGGCCTAAAGCATCAAAACTGGTTAAACATACAAAAAAATCACATTTGAATGACTGATTGACTTTAGAGGAGGAAAAAATGACCCACGATGCAGCAAAATGGAGTATCGCCTATGATTAATTTGGCTTCATAGGGTAGCCAATCAGGTCTTCACAGACATTTAGAAAGAGACAAAAAGCTTTGATGAGTCTTGCACTTGCTTTTGTTGTTGTGTATTACATCTGTCAGGGAATAGATAACTTACATGCTTCACATCTGTCCCTTTAAAAAAAAACACATGATTTGGATTAAAGACTAATGAAAAGCTGCTGGAACCACAAACCATGTGTGTCTACTCCTACTTTATTGAGTCTCAAATGAAAAAGGTCTGAGTCTTATTAAGCAGGAGGATGTTACATAGTTTTACAATCGCTGTGTTCATTTTACCCTCTACGATGACTTAGCAAGTTATTTCAATTACTTATTATCTAACTGGTTGTGTGTGTCATTCACTCTTTTCAACATGTCTGACAGTCCACGAGCTGTCCACTAAATGTCAGGATAGTGAAGGATGTTTTCTGTTTGCTGTACCTGTGTAACTCATGTAATTGCTGTAAGGTGTGTCCTGGTACGTTGTGACTCCACAGGTATCGTTGACGGCCCCGGGATCGTGGCAGGCTTTGGATTTGGGTGTGGGTGCAGTGTCGGCACACAGGTCTCCTGTCTCCATAGATGGTGTGGTCTCCTACAAGTTGAAAAAATGATCACAGAAGAGTTCACATCTCTACCAGGTAGGAAAGTCTACACTTTATGGATGGCAAAGGAAGCGCTAACAGACACTCCCCTCCTAAAAATGTTTCCGGATACAATTTATTGTTTGTCCAACTATAACTAGACTTTTAAAATGCATGTGGCTGGGGTGCTGGTGGCGCAGTGGTTAGTGAGCGCACCCCATGTATGGAGGCTGTCGTCTCAAGCGGGCGGCCCGGGTTCACATCCCACCTGTGGCTTCCTTCCCGCATGTCATTCCCCACTCTCTCTCCCTGATTTCTGACTCTATCCACTGTCCTATCTCTACATTAAAGGCACAAAAAGCCCAAAAATTAATCTTTAAAATGCATGTGGCTGCTGTCGCTCAACTGGAAGGTCGAGAGTTGGATCCCCAGCTCCTGCAGCAACATGTCCGATGTGTCCTTGGGCAAGACACTTAACCCCAAATCGCTCCCACTGCTTCGTCAGCTGCATACAGATGTACATGAATGAGATTAGCTAATCCTGATGGACACACTTCACATGATAACTTCTGCCATCAGTGTGTGAATGAGTATGAATGGGTAGATGTGACCTGCAGTGTAAAAAGGGCTAAAAAAGACTTTAAAAAGTGCTATACAAGCTCAAATCCATTTACCATTTACAATGTCAACATTGTCAACAAGTCAAATTTCCTGCAGTCTGACTAACACACCAAGATAATGCGGTCGGGGTATGATTAAGTCTTGCATGCATACGCCTCAATCCCTAAACTAGACTTGTGTCCAGTTCTGTTCGTTCTTTAAGTTCCCGTGCCGGGCTTTGACCCTGAAGTCGAACAGCATCAATACGAGGCACAGCAGAAGGCGTCTGTTTGCACATGTCACTATGAGCTTGAGGGTTAGCTTGCATTGCATTTGTACCAAAAGTAAAGCTTAGAGAATGTGTGAAATGTACAGAGCTGTAAAGTCGGCCATGTTTTCACCTTTCTGCATACAACCAGTTTACTGCTTACTGTGGCAAGGTCAAAAAGAAACATGTCATATAGCACCTAGAGATGGGGTCGATCCAATATCGGTATCTGGTCTGATATTGACATAATTTACGTATCAGATATCAGACCGATAGCGCGGATCCACGTCACCGTTCCAGAAAGATGGTTGGGCACTTTCTTTCATTCCCAACTCGCACAGTCTCGCTTTGAAGACATTCAGACTCAACTGTAAGTGTCCACAAATTGTCTCCACAACGACGTTCAGACGAGATGGAACACCTTCTACGTGATCAAAAGTACAATTCTTACAAGTTTCAAAGATTTAATTTGAAAAACCTTGCAGTTGTTGATGCTTCCTGTTTGTATTTGAAGCCAGCACAATGCAATGCAATGCTTACTACAGCTTCTTGTAGCCTTACAGATAATACCAACAACAACAATAAAACTATTAGTTATGATAAAAAAAAAAAGATATCGGAACCAGTAACAGTACATATGTATCAGAATCGGATCGGAAATGAAAAAAAGTGAATCGGTGCATCTCTAATAGTAACTAGCTAAAAGGGTCAATATCGCCACCTAGTGTATCGGAGTCAGTCATGCTTCTGTCAATAAAACGATTCTCTCCTGGTGTTTGTTTACTGGGACAAAGACAGTCATCCAACTGTATGGCCTAATCAAGCTTTAACTGGAGCTGGACTTAACCGTGCATGCACACGTACTAACTGAGAAGGGGAGTATATTTAACAGGCCTACCTGACATGGGTCATCACAGGAGTCTCGCTCGCTCACCCCCTTGAACACATGGTACAGTCCCAAGATGTGGCCCATCTCATGGATCATGGTGTTGTGGTGGCCCATGGTACCAAAGTAGGATGGGTTCAGCACCATCCCGCCTGAAATCAAACATCAGATTCACGGTTTAGTACATAATACTTTTTAGATGTGTCTTTTAAAAAGACAGTGCCTACATGTTCAGATCTGTAACCCAAGCTGGATTTTTGTAATTAAACTTTAAAAGCCACATACACAAAAAGAAAAGTAGTTTTTACATTTTACTTTTGGCTGTTTTTGGCAAGACTTTTTACATTTTTTAATTCTAAACTACCAGTTTTGTGTCTCTTTAACTGAAAGTTCAGCCTCCACCACAGCATGCTGGCATTTTGCAAAAGAGAAACAGACCAGTTCAGTAATAAGACAAGGAAATGTGACATTACAACCAATTAGGAATGAAGTAAAACTTAAGTGCTTGAAACCAAACACAGAACAAACATAATGGCGATGTGGTTTTGGAGGGATTTGGGCCATTTTTGCGCACTTTGAATACAAAGGAATGCTCAAAAGACTCTGTTAGTGGAAGATGTTTCATGGCGTAGGAGGAGACCCATGTCAGTGTAAATGCACTAATAGAAATGTCTCGGCCAATGAAGGACATATAGGACAATAATTACTGGAGAAAAGTGCATCGACAATGTTAACATTGTATACTTAGACATTATGTTGGGAACAATGTCTGGATGTGGTGTCCAGTTTAGGTTTTTATGGATAAGGTGGGATAAAGTTTGCTTGAGTTTACATTAAAAATATTGAAACTACAGTACTATTGGTACTATGCTACCTGGAAAGCTGTGGCATACTGCTAAGCTAACCCAGAGAGCATCCCTTAAGCAGAGTGTTCTACGCCAAGCAAAACAGTATTTCCATTTTTTTTTTTTAAATAAAATGTTTAAATATATGAAGATCATGTTCCTGACTGAAAAGTATCTGCCACCCCAGGTGCAGCGCTTCAACTCAACTGTTAGCCAGGAAGCAAAATTTAAAATCAGTAGCATAGAGTACAGTTGACATAAAGGAACAAATAATTGGACAATATGATGAAGGATAAGACCAGCTAGCCAGCCCCGTATCAACGAACACTTTACGTGTACTCCACATGACCAAATCTACAGACGCAACACGGCATGCAACAGTAATGGTTTAATATCCATTATCTTGTTTTCATGATGGTGGGAAGCCAAAATCGTAATTGAAACTGAAACTCCATTAATTGCTCAGCCCTACAGCATGCTGTCGACTGCGTAATGACTGAAGTCCGTAGTGAAATGTTTATAAGTTAATGGGATGAGATGGTTAGATGTAATTCATAGTTTCAGAGGTGCAGTATGCTTCTTGCAGCTTGTGTGTTAAAGGCGTTATCGTGTGTCTTTCATAGGATGAGGTGTAGGTGATTGCTTATACTTCATGTTGTAAATAAATGTTTCCCTCTGTTTTTAGACTCAAATAAATCTGACTTAATGTTGCAATGAGATGTCAGTTTGAATAAATTGTTAACTAAGGCTTTTTGACTGACTCAGCAGACACCCTTGAGCCAATCAGAATCAAGTATTAAAGGTCCCATATTATGCTTTTTCCGGTTTTATATGTTCTTTAGTGTGTTTTCCAAGTGTCCTGTGCATGTTTAGGCAGATCTATTTGCAAAAATTCAAAGTCCGTGGAAACGCGGCTTCTCCTACGTCCTCCTGTTAGCTGTAGCATTAGCTGCATGTAACGCTCGGTTCTAGCCCCCCTCGATAAAAAATTGTCAGTGCGGCATCATTGTCAGTGTGAGATCACTGATCTAAGCCCATTGGCTCGTTGTGGCAAGCGCAGCAGCTCATGTTGAAATTTCCGAGAAGCGTGCTGAGCAACCTACCAATAACGACAGAGCGAATCGGCAGACCAATCAGAGCAGACTTGGCCCACGTGGGGTCTAGCAGTGTGGGCACAACAGAGTGCAGCTGACGGACTCAGAGCGTAGAGGGAGCAAGGAGGAGCAGTCCATGAAAACAGACACTTTTTTTTTACTTTAGCTATTGTGAACGTACAAAAGTAGGTACATAGATTAAATATACGAATCCCAAAAAGGGCATAATATGGGCTCTTTAACACACACCATTGGTAGGCTTTAAAAAATAAAAATGATACTGCACAACAATAACTGCTGCATGAATGTGTATCTTCAAAGTGTTAAAGCTATCTGTATCACGTGATGCATAGAGATCCACACTCTGAATTTGGGCTGACGATAATCACTCTTGTGCTATTTGATCACATGCTGCAGTCGGCCCCTGGCTGAGCTTACAGGTTGTTTTTGTGCCTTTAAGTTGGTCTGTTGGTCATTGCGAAGCAGGATTTCTCAACAGATCTTAATGAAATTTGATAGAAAGTTAGTACATGCACCATGAACATCAAGGGATTTGGATTTTTTTTTTTTTGGCATGGATCTGAACACAATGTTCTGTTTTAATTATTTCTTAGGAAGGCAAAGATGATGCTCTCTGGTGCATGTCTGCTGATGTGCCGTCTCCTGTGAGTGAAGCGATTCTTCAGTGTTTAAACGCAAATCAGATGTTGATTAAAAGTACATAACATGTTGTATTAAAAACGGAATTAAAAAGGAGAAAATCACTTAAAAGTAATCCAAAAACGGTGAAAGCCCTTCTTCAGCTGCCTCAAGTCAGGATACATGTTTTTTGTTTTTTTCGCAGCATGCTGATAGTCAAAGAATCCAAACCAGACTTGGTAGTTATTGGTTTTCTAATAAGAAACAGCGTGTTTAGTGGTGAAGACATCGAACAATGAAGACATTAAATACACACACTCTAAACAACGAGGCCTCCGGAGACGACTTGTCATCCTCTAACCGGTTTTAAAACAGGGACAGATGCCGAGCAAGTGAAACAAATCACATGAGGGAGACATTGAGCGCAGAACTCAAGTCAACAGTTTACTTTGAACATATATCAGCCACTCAGACGATATAAATGGTTACAGTAAAGTCTCCTGTTTTAATAAATATCTACTTAGCGCTCATACACATTCAATAACTCATCATAGTCATTGCTTCTTTTTGTCTCTGAAGAATAAACCGGACGAGATGTTATGACTACAGGAGCTGGAGTCTGTCCCTCTGCTGGGCAGAATGAATACCGTGTAAATAGTGAGAAGGGGGATTCAATATCTGACTAAAGGATCTGAATGCTCTGTGCTTTACTTGCTCCTCCTGCAGTGGTCGTCAGAAATGTGCTTGTTTGTAGAGTTGCTCGCTTGGCCTTTGCCCACTAGGCGGAGCTATATATTTGTTCGTTATGTGCATGCTCTGTTTTTTTAAGAAAGACAGTTTTGGCACGCTTCCAGAGTACTAAATTGTCAATACAAACATGTTCCCCAGGCTGGCAGCGCCCCTATTTAACATATTTTCCCTCCTCATGAGGTCATAACCATGCATTTAAAGAAAAACACTGTGGTATACTGTAAAGTAAATACAACCTGTAGAGTGCTGGACTTATTGAAAGACTCCTAAACTAAAGTCAAGGAGTGACCAGTGATGGTGGGCGACGTTGACTTAGTCGGTTTGTACTTCACAACTTTCACCACAGGCTGAGAGTTCAACTACCGTAACTGGATCTAGTAGGAGTGCAAACTCCACTCAGTGAAAACTGTAGGCTTCCAAGAGAGCTACAGAGCTGCATACAATCTGCAATGTGTGGACTTTGCTGAACTCATTGGATAACACCTCTTTTCTCTTTAGGACACTCTCCAAAAACAGACTGTGTTTTATGTACTGGTGCAACGTTTATTCCGGATTTGATGGTAATTGCAAAGTAGAGGAAGGGGGAGATAAAACGTAAAGGAGCATGACTTATTCTTCTCTGTCTGTTAAATGCTTTTGTAGATATTGACCACTCTGCTTTCACAGTTCTTCTTTTGTGCTTTGTTTATCTATTGAAGCTCAATTCATTCGTTCTGAGAAAACAATCAGTTTGGCTTCATCGTTTTTTGAAATCTTGACAGTGTAATGTAGCACACCCACATCAGCCTGAAGATCTGATTTACTCAGCTGTCCCTTTAAAACGAGCTAAACTGCAACTTGGTCCCATAATTAGTTTCATTCTGTCAATATGGCGCTTCTACTTCTACATGCTAATGCTATCTTAACACCCCAATTTTTGAAAAATATTCACTGCTCACAAGTGTTGTAGCACTCGAAATTGGTCTTGGTCGCAAAACCACTTTTTTAAGGACTCGTCTTGGAATCAAAAGCATTTTTCCTCCTTCTTGTCTCGGTCTCAGACTGGGCGGACTCCGTATTTTAAATGAAGACCGGTTAAGACCCCCACTGACAGGCTATTTTTCCACATCATAACTGTGATTAGAAAGAAAACGGCCTTTTCTAAAACAACAAATAACTTTAATTCATTTGATTTTTATCCCTCGGTTACGGCCGCAACCTTCCTGGTGTTACTGTCTAAGTGAGTGACACACTCCCTGCACATAAGCTGATGATTTTTCATTGATATTCATGGCCTTTGTCTTGCCCTGCCTTGGACTTGCCTTGGTCTCAAACCCTAAAGGTCCCATTCTCATATCCATCCCGGTGAACTAAGGGGGTTCATACAGTTGTTGACATTTATAATGAGAATGCGCTCCATGGTTTCAATGATTTGAAACTGTCTCACATTTGACCAATCTCATCCTTTTTTCTTTATCTTCATATACCTTCATCCATGAAGGCTTATGGAGAATAACTCCACTCATCTAACCTTTGCATTCTTTTTTTGAGAGCAGAAGATGAAAGAGCGGTGCGGTTTCTAAACTGTACGTTCTTTTCTGTTGAAGTTGAGCTTGTTCTATTGCACAAGTATGGACTGATGCTCTACTATGAAGCACTACATTGGAGAAACCTTGCTTGACTCTGGGAGGATTTAGTCATCAACTGTGATGTCTGAAGATCCAGATCAGCGGCAGATTCATTTCACTTACATTCATCAGCCTTACCTCACTCACTCACTTACTCCATCTCTGAGCAAGATCAGCAACATGCACTTTGTATGACACGTTCCAGTGATATATGCTCTCCCCAGTTTGAGTAATAAGATGCTCCTGTCCCTGAACTCTTGTATCTCACTTAGGAGAGCAGAATCAAGCATGAGGAGAGTTGCACCGATATACTGTTATGTTCCTTTGTGTATCCCTGCATACATCACTTTTGTAAAGGTGTGTGGAGTTGAACAGCTATATGCAGTGATTACAATAAGTGTTTTTATGTATGTATATTTGATAAGAGGACATAAAAAGAGAGATTGCGATGTTCAGGCCCAGTAGCAGTTCCTCTCCCTGTTAGCCTACAAATCCAGCCATATTGGACTATGTGTGTACCATTTAGATTCTGCTATATGGGCAAGGTCATTTGTGATGTCTACTGAGCGTTAAAACAATAACACAACTAAACAGCACCTTTGTCGAAAAGTCTTTCATCGTACTTTTCACACATAAGATAAGGATATGAAACCAACCCTAGCTCACCTTGATGAACTAACTGTTAAAGAGGAAGACGCGTTCTGTTGGTTACACAGACTTGAGCTTTCTTCCAGTGAGATGTTTTAGGGCCCTAACACACCAAGCAGACACTGAAGAACTAGTGGCCACGAAGGCCACCTGTGGCGTCGCCTCATGTCACTTCTTGTCTTGGCCAAAAAGTTGCACTAGAACACGCCACAAAGACTAAAACCGGCGGCCGACCACCACATATGTTCTGGTGCATGCGTGATAGGCAATAACTCTCCATGCCAGCAGGCGGCGGCAGTCTGTTGTTATGATACGAGAAGACCATTTTAGTATCTGATAAAATGCCACTGCCGTTGTCAGCCCTTGGTCTTTTCGACAAATAAGGAGAAACCGCACTAATGGGTGAAAGCATGGATACTACAGCGGCATGCTCAAGGGGCTGAACCTGTGTCGAGAGCTGGAGATAAATGAAACCTCCAAACAGCCAATCGGAGAGATTCCTCTCACCGACCACCTACACCGATTTGAATCGGCCGAAAAAAGGCAGATGGGTGGCGACAGGGCCGGGCACACAGCAAAAAACTAGATCGACGACTGCTCACCGACAGTTCAACTAGGACCGATGGCTGACGTTTGTCTTGGTGTGTCAGGGCCTTAAGAAGAAGATATTTTTGTTTATAATACAGGAAATACACAACCAACAATCAGACTAAACAGCAACACATACGTATCAGTACCAGCTACCAATTTCCAGACTTTGTTTGTTGCACCAGGACTTGAACCGGTGACCCTCCAGTTCCACAACCTCATAAACTGAGCTACTGCCGCCCCCAGGATAAATGCTTCCACTGACGCCGTGGCATAAATGAATAAATAACAGCTGGAAATCGGTAATGACTTTAACAATGGTAAAGAATCCACACAAGTGTTTATTTGTTGGGTTGATCAGTCTTTTCCAGTGGAACGGGCACTAATGATTGGAAGAGGAAAGAGGCAGTGTGCCGGGAAAATCTCTAATTGCTCTCCTCATCTTGTTTGGTTATTTTTTTTTTTTAAAAAGAGGTCAAAGGATGGTGGGCTAGAGGAGAGGTGTTAAAGTTTGCTGACAGGTAAAATTTTATCTGTAATATACAGTCATGTGACGTAATGTTTCCTACCTTGGTGGGTAAGAGCTTCCTTTGCCCACGGCCAGGTTGCAGCTCCTGCCAGCTCCTCACGCGCTGAGTTGCTTGCAAAGAAAACATTGAGTGTGTCCGTGCCACTCAGCTCAAGCTCCTCCTTCAGCTCCTTCACACTCATGTAGGCTCTATAGGGAGAGAGAGAGAGAGCAAACATGAACATTTCTGAAAGCATGTTTTGCTCTGATAAGCTTTACAGCTAATAGTAAAAAAGTAATGTTCAATGCCTGCCATAAACATTCATAAAAACAAACAGAGCAGTAAGTCCAAAATGTTAAGAGTCCCTTTTAATCACAGTGATGTTGAGAAATTATAGGCGCTATAACTTTGAGTAGTGTGGCCGTCCATACAAATGGTTTTGCATTAATGTAGAAGAGGATCCGCCCCCTTAAAAAAGAAAGACTCACTTTTCTGGATACCACTTCCCAAGGTAGAGCAAAGCACAGCATAACTTTAATGGAGGAGGGTGAGCTGAAAAATAACTTATTTTAATGATGTTAGAAGATACATATGACATATGTAGATGATTGGTCCCCTAACTTTAAAATTGACAGACTTTTAAACACCTTTCAAATTCTATTTGAATTTTCTATTTCTCCCTATGCTTCATGTATCTCTCAGTGTGTAAAAGTCAAAGGTGAGAATGGTATTGATGAAAACTTTGCCTCATTGTAGTTAATCCTGTCTGTCAACACCCAAGTCCACATTTGGTGACACCATGATCTTGATTTCCAGAGATTAATTTAATAAGGCAGAAGACTTCCCTTTCGGAGAAACCTTACATTTTCACTATTTTTTGTCTGATCCAAAAAACAACTTAAAACAGTAATTTGGAAGTAAAATGTTTTTATGAAACGGCTGTGGATCAGTGGTAGAGGTCGTCACTCAACTGGAAGGTCGGGGGTTCGATCCTCAGCTCCTGCAGCAACATTACTGATGTGTCCTATGGCATTTTAACCCCAAGTTGCGCTCACTGCTTCATCAGTGGAGTGTGAATGTGTATGAATGCATATGAATGGATTTGTTTCTTCTGATGGACACACAGCAGCCTCTACCATCAGTGTTTCATTGTGTAGATGTGACCTGTGGTGTAGAAGTGCTTTGAGTAGTCAGAAGACTAAAAAAGTGCAATACAAGCTCAAGTCTGTTTACCATTTACAACCATCCTTCACAAACTAGACATAAACTAGAGAAACTACACTTTGTTCTACCTCTAGGTAGGGTTATCTACATTTTAGGAGCCGAAGTTCCTCTACTAATGAGAAAGATGTTACAACAGTTGACTGTCTTATCAGACAGTGAAAGAGTTTCCTCTTCGTTGGAGAGCTTTGTTCAGGATTGATTTAGCAAAGCTTTGCAGTTTAAGCAAATAAAACTGCTAGCATAGTTTTCTCCTCCATATTAAAGTGATGAGATCTACAAAAATGCACTTACTCAGAAATCATAACTACAACTGCTACTCTTAGGCTGAACACAAATTTAACTATAAAAAAACAGTTGTGCATTGGAGAGTTTTTTCAAGACTTATTTAGCCTAGATAAAAATGTTGTAGTAAGGCCTACTGGCAAATAGCTATATCATGCTCCCCTGTAAGTCAACTCAGCCCTTTCTTAATTATGCAAATGTTTGCATAACTCTAAGTTTTTTATTCACCTGCTTTATAATGAGTAGCAATAAAGATGAGTTATTTATATCAAATAGTTTTTTGTCCCAGGCTGTACTCGTGTTTATTTTTACTGTAAAATGTGCATTTTAAACCTGGGTGTAAAAGGGCGATCTAGGGCTTTTGCAGCCCGCCTCAGGTTGACATTGAAGGAACTGCAGTTTTCTTTGCATTTCTACAATGGCTCCATTTTGAACACCGAATAAAAACAGGCTCAAATGTGAAAATATTAGCGTTTTGGAGCTAGAGAGGTAGCCTAGCTAACAAGCAGGTGAGAAACTGCTTTAGCTTTTATGCTAAACTAAGCTAAAAATGTCTTGGACTAATTTTCAATGGATGCAAAGACATTAAATCTTCTTGGAGACTTAAATGCTTTCTGCTCACTGTGATGAAACTCAATACCAAGAAACATAGACTGATCTGTCATGTTGGTGCAGGTTAAGTCTTTAGCAGGAAACAGTTTGCTTCCATCTTCAAACATCTGTCGTTGCCTGCGTGTAGTTTCCAAACCCTAATTGTTTGAATTGGTCAGGGTGCTTTAACCACTGTCCCCCCTGCACGCCCACACCTCCCACACCTTTCTCTCCCGCTGTGATTAATTACCCAGGAGGTACTTTGATGTGTGACGCCGACTTTGTTTTTCCTCGTAGTGATGTCACATGTCATATTTCTTCTTTGCTTTCTTAGCTGGAAAGCAGTTGCAGCTATTACCGTTAAGGCGTTACTGGGAATGAGAGACTTGAAGTGGGCTCTTACTGACTGTGGAAGTCACTTTAAGGCATTTTTGAGGGGAAGGTATTAAATGCTAGGTTGATAACAATCTGTCCGTGACTGTAATGTACTGTGTGTTCGGGTTGCATGTACTTCTTTACATCTGTTTTTTTGTGGAGGGTCATATCAGCTCATGCTAGCTGGGTCGAATCAGGTCATAATTAGAAAAATACACTTTGGTAAATGTACAACTCAGGCTTAATATTTCCTATAAAGTCTTGTTTCTTCTTGTTGCTGAGGTAAAGCTTTGGATTAGAGTGATTTCAATGTTTATAATGTAATGGATTGTTTTATGTTGTAGTTCTGAAGCAGGGAGTGCAGCTTTTATTTGATTGATCAAGTGCAGCTGTTGGGCTAACTGTTCAATTAATAATGCCATACTTTAACCTTTACCTCAGCTGCCTTAAGTCTCTTCACGTATTAAGATGATTTGTCCCATGTTGGAGTTCCACCTTTGATCAGGCTCGTCTGTATGACTACATGTATTAATGCTTAATACTTAATGGAAGTCTTGAAATGTTTAAAGGTGATATAATCATATGAATGTAATTTAAATTATGATTCATTAAAAGTGCTGTTCAGCCTTGGCTCAGAGCTTGTTTATTGTTCCAACAGCCTGAAGGATATACAAGGTGATCTTGGGACTACAACGTCTCGGCTTTCATCTGGGGAAAATTTCGATGGATGAAATATGCAAGCCTTAATCCCCATCCTCCCTTTCACTGGAGTCGATGCACCATTAAGGGAGGCACTTCACCTCTAAATTGGTCCAAAGGTGTTGCTCGGCCAAGAGCCCTGCCAGTGTGTAATCCTCCCCCTAATGCAATCCCTCCCTGAGCACTTGTGTTGTACTGTAAATAAGAATGTGTTTTCTCAGGCACTCTGCCTGACTAAATGAGGTTTTTAGATTTAAGACGCTTCAGGGAAACCCTGCGCTCGCTACATTACTGACGCTGAGTTCAGCTGAGGCTGCATGCAGTATCCATCACCCCGGGGCCGTGCAATTACAAGTGACAGAAAGTTGACCACTAAAGAGTTGACTCTTCAACTTCTCAGACTCAGAGGATGCCTCAATGGAAGTCGATGGCCAAGCTGGCAAAAATAAATAAATGGCCCAACATGATTGAAGTGAAAACCCTGGTTATGATCTAAGAAAATAACCATTTGCGGGCGAATCAAATAGTGTGTGAATCAACAGCGGTGTCAGCACTAGCCCTGTTACCGAGTAAAACTGTTGATGTGTGTCCATTTTAAATATTGTTGTTGACAAGACTGAAACTTGAAGTCCTCAAGAATCAGAGTCAAGACTAACAATTCCACACGAGCAGCAGTCAGACTTTTTAACACATGATAAAATTATCTACACACTTCATTTGTATTTTACACGCTGAAATAAGGACCAACTGAGGAAGTGTCTCCACGGATCAAGATGAATGCAGAAGCGAGGAGAAGACACCATATATGAGCAGCTTGTGTGCACGGTATTTTGTTGCAGTAGCAAACATAACACAGACATATCCACAAGTATGTTGCACGCAGCAACTTCTCATATTTGAAAACTGTATGAGACAGGTCACGGCGAGTTTCGAGCCAAACTTCTCCACTAAGCAGCAGCTGTCTAATCGTGGCTTTCGCAACAGAAACCAGTGATGAAAAGCCGGACAAGCTTTGGACCAATAGAATATCTGTTTGAGCCTTCCCAAAAACCAGAAAACATGAAGAAAATGTAAGGCATGGGTTAAACATGAGGTTTGTCTACTATAACATACTGTGAAATTATTAGCCTTCATGGCTTTTTTCATGGCCAGCCTAGAAATCTGATTGGTCACCACAGTGGCCACCCCAAAAACCTGAACTATGATTGGTGATTATTGGCCTTGTCAGATGCAGGATTATGTTCAGTGTTAACCCGCAGGAAATTTGCAAGTCACAGTGGTAGCTGGCTTGGCAGCAGGCTGCTACGTCACCAGTAACCACCAGCATACCTGTATTATTACTTGCATACCTGTATGTCACAGACATATTGAGATGAAGCGCACTGTGAGCTAGAGGTAATCTCAAACTGGGATGCAGCAATATCAAAATTCACAATATCATTATAAATCTACTCTGCAAAATACAAGTTGAGTTGTTACACTATAGACCTATTAGTGGTATGTTCTATTTGATTTCGGGTGTCGGAAATTCTTAGTTACCGGCCTGAAACATCTCCCGGAACGTCTCCCTGAAGTCGGCATTCGGACTCTGAAACTTGGGGAACCTTCAGTAACACGAGTTAAAATCCAATATATTTATCATTGACAAGGGCCTCATACAACCCTTCTTCAAAAATATGGAACTATCTATGGGCTTAAAGTGGACACCAGAGGTACTGTAGTTTTTTTTGCACTCCTGCATTGGCTTAATTTTTCAACAGTGGAGGTAGCATGTTGTAATAATAAAGATAAATGTAGTGCCAGTGGCTTAGTGAAATCAATGAGTTAGAGCTGTTGTGTCATGAGAAATCATGACTGGTCATTTAAACATTTATTCAGTTTGGTTACTGGTATATGAGCCATCTTTAGCCACGTAAACTGCATGTGCCATCCAAACCAAAGCATGGCATGCCGGGGGAGGGGGGGGGGGGGGATTCTGAGGAAGCAGCAAATTACAACACCAGGGCCTTGCAAGTTCACATGCTGAGTTACACCCTCAAGATTTACTAACCAAAAGCTGCAGCAAATCTGGAAATGTGTCTCATCCTTAATAGACTTTGAGTGTCCCCCACCACCCCATCACTCCGTCTCCACCTGTCTTTCCCCTTCATGCTCCCTTTTCTTTACGGTAATGCCAGAGTCTGCAGTGTACCTGGCCATCGTTTTAGAGTTTGCTCCCAAAAACAACTTTGTGTCATGACAGCGGCTGGCAAAAAAAACAACAAAAAAAAACAACTCTGGCCTTGTGCTGGCCAGCAGCAGCTGCACGCATATAGTGTCCCACAATCTGTATACCTGGCCAAGCGCTCAGAGAGACGCAGGAGTGGGAGATATAAGAAACCCTGATCCAAAACATAAAAATGGTTCAGTGCTCATCGAATGCCAGAGAAATGTCATCCTCACATTAATTCTCTCCCTGCCTGAGAAAGTTGCAAGTTGGGACACACACACACACACACACACACACACACACAAGCATTTTAGAGTACTCACACACGTAAGCGTTGTCAACGAGCCTGGGTCAGGACTGTACCAGGAGACCCACAGTACTCCGCTGGGCCCAGTTTTACGACACCCTGTCCTCTTGTGTATTGGCTGTTCATGTTGTTCTTCTCCGAAGGTCATGAGCTTATAGACAGGACTTCTGGCTAGATTCACTGCAGGAGTTACCTCACAGCATAGAAGAACACACATACTGCAACGTTGAATTTTGCGTTCAGAATCTGAACAGCAGAAGCCATATTTATGTCTCTCATGCACACAAAAAAGGTCTGCACAAAACCAGATCACATCCAGAGCAATGATTTCTAAAAGCATTCTCAGATCAGCTTAACATATTACACTGATCTCTCCAATTCTTTTTCATATTTCAAACTAAAACTGATTATGACTGAAAGCTAAGTGGAGGGGGGTTGTGTTTTCATTTGTTCTTTTGAATGTTCCAAGCTATAACCATGAAATTAAATCAAGATTGAATCAACCAGAATTGTATGTAATTGACACTGAAGGACCAGAACGCTTTCTCTGCAAAACAGCAGAGCAGATTGCTGTCTGCTGTCCAACGTTTTTCATTAGTGTCCATCTCCTCTCTGCAGGGTAGCGAGCCCCGGCTGAGAAGGGAGAACATCGGACCATGACTACAACCAAACCAATTTATTTCCTGTCTGTCTCACACTGTCAAGACTGAACAACATAAAATCATATTTATTTATGACACCGTCTCAAAAGTGCATATTGCCAAGAAACAAGACCACACACAAACGAGCCATCTTTCTTTCGTTTTTTTACTTTTACTCAACTTTAACTTTCGTCCCCCATGGAGAGTCAAACCACCGTGTTGTTTTCCAGGAGCAGCCTGTTTCACATTCGCACAGCTGCACAAGTTCTAACCTGGGAGCTGCACGCAGTGCAACCATAGTGCCATACTCTTTTTCTCTGACACAGTTGGGAGGTTAAGTGCCTTGCTCAAGGGCACCTTGTGTTTTGTAATCTTTGTACTTCTTCACCCAGCTTTGGTCTGGCCACTACACTTGTGCAAAGTGCAGCCGTGCACACAACTTTTGAATCATAATGTGGGCAAACGGTAATCTTTGGTGTTGAAAAATGAAGTGTCCACTTGAGGCTGACTCAAAAAAAAGCCCCAGAAGTCCCAATAACAACAGTGTGAAAAATGACAATTTTTACAGCAGAAATAAACAGTCAGGTACAAAAATGGTAAATGGACTTGAGCTTATAAAGCGCTTCTCTAGTCTTTTGACTACTCAAAGCACATTTAACACAGCAGGTCACACCCACACATTCACACACCGATGGTAGAGGCTGCAATGCCAAGAGTCCATCAGTATGAACTAATCCCATTTATACACATTCACATGAACAACTTGGGGTTCACTGTCTTACCCAAGGACACATGTGGCAGAGTCAACCAACTCTGCCACTGAGCCACAGCCGCCCACTTAAAAAAACAATCTTGTAGTTCATGTCATTAATGGCACACACCATGCAGGGGGTGCCTTTTTTTATAACCGTTTTGATTTTAAGAAGGATATGAGTTTTGCATTATTAGGAGAGTGACCGATCAGACTGCACAGACAGAAAGCTAAGGGCCGCCTCAGCTCCAGCTGTTTACATGTTACTTAATATGTTCAGTATGCTGATGCGTGTGTATTTCAGCATATGTGTGTGAAGCATGTCTCAATACGAGAGTGCAAAATCGAATTTCCTGTAGCAAGGTTAGTAAAGTATATCTTCTTATTATTCTTCTACCTCATACAACCCTAATTCAGTAATACCAAACTATCTCTTTAAGCACATTTGAAAAAAGAACATACATGTCAGGAAAAAGTTGGAAATCACAGATCAGTAAAGTATTTTGTGTGAAATTAGAAACTAAACAGTTAAGTCGTGAGTCTCACCTGTCAGGGGATTCAGGATCGAAGCAGGTCTTGAGGACGTCGGTGACCTCTGGGTCACAGCAGTCTCCATCGTCATAGTCGTAGTGTATACTGTTGCACTCCATGTTACAAACTCCATCCTGTCTCTTCCAGTTGTAGCAAGGTCCCAGTCTAAGACAGTCCCCTCCATCATGGCCCGTCCTCGGGTGGTCGCACTCAGGGTCACAGTGACGGTTCCCAATCTTTCCAATTCGACAGTTGCTGAGGATAAACCGCTGTCGGAGGCTTGAGTTCTTCACGGTGTGGACACTCAGATCCAGGCTGATGTTGTAAGGGCGAAAGGCCTCAGTTAGAATCCGGTGCTGAAGTTGGATCTGGCCTTGGGACACGGTTGGGTTTCCACCATTGTTATTGGAAAGGTCGACGATCCGGTAGCGTATTCGCTTGTGTGCACGGAGCTGCCAGTTGTTGTTGTAGCCGAAGATGATGTCAGTGTTGTCGCAGGGTGTCAGGCCGCAGGGTGAGGGCAGGAACGGGGAGACAAGTTCTTGTTCAGGCACTGGAGTGGTGATGATGGTTGGATGGAGGCCAACTTTGTATGGCGTCCATAGTTCTTCCACCTCAAAGGTAGAACAAAATCCCAGAATAACTAATTTCACTTGGGAACTATTGCCAAACCAAATTAGAAGTATAGTGACTCAACAAGAAATGTTTTATAATCCGCCTAATTGTATGACCGCTAAACATTTTATTTCTACAAAAAATTAATTCTTAGGAATCAAATATAGTCCCTTACATTGCTGAAGTCAGCCCACATTGCCAGGAGCGGTTCACTCTTGTCGATTTGAAGTGGCCGATTCAGCAGCTCCTCATGAGAGCGAGCGTAGCCCCACAAGACCAAACCTCCTATGTGGCCCCTGAAGCTCTGTCCTTGATCTGATTGGTTACTGCCAAGAAAGAGGGTTCTGCACGTCTTCATGAAGGGACTGTAGAGATTTCCCGACTGGATGCTGCTTTCCCCTACCTTGTAAAGATAAAGGAGGGGTGGATAAAATGACAAAGAACAGTTGTCTGTGTTTTGATTACATTCAAAAAGTATTCAACGATTGTTGGTCCAATGTGAGGACTGGTATCAATTTACAGCTGCCATTGTTGTTGCAATTACATTTTCAAAGCTATCAACCAGGAACTCAACTCTGGTCCTCTAAAATCTCTGGTGGGCCCCCAAAATGACACCAATCGTTTGTCCCAGCTTTTGTCAAAAGAAAATGTAACTCATCTCTTTGCATGTTGAAATCATCTCTCACCATCTCTCCTGTTATAAATGATCCATCCATCCAAAACTTTGAATAAAACTTCAGATCTTTAGTCAAATATTTTAACCAAAAGCTGCTGCAAGTAAAAGAGAGACAACACTGACTAAATTGGTACCAGGTTTGGCAAAATTAAAAACGAAGTCTCTGTTATTTTAATGATAAGAATACTACAGAAAAGTACGCTCAACAAACCCTGCAAATCTTTTGTCATATTTTTAACCAAGAGCTGCAGGAAGCGAAAGAGAGGGAGCAGTGTCTAAGTTGCACAAATATGTTGGCAATGTTTTGGTACCAATCGTTTGCCAACGTATTTGTGCAATCAAGCAATGGGCCAGACTTGTGCCAGAAATTGCCTGCATTTTCGGTAACTTAAAACAAGAAAATAACTCAATATCAGGTGTGTAGGACTTCTAGGCACCTGATATTTTGTTGCTTGGATCTTTGTTGCTGTGGTTTGGAAACAAGTATCAATATCGTTTGAGTCATCAAAGGTTTAAAAAATGCTATTATGACAACTGTATTGTGGATTACCCATTGGTGCTTTCATTCAAACACCAGATCTGCAAGCCAAAAACTAAATGATTGCTTGTCAAAGGATTGACCAATGAAAGATTGGTTTAGCCTCTCTCTCTCTCTCTCTATCTCTCTCTCTCTCTCTCTCTCTCTCTATCTCTCTATCTCTCTCTCTCTCTTTGTCTGTCCTACAACCTTTCCGGTAACTGGGATGGACAAAAATGTCTTAAAAACAAATGAGAAAGTATCATTTAAGCATAAAGCCCATTCTTAAATTGGAAAGAATAAGTCATAGTTTGAAAAAAACAATCTCACTCTAGGACCACTCATCAGTTTCCAATAAGCCTTTAGCCACACCACACAGTGTTCATCAGCTGGAGTCTGCCCAGTTGTCATGACGATGTCTCTGTTGACAGGTGAGCTCAGTAGCTGTCAACTAAAAGGTTGAGGCATTTGAGGTTGTTATTGACCTTGGCAAGAGAGGACGATCTGGGTTATAGACTCTGAAAATGGTGTAGGTATTGGACCTTGAGTCAGGATTGCTTTGTCAAAGTCCTTTCATTGTGTTTCAACATGTTGAAAGTTAAAAGGCAGACGATCAAACTCAACCAAACTGTGATCTGAAGCTCTACCATGCACCTGATACCACACACCTTAGCTCCATCAACATACAGGGTCATGCTGCGTCCGCTGTACACGGCCATCAGGTGAGTCCAGGAGTTGGCTCGGTACCGCTGGTGACTGTAGACAGTGGTGGATTTTGTGGCTCGGTCGGTACGAAGTGTAAAGTAGAACCTTGCATCTTTGGCGCCAGCGGGTTCCAAAGTGCGTATGCCTACCGACCAGCCCTTCTCACTCAGTGAATGGGAACAGTTGTCAAACACACCTACGGCAAAGCAGGAAAAGTTTCATATGTTATGCTGAAAGAATACTGGTGGAGGAGACAGAAATATTTCTTTGCAGAGACGAATGACAGCAATTTCACAAAAGGCCATTGGATGATGTATAAACTGGCACACAAACGAGTGATTGCAGTCCTCAGGCGCATGATAACACGGGAGGAGAGAGCTACAGATCTACATCTACAGTATATGGAGTAAGACAGAGAGAATAGACAGAGCCAGGACAGCAGGACAGAACAGAGAGGGGAAGGAGGATGGAGGTATTTCGCTCAGCCAAGGCAAGGCCCTGATGTTTCCATCTGCTGTTGCAACAGACACACACACAGATCCACATCTGCTCCCCAGATGTCTAACGCTGGGACATCGAAAGGTCAGGGAACCCCTTCACCCTCCTCAGCGCTATATCTGTGTGTGCATGCATGTGTGTGTACTTACAGGCATGTACGCGCAAGTGTTAAAGTGGGCAATTGTAGCAAAAATATCCCAGAGGAGGTGAGCCAGATTCATGTTGAAGCATTTAATTCAGTTAAAGAAAGCATGCCGCTGGAAGGCTAAAGCTCCGCCAAAAGAAAATTTACATGACACTGTGCCATGTACCGAAAACATGATTACAAACACATAAATATCAACCTATGCATATCCGCAGAAAAACATGAAATGCTGACGCTGCTTAATACCGCAATTAATCACAAACATAAATTTTGAGGAAAAAAGGCATCCTTTACATTCGGTGCAAATCTTTATCATGAGGTCATTTCCTTGCTGAATCTGTTGGATCGTTTTACAGTCTGCTGTAGGTATGTCATTTGATGGCACAGGTCGGGTTGGTGGGGCGTGTTTTTGAACAATTCCCAACATTTCATGCGATAACAGATGGTCATGATGCAAAACTACTGCCAAAGCTTGACAACATTTACAGTAGTGTGCAACAGGAAACATTGGGGGTTTATGGGAAATATGGACTTTATGTCGTGAGACCACACACAGTGGTCAGACTAGTGTACTGTGATTTTTGAATTGATTCTATAAGGTCCTGATGTTTTAAAGCTCCATTTTTTTAAGTCACTTGGGGTAGAGCTAGGCAAAACACCTTGAAATAATAGAGCCTTCTAAAGTTGTTCTGGAAAATAATCAGCTATTTTGACATTTAGCAGACAGGGGGAAACATTCACCTTCACTTGAAGTTATATTTCTGGCTGTGGAAGTTACATTTCTTTAATTTCTTTTACCTCTACTCCTCAGAAAGACATCTGACGGTTGAACCACTAGGTGCTCCACTATGATTACAGGCCTGTTGTAATCTACCTTAGTCTGTTTTTCTGTTCATGCTAGACGTGTAGCAATCAGAATCAGATCTCCTTTACCCGAAAAAAAAAAAAACTGCAGTGTTTGAAGACTCTGGATTAGCTGACTACATGATTAAACATCTTAACCCTAGTCAACACTAGAATTACTGGTTGGTTAATCTAATTTCATTTTAATTCCGGACTGCAAAGCCGGTAACTTTCCTGAACCTGTGTCGAGAGCTGGAGAGAAATGAAACCTCCCAACAGCCAATCAGAGAGATTCCACCGAGCCGATGGGTAGCAACGGAGCCGGACACACCGCAAAAACTAGGACGACGACCGCTCACCGACGGTCCAACTAGGACCGATGGCCAACGATCTCCTTGGTGTGTCAGGGCCTTTACACAGCTGTCAGCCACTAGCTTGAGTTGTAGCTCCGGTTAATGTTATCCAGTGTTGAGCTGTGTTCAATGAATTGTGTTCAATTTTGACTGTTTTTGAGAAAACAAGGCTGATAAGAGACATATCAGGTACAGAAATCTGAAAGATTGATCTGAAAGAATTCGTTAAAATGCTCTGCAGACTTAATTTAAACTATTTGGTGATAATTCTTTCACTTGGCGCTAAAAGGAGACCCCTTCAAAAACACTTATAGACATTTTATTCGTCGTAAGTTTTTAAAATGTAAATTGTGTAAGATTTTATAATGTTACATGTTAAAATAATAAATATAAGTAAAGATCTAAATAGTTTTTCACCTGCAACATTATTATCCTGAAGGAAATTAGATCTGCAGCAGCATCCTGCCTTGTTTTTGTTCTCTGTATTCTGTAACAGTGGCCAAAAGGAACCAGATCAAACTCAAGAAAAAAGACGGTGTTCAGGACAGTTAGATATTCTGCAGCTGAGCTTGCTGCACTGCGATCAGCACTTCGACCAGCTTTGCTTGACTGTTTTTACTAGACAACTGAACCATGCCACAATGTGCAATATGTACAGACACTTTCTATAAAGAAACAACAAAACAAAGATTATAATACATTGCACACCTGGAACAAGATGATCAGTCGCTGCTGGACCTTTTTACAAACAGCATCAGTGTCCGATGCATTCTTAATGGGCAGTTTTTATCTCAGGGTCCCTGATCCTTTTCTTTTGGACTTTTTTTTACTTACTTAACCCTTAATCAACACTTAATTAAGTAGATATTCCTATAGAAAATTTAGGATATCAGAGTATGGTGATCTGCATATTTATAAAATAAATAAAAATATGTTTTTTAAGAGGCCCAAAGATAAAGATGAAAAGGGCCCGACCTATGTGGGATTTTTGTGGCCGATATCAATATTATGGAGACAAAATAATTTGATACCGATATTTCAGCCGATATCTTTCTTAGATGTTTCTTAAACCTGTAGAGACAGATACATATAGATATAGATACACATGTATTGTGTTGATCCCTCAAATGCAGCAATCAAACACTTGTGGAAAAGATATTTAATGAAGACAAGATGGTCTCTCAACTGGAAAGTAACTGTGCATGTACGTGCATCAACACTCAACACTCTGCAGAGTGATAGTGCTTGTTGTAAATCCATATAGCGTCCTCTGCTGGTGACAGCCAGAGAAAGAGCTGCTAGTGTAGAACAATGAAACTCAAATGAAATGCTTCTTGATGGTGAATAAATCTGGTAATATCGGAGAAAATTGGGAATGAAATTAGTAAATACAGATCAGTCACTTGATATGCTAATATCGGACGATATTATCGGCTGGCCGATTAATCGGTCGGGCTCTATTTTCAACTTCTAAAGCTATTAAATCACTTTAGGCCAGCTGGGAGATCTCTTTCACTGTAGTCTCAAGCCCAATTCACACATACTCTGGGCGCGCCGCGGTCCGTCAGCGCCGCGCACTACGTTGTACTTAGCTTCCACTCTAGTCAATCATTGTGTTCATACAGGGCGCGCTGCGATCCGTTCAGCCACCAACGGCACTGCGCTCTGCTCCGTTTCAAACACGCAGCAAGTCTATTTTCACCGGAGTAAGCTGCAGGCACGCGTCAAGCTGGACAGAATATGACAGACAGACAAGAAGTCCGGTCAATTTCAAAATAAAACACAACATATGGACTCCCGATCGTATTTTTCATCACTTTATCAACATAACGTCAAAACAGGCACCGAATGAACATTTCATCATCAGAAAGACAAAGCAACATGTTGTTTGCATGTTTTTCTCTTTATTCCCACGGGATCTTGTAGTTCTCCTGTGATGTGTCATGGGTGCGCTCCGCTGCGCTCCGCTGCGCTGACGTCCCAGAAATGGATCCAGTGTGAATGGGCGCGAGCCGTCCGACAGAGCAAAACCATGGTGCTGACGGACCGCGGCATGCACGGAGTATGTGTGAATTGCGGGTCAGTCCTCATTTAACCTGTTTCCAAGAGGCCATTTTCACTTTGTACTATATCACTACAATCAGCATTCTGTGGACTCAGAGTTCTGAAACTTACACGACAACACGGCAATAAAGGTTTGAAATGCACAAACAAATAGATTTATAAGATCATCGCTGACCATCAGAAGTCAAACCAAGGTCAATGTCATGTCTAGCAGAAACAATAGGAGTTTGTTGTTCACAGTTTTTTTTGTCAGATTCCTTCAGGACACTACAGAGAAGGGCTCATGCCACAAATGCCGCCCTCACATAAGGAAGCAATGAGGGGAAAAAAAAGTTGAGTAATGGAGTCGGATCTTTGATCAGAGTAAATGTGAGTGGACGTAACAGTTTGTGGTCTCCCTCGCTATCTGGACAGCTGTGGTGCTGCACCAGAGCACTTTTATCCTCTTCAATTTGTTTGATGTACGTGTTGTTCTGTCAAATGTGCAGCTCCTCACATGTCACATTCTGGATGCTGCCTCCTCAGAAACACAGGGACGATCATTTTCTTACAAACAGCGTTGTTAAATCAAGGATTCATGACATCAATGTGTCTGCTGTCGCTGGTCAGAATAAATGGAAAACAGTCAAGCTAACCGCGGGAAGAGAGAGCCTCGGTGAAGCACGATAGGAATTTAAATGATTTTATAACAACCTAGTTATAAGTGTGTGTGTCCATAAGGAGGATAAAACTATTTTGTTGTGACAGAAAACGACCTTCTAAAGATGACTCTCGAAGTTATAATGTCATTCTTTTTATATGTAATCACAATTATTGATCAGCTAGCTCTAAATGATAAATGGTATCCTTTACCCTATGGTATTGGTATTGTTATTTTATTCTCAAATGTTATTAATATATATTTAATATACATGTACATATGAGATACACTTACAGTTTACAATGCCTTTATCAGCATGTAGTTACTTATTTTGTTCACTAGAGGGCAGTCCCACATGACAGATAATGCCATATTTTCTCCATATATAATTTTTTTTCTTAATATTGTCTTTGATGGTGTCTTAGATTTCACAACTCTGTAAGTGATTACAGAGTACGAAATCCTTCAATCCACCCCCCTGTGAGATGTTAAAGGGTCAAGGGGAGAAGGGCGAGATTCAGGAACAGTAAACACATTTACATAAATAAAAACACACAGTCCAATACTAATTCTAGCTTTTGAAAAATACGTTTTCTTCTTCTTTCTTTTCTTTTTTTACTTTATGAATTATATCCCAATCCGTGTTTAGGTTCCAGCAGCCCTATAGTCTTCATCATTTCCATACAAGGAAATATTACTGTGCTCAAACATAGCATCATCACTACTAGGTCTCAACCTGTTCAGCCTCGTCATATTCAACATATTACAGCGGGATTATTATCTATGTATCTATTATCCATTTACAACGGCATTGTGTTTGTCAGTAATATTATCCCACTGCTGCATCATTGTTGTCAGTATTAATGTTTCTTTATGGCATCAAAGTTATTCATGTTGTCAACAAGAGAGGAAGCGCACCTAAAATGTGTCAAGGTCAAGAGGTCACACTGGGTCAGGGTGTAAGGTAGGGTGGGGGTTTAAGCCAGGTCAATGAGGACTGTTATTATTATTGTATTGTTTTTTATGTGGTTTTAAAACTGACATGCTCATGGTTGCAAATGTTTTCCATCATCAGGCTTCAACAGCACTCTCTGCCGTTCATGCATGACTTATGTGGAAAGAAAAAACACTCCAAAAAATGTCATTTTGTATATTTCACTGACATATACCAGCAAACTGAATTCAATCTACTTTCTCTCTGGTGGACAAGGAGGACAACGCTTCTAATGCAACTTGAACCAAAAGATGCATCAATATCAACATCTGCCACTAGGTAATATTGGTTGATGTGTCGCTTTGCGTGGAGGCAAACCGTTCTTGTGCTTGACTTAACAAGATGATGTCAGTGTCCTCATATGCAGCTCATGGTTGTCTTACTGAAAATTGTTTTTGTGATGACCGCTTCAAACTAGACTACATCCATCATAATTCCTCAAGACATGACTCGTGTCCATTTTTTTTTTTTTATGTTCTGCTTTAAAACTTTTCATTTAATTTCTATTTTGGATCAAGTGATCGGTAAGCGGCATGTTGCCAATGTGTTTGTGCAGTCTAGACAGTGTGCAGAAGTTTGCCTGAGATTTTTAGGTAAGTACAAAATAGGAAATAACCAAATACTGGATGCCTTGAACTTTTATTTTTGTTGCCATGGTTTCAAAACAGGTATCAATATTGTTTGATTTTATGGTATCAAAGTTTAAAAATCTTGGATCCTGACTGTAACCCTGAAACATATGGTCCAAAAGGATTAGCCTATCAGTGTTCTGTCAATCATCGATTAATCGACTAGTTCACGACGAATAGGCTATCACATCACAATATCGGATCACTGTGTGTGTGTCACATCTGCAGCAAACACCAGACAGAGTGAACCCCATGAACTCTGCTTGAACTCTGTCGTGTCAACCAGTCTCTTTTTTTTTTTTGGTTGAAAGGACAATTTACGCATCACAAGAGATTGCTGTTAGAGAAGGAAAACCCTACACTAAAGCTGTCACAAACTATTTACAACTACATACAACACAATTATGAAGAATTTTATGTAGGAGAAATCCAGCCGTAGCAGAGTGAAGAGAGAGTCAGCAGAGAGGTTGACGGACCAGAATCATCGTTATGATCACTCACCTGCTATGACCGCGGGGTTGCTCTGCCCTCCTTCAGGCTTCACCCACAGCTCCAGGCTGAACTTGGCCCTCGGCAGCTCCACTCCCGCAGCCGGCTTCACCTTCAGCTGCTCCCGGCGCCCGCTGAAGTACAGGGCTGTCATCCAAGAAGGCGGCACGCGAGGCACGGGGCTCCCCCACGGCGAGGAGCTGCCGACGGGCAAGCTCGCCGGCGGATCATCATCCTCCTCCACCTCCCCGGAGTAGTCCTCCGTGCCGTCCACTGGTGTCCCCGTGGAGGACTGCAGGTCTCCAGCTTCCTGTTGCAGCTTGAAGAGGACCTGGAGCCCCCGGGAATCTGTTGAGCTGTCCGGGAAAACTTTCTGCCAACTCGAATTGCCCTCCTCCTCATAAGGAAACGTCGAGTCGAGGCTGCGGGTGAACCTTGAGTCTGATCTGCGTGCGTTGCCTGTGGAGGAGTCGGTCTCTCCGGCGTCTTTACGCACAGAAACCCCCGGCTGTTGCGTGACATAACCTGGGTCTTTCCTGTCATTTTTAGAGCTTGTGTCAAATACCCGTCCGTGTACCTGATCGTATCTGTCCCCTGCTCCTGCCACTACATTCTCCCTGTTGCCCAAGCCTCCTTGCTCCTGTCCCGGCTGAGCGACCCGGTGCGCCGCGGTGTCAAACCTGCACCCTCGCCCACATTCCGCAGGCGCTCTATTTACAGTGTTCAGCACTCTACGGGTCGTGTGCGTCCTCGGACGGGCCGCTGGAGGGCGGTGTTGGGACGGGGAGTGTGAACGGGGTTGCCGCCGGGACCTCCAGACTCCGGAGACGGTGCAGGGTTCACCTGTTAGCCTGGAGAGCTCCCGGTCTGCCCGCCGTGCCATGGCGCGTTTGCTGCGGCTGAGTGCGTCGGAGCGAACCGAGCTGAGCAACCACGTGTTAGTGATGAGGACGAGGAAAACAGCCAGTAGTCTAATCAACATCATTTTCTCAGATTGTGGACGGTATTTGGCAACGTTTGTTTCAAAAACGATAAATGGGGTGATATATTCAGCTCTTAAACAGATCAGGATTCAAGGTGTACAAAAAGAGGTTTCCCACCAGACTTCGTTTTTAACATTTATAAGCACATATTTAACCACGTAGCCTAACAAATCCAGATGTTTAGGCTGCCGGTTTTGGTAAACAGATTAACCAAATAAACTTAAAACTAGGCTATCAGTGCATTCCAAATTGGATCAAACTAAAAAAACGAAATTCAAAGTGACCTAGGTTGACTAACGCTGAGGTTCTTGGTGTATATTTGGTAGTGATTTATTCAAATATAATACGTTTTAACGCTCAGAAAAAAATCTGATCTTGAGCTAAATTAAGATCCAAACTCCTGCATGTTTCGCGGACCTTCAGATGCGACGCTTTGCCTCCTACCTATTCATGCAGCGTGCACTGTCTGCAAAATATCTGCAGCTCCTGTAACTAAGTTTGCAAGTAGATAAAATGTCCAAGTTTCTGTCTTCGTTTTAGTAAGCCAGTGAATTAAAAAATATATATTTATAGAGGCTAGTAAACGTAATAAGGCTGATGGAAAAAAAAAGAAATGGCCAGAAAACAATTGTATAACTGCGCAAAATGTGGATTCAGTTTCCTTTGTTATTGTTTTTAAATGAAAGGTTTTATTTGCATTAGTGGATCAGGTAAGAATAGATCGTTTCACTCCACTCTGGCTTTGCACATAGCCTCTACTTTTGCTTTTACCTGACCATTGTTGCATCATTTAGTGCGTCCTGGTGCAAAAAAAAAAAAAATATGGCTGCAAGGTGAATCAGAGTAATAAAAGAAAAAAAGACAAAGTCACTCCAGAGGCAGTGCAAAGTACAAATATCTCTCCTACTTGTTGAGCAGAAGCTTTCCTATAAATTCACAAAGTGGACAAAAAACAGTAATCCCGTCTGCGCGTCAGCTCCACTAGGTTTTTGTTTGTGCGTCTGTGCGCGCTGCAGAGAGTGACTTGCTGCTCCTCTGCACCGGTCCATGCAGAAGTAGTAATATCCTCCTCCATTCACTCCTCCATCTCTCTCTCTCACCCCCCCTCTCTCTCTCATTCTCTCGAGTCCAAAGGGTTTTTTTTTTAATCAGGGAGCCCCTGCCCGCCCTGACATCACCGGTAGGGGAAGTGTGGTGGAGGTGGCGGAGGGAGGGGCGGGGGAATGGGGGGGGGGGTGCGTCCTTCCCTTGCCTCACACTTTTTTGTTTTTACATGGGAAATCCTCTTCTCTTCTTATTCGCCTTGCCCAGTGCTGGCTGCGCCTTGCATCCCTCTGATGCAGAGCGGGAGGCCAGAACAGGGGCTTGTAAAGTTTATTTATGTATAATTCCATCCACTCGTCCATCTCCAGTGGTGGTGGAAGGTGAATTCAGACTCAAGCAAGAGCAGAACTATAATAGTGAACAAATATTCTACTCAAGTAACATTCCTGCATGGAAAACGGCAAAGTGCATTAATTAATTAAGTCATCTACTTTTTTTTTTTGTATTTACTAAAACATTTTTTTGTACCCCGCATGTAATATTAATTATACTGTACTTCAATATCATTTTAAAGTGCTAACTTGAGTCTGCACATTTAAATTAGAACTTGAACTTTTCACTCCATTTACAGCTTTAGTTACATGTTGCTTTGCAAATATCAGCTTGCATGCTCATGCACCATCATAGATTCTAGTATCCACTACATAGAACACAATGAGCTTAATTTTGACCAATAAAGGCTCTTAACTGCTACCTACACATGAATGCATCATGCATTGATATAATAAAAACAGTCAGATATAATACACAACGAGTAAGGAAATGTTCACCTTCCATACTTTTTGCATATTTTATTTTTTATTAACTAATTCACATTTAAGTCATGGCCTTTTTTTAAAATCTTTTTTTCTTTACTTCAAATGAAGTATTTTTTTATGCAATGTAACTACTTGTATGTGCAGCTTCAAACTCTGGGATAATGGGAAAATAAAATTGTACTGTAAGCTATGGAAATAAAAAGATTGAAAGTGATATCTCCCCTGAAGCAGCTCCGTTACTGGATGATGCATTCATGTTGTAAGTAACATTTAATTGTTGCATCTGGTCAGAATGGAGCTACTTTAGTGTGCTTTATTTTCTGTTTTGTAGTAAATCTTTGAGCATGCATCATATTGATGATTGGTTCTATGTGTGATGTCTGCTTGTGCACAGTAACAAGCAGTGGTGTTAATGTGGTGGAGTTAAAATACAATATTGACATCAAACATGGAAGCAAAGTGGATTTAGTTTCGACCGCAGTGAATGGTGTGTCTTCCCACCTCTGTCAGAGAGGTCTTCTTATTATGATCCCTGCAGTCACCCTGGTGGTGGATGAATGATGGTGGAGGTGGAGGGCTGCTTGCTCCTGCCACACAAACACAAGTGTGTTTGATCTCTCCTTTGCTTCCTCTTCCTTCTTTCTTCCTCCCTCTCTTTAAAGTGAAGGAGGTGAGGTTTCTGTGACCCACCCCGTCCCTCTCCCCCTCTCTTCCACCGCTGTTTCTCTTTTGCTCTTCCTTTTCCCTCTCTCCCTCCCGCCCTCTCCTCCCCCCTTCTCTTGATCTGTACCTGTCTCACTCACTCATGCTCCGGCTCCCCTCATTGGTACAACACGGACAGGCACAACATCTGTCTCACACATGAACAGGGGGGAGTTTGGGGAGCTTTTTAATCATCCAAATATGCTACCTGCTTTGTGCCGAACTGTTGGACCGAGTCAGAGCTGAGAGAAATGTGAGTGAAAGTAAGAATGTAAGTGAGTATATTTGATTTAGAATAGCACCTTTCACAGAACAAGGTCACAAAGTTCTTCACAAAAAACTCACAAAAAAAAGAACAGTTGAATCAGACATTCAAAAGCCAGTTTTAAAAATGTTTCTGAAGCTTATTTTTGAAAGCACCAGAGGAAGCTGCTGAGCATCATTGCAGAGGAAGAGTGTTCCAAAGTGTCATAGCAACACATTCAAAGTCATCTTTCAGACGATCCGAGGGGACTCAGGACCCCTGATGGATCGACTGGTGATATACAGCTGGAACAGGTCAGTGATATACCCTGGATCCTGCAGGGCAATATAAACAAAAACAAGGATCCTTAAGTGAATTCTGAACTTGATTGGGAGCCAATAAGGAAAGGAAAATTTAAATAATGTGAGTTGACCGGCTGGAACCAGTCATCAGTGTGGCAGCGGTGTGATGGATCAATTGTTGACGGTTGAAGGAGGACTGACTGAGGCAGGTGAAAAGGGAATCAAAGTCGTCAAGCCAAGACGGTAAAAAATAATGAATAAGCATCTCTAACTCAGCTTGTGACACAACAAGCTTTTTTAGCTTGGCAATATTTGAAACAGGAGCGTGTCTGGGATTTAAAATGCTGACCAAGAACAAATTGCCTGATCAACAATGAGTCCAAGAGTTTTTTAAATTAGCTTTCAAATAAGAAGATATTGAACAATACTTTCTCCACATACAGCATGTCAGCCCTGTGATGGTGTACCTGGCCTCTCGCCCACTGACAGCTGGGATCGGCTCCAGCTGCCCCGTGACCCAGAATGGGAAAAAGCGGTACAGATATGGATGGATGTATGTAAATATTTGATGTCATGAGGTGGATATTAGCATTGGACTCTTCAGCTGAGCTGTCAGAGTTTTTTTTTTTAAGTTAAATGAGACATTCAAAGATGCAGTAGTGTCCTTCTTTTCTATCACTGTGACTACAGGGAGACACTGAGGATGATTATCTACGGTGCGCCTTCAGGGACAAAGTAGCTTGCGACTAATTATTGCGATCAAAAAAATGTTTGCAATCATTTCAGACCTTAATCACAATCAGAATTCAAACACAATTTTTGAACGAGCAGGGAGACATGATCTACCCTGCCTTTAATTTGAGCATGTTTTTACGACAATTTGCTCACCTTTCGTCAAACCATCAACCTCACATTTCCTCAGATTCTCCATCTGCGTGATTAAGACTGCCATCAGTGGTCAAAAGCTCCCGAGAAAGCAAATAAGAGGACCTTGAGGTACGTTCTCTTTGTCAAATGGACTTTTCCATCATCCGAGTATCATCCTGTTTTATTTTTTCTATAAATCTCACAATCAGTGTCAGCTTTTATGGTCACCTGTGGCCACATATAATGTTTTTTATAGAACAGGGGAGAAATAAAATACAGTTTTTTCCTTTCATTCCTGCTTAGCCAGCAGATGAGGGGGACTCCACGGAGCACCATGTCGGAGAATCTACCTCACACAGAGTCCTCGCACCAATCCCAGTTTTTATCTTCTGCTTAAATAGAAAACAAGCACCACTAGTGTTTCAGGACGCTTTATGATGCCCTGATCTTTATGTCATCAAGCCAACCTGTGTGTTTATGCAGATTTTATCATACATGGATGAATACTTCACTCTTTAAAAATAGCTTGCAAATGGAAAAAAAAAAAAAAAAGGCTATCTGGAACTTTCGGGCCGTCTTAACTGAAAAGACAGGTGTGCTTATGCAGATGTTTCCAGACACTGCAAACAAAATCCATACTGATGTTGAAAATCACAGACAGACTTTGTCCAACTTTTTTGTGTTCTGCCACTTCAGAATTTTAAGGCTTGATTTTTTTTTTTTTTTTTGCACATTTAATTTGTGCATTTAGTAACTTCATGTTTATGACTTTCAGACCATTGCGTTTTTATGATGCAGGCGCTCATTATTTACTCTCTAAGGGCTTATTTGAAATGATAGACACAGGGCAGCTGTTGCAGCTCCACACCTTCAGAAATGTTGCTGCTTTCTTCTCCCCCGGACCTTTCTATTTTTTTGTCATGCTCAATTTGCAAACAGGGCCCTGGCTCGAGGCTGGAGATGGAGATGGAGGAGGAGGCCGCTGGCAGTTATGGCAGGGGCCCCCGAAGGGGCAAAAAACGGTTCCTAAAGAGTGGGAGGCAGGAATTCCACAATCCCAGCCTGCCTGACTGAGGGATCTGCCTGCTAAACATTCAGCTTTTTCTGCTGGCCAAGTGTCCTTTGAAATCCAGCTGCAACTGTGTTAAAGAAAAAAAAAATCGAAACAAGAGAAATAGGAGGGGTGGGTTTTAGAAAAAGCAACAAAAAAGGGAGGGAAAGGCAGGATGAAGGAGAAGAGAAGGAGAGGAAGAGAGCGACAGAGGGATGTGTGGTAGTGTGTGTGTGTGTGTGTGTGAGGGTGTCTGAATGGGCGTGCTCCACCGGGGCCTCACCCCCCGCTGTAAGGGACCTCCACAGATTATCCTTCATCTGAGCTTGTCGGTCCTGACCCCAACAACCCCAAGGCTCACTTTCTGTCTTCCCCTTTCCCTCTCTCTCTTCACAAACACACACACACACACCGACACACACACACACACTGACACACACTCGTTTCCTTACTCACTTGCTCATTTCTCCACACACCCTCATTATTTTGTCCATGTCACTCACTCTTTCTCTCTTACCTCTCACTAACCTCAAGCTGCACCAACACCGCTCACCCTCCACAAACACACACATTCCCCAAATACACACACACACACACACACACACACACACACACACACACACACACACACACACCTGGTACCTCATGCAAAAAAAGGGGGGACCCAATAGGAGAAAATCTAGGCTGATGTGCTGGACAAATGAGGAGGGGAAGAAAGAAGAAAAGGGGAGAAAGAAAGGAGGCGATCTTTTCAGCACCACTGGTATGAAATAGAAAGAGGGGAGGGGGCAGGGAGGAGGGGGACAAATGCAACATGGCGTATATATACAGTACTGGAGGTGTTTGGTTAAAAGAAACGTACTCAGAATCAGTTGTTGCATGTGCAGAGTATCTAAAGTGTTCAGATTATTTGTGTCTGAAGTTGCACACTCTTCCATATACTTTCTATTTGTTCCTGCCTGTTCTGTGTTTTCTATCCTGGTCAGACTAGAATCTGCATCCTTTAAGAAGCTCTGATTTTGACTTTGTGATATAATAATACATCCATATCTGACCTATGTGCAGCAGAGAGAGGTTTATTTTACTGCACGGGGTGGAATTTACTCTTGGATGTAACCAGTGATTTTCCTCTTTGCTGAAAAAACCTTATTAAAACATCCTAACTAAGCTCCATAATGATACATGTTAACTTCTTCCGCAAACAAAAACATGGGAAAATCCATGTAAGCGCGTGCCTCCGGCGGAGGACCCCTTGTTTGCCCACGTGGAGGTAAAAATGGAAAAGCAAGTAGCAGGCTGGATAAACTGTGAGCGTGAATACGTTAGTGCGACTCAGGTTTTATTTGTAGAGCTGCAGGTGGATGCCTCAATGACATGGCACTGTTTTTCTTGGCTCCGCTGCACGCTCGCACTTTGTGGACGTGACCCAAGTGCTTGTTTTTTCTTTTTTTTAAACATAAAAGCAATATCAGCTGGAAAAATGACATAGATGAGGAGACACTCTGTATTCAGTCGACTGGAAACATTACATTATCCCCTGAATAGTCCAAAAAGCAGCCTGTGTGTGTGTGTGTGTGTGTTTGTGTGTGTGTGTGTGTGTGTGTGTGTGTGTGTACACTCAATATGATTTAGATTTCATTAGATTTTTTGAGTGATATTTATCTATTTATCTGAGTGTTATACTGTGTGTTAATATTAGAGCTGCTGATCTTACTGTCATGTACAGCCTGTTGATCTTATACAAGAGAAAAGTTCACTGCTTTATCCAACTTTTATAAAATGTATTAATTACATGATAATGGATCCAGTCTATAGGTCCTTAATCTATCTGTGAGGTTCGACCCGGGGTAACAAATTCAGGATGATTGGGAAATATTTTCTCGCCTGAAAAACAAGAACTTATTTCCTGACCTGTGTGTGATACCACAAACCAAATTATTGTGTGCCATCATGATGGGCGGGGGGAGCATCAAACAGGAGGTTGACCCTGAATGAGGAAAACTTAATTGCTAATTTTTGTTCGAAGGTCCTAAAACTGTCAAAGCTGAAAAATTGCTCAAACTGTTATTCGTGATACACTACTGCAACAAAACCAGAACTATTGTTGTTAACTGATATATATATATATTTTAATGAGGTTGTTTTGGTGCTCCATCCAGTGGTCGGCAGAGTTCAGAGTGTTTGGGACAGTGCTACAAACGCTTTGCAGCTGAAGAAAATGGGTTGAGAACCGGAGGATAGCTGGTCAAGTCTGGAAGTCTAAGTCTGGACATTTTGGGAAATAGAGTCCACTTCCTGAGCACTGCCGATGTGCCCTTGAGCAAGGCACTGAACCCCCACCAGCTCAGGGCACATCGCTGGGGACAGCCCCCCTCCCTCTGACGTGTCTCCATTAGTGCATGGCCATAGGATCCTGTTTGTGCATGTGTTATTTGTATTTCAATAACAGAGAGTAAAATTTAACATCTAACTTCTAGCCCATCTTACTTTTTTATATTTCTTGATTTCCTGCATTTTCTTGATTTCCTGCTTTTATCTCACTTTCTTGAGTCCAGCTCTTTTTAACTGCTTCTTTTGATTTTATGTTTTCACTGCTTTTTCTCCAATTAATGCTTCAGCTGTTTTTATTGTTATATATTTTCAGCTTATACCCCTCTTATCGTTTTCATCTCCCTTTTAATCGTCTTAAAGATTTCTATTTTTACAGCTTCTAGACATTTTTTAATTCTTTCCATCTCTTTGAATTGCTTATTTATGTTCTTAACGTCGGTCCTCTTGTCTCAATCTAAGTGGCCTGAGTTATAATAAGTTATTATGTTACCTGAATTCTTATGATGTTCAGGTTCTGATGTTGGTCGGGTTTCGTTTGGGTTCTTTTACTGTTGGGATTTAGTTATAGTTGGTTGGGTGTCTCATCAGTGGGTCGTAGGTCAGTTCTGGCTCAGTTGATAGAGGGTTGTTTCTCAATCAGAAGCTTGGGGGTTCGATGCAGCTCCTGCAGCCAAATGCTGCTTCATCTGCGGCGTCTCAATGTCTATCAACAGAAGAAGTTATTAATAATGTACACTTTATATGAACCTTTGCCATCAGTGTGTGAATGGGTAGGTGTGACCTGCAGAATAAAAAGCACTTTGAATCGTGGCAAGACTAGAAAAGTGCTAAACAAGCTCAAGACCATTTACCATTTGTTATCCTGTGTGTATCAAATTACTTTGTAAATCCCTTGTTTTTAAAATTGCTATACAAAAAGAGTTTTATTATTTTCTATCACTATTATTTAAAGAAGACGATTAGGACCACTGAAAAAAAAAAGTTTTGATTCTGACTTTTTTTTTGGATTCTGAGATTAAAGTCAGAACAAAAAAAAAAAATCAGAACCAAACATTTTTTTTTTCAGTGGCTCTCATTATTAATATTACTATTGTTGTTATTTTTGTTTTATTTTGTAGTATCAGCGCAGTAACCCTCCTTCTCGCTAGGGGGCGGTGTTTGAAAGCCGGAAGCACGCTGGGTGTCTGGATAGTCGAGGAAACTGAAGGGGGTTCCTCTCTAAGTGGCTAACAGTAGCTAGCCGGCTAATCTCCTGGATAACGCAGATGTGTTTGTTTTAAGTTTCCTCGTTCAGTGTTCGTGTCTTGTGTGTGTGTTGCGGTGACTTTGTGACGTCAGTGACGCAGACACCGGAGGTCACGCTTTAAACACGCTGCTGGATGTTTGTCCACTGTTGCTTCCTCCCGGGGATGCTAGCAGATAAGCAAGCCAGCTAAGCTAGAAAAAACCCTCCCAAAAAGTAGCCACAGTAGCAGCACTTGTGCACGGATGCTTTGAGAAGCAACGAAGCGGGTTTTTGGGGAGTTTGTAGCCGGGCCTCGCATCATGTCAGGCGGCCGGCCGCAGCAGAGCTCGGTGCCCAGCACCAGCAGCAGCAGCAGTACGGGAGGCACCGGGAGCAACGCCGTCCCGAGTAATGGAAACAACGCTGCAAATGTTGTGCCCTCCAGGACCCTGGCAGCAGCAGCCGGAGAGGGCACCGGCTTGTCGGTGCCAACTTTGGCCGCCGTGCCCTCGTCCCGGGCCGGGTTTGCTTCTCTGAGCAGACCGACAGCGACCTCAGGGAGCAGGAAGAAATCTCTCCACCAAGCACCTCTTTACAACGGCCTCCTGAACTCTTACGAGGATAAAAGCAACGACTTTGTCTGGTGAGTTTTCTCTCTGTTATTTTACCATGCAAAAATACTTTAAAAAGTTTCACACATGCCTGTAACACGACCTCGCTGTTTACTTTTCAGTCCCATCTGCTTTGAGATGATTGAGGAGGCACACATGACAAAGTGTGGCCACAGCTTCTGGTAAGTTTTACATTGATGTTACAACAACAACAACAACATAAACAGTCATACAGCCTGTTAAACATCATGCAAAGGAAACGAATCTACAAAATAACATGGCCTTATATGAGATGTCAGGAAACACAAGCTTATTCATGTTACTGGTCTGCACAGAGTTTTATTTTAATGATGCTTAAAGGTCTCTTTATAGACACAAGCATCCAGTTTATAGTTTCCAACTTAAACACATTTAAGTAGTTATTGCATTATCGATTAAAGGGACAGTTTCTATAATAGTTTGTATGATTTTGACTGGACATTTTGCATGAATTTATCAGAATATAAGTGTGCATGCAAGGTGGGTGTTTATTAAACACCTTGAATCATTTCAACAAAAGGAATTCAGTCTAGTTTTTGCTTGTTCCTACCTCCCCACAGTTTCAAGTGTATCCGTCAGAGTCTGGAGGACAGCAACAGATGTCCAAAGTGTAACTATATCGTCGATAACGTGGATCAGCTTTACCCAAACTTTCTCGGTAGGTATTCTGAGAGTCAGCTGGTTTGGTCATGTGTGTGACGTTACTTGAAATGTATACTAGTTTTGACTGTTTTTTTCACACAGCAGTTCTGCTACTGAAGGATTCAATCATTTTATTTCCCATGATTGATCTTTGTATAAGTACGGTTTCTCTTATGTAGAACCTTTCAAGGGTAGGTGTCCCAAAGTGCTTCACAAAAAGGAAAAAACAAAGAGATAGCAACACACAATCAGAAGTCAGTTTCTTAAAAGCAGACTAAGCAGTCTAAACAAACGGGTCTTAATCTGCTTTTTAAAAACATCCACAGTTTCTAAGGTGCTCAGTTTTAGTGGGAGACTGTCCCACAGTTGAGGAGCTGCAGCCTCTAATGCAAAGTCTCATTTAGTTTTGAGACTTGTACGAGGAACCACCAGCAGACCCGGATCAGAAGACCTCAGGGTCCTGCTGGTGTTCTGAGTCTCATGGCTTTAAAAGTTCTTTAACATAAGAAGGTGCTTGAGTAGGAAACCAGGGACAGAGAGAGAGAGAGAGTGGGATGACATGCAGGAAAGGAGCCGCAGGTTGATTTGAGCCGCCCCGCCCGCTTTAAGAGCGGTAGCTTCGGTACATGGGGCGTGACCTAGCTGCCCCAACTTCTTCACTTTTAAAGTCTCTCTCTTTTGATGTGTTCTTGGTCTTATACTAATTGTTGGATTTTCCACTTTTCCCCCTAACCCCCCAACCTTCTTGTTCCAGTAAATGAACTGATCCTTAAACAGAAGCAAAGGTCAGAGGAGAAAAGATTAAAATTAGATCATCCTGTAAGTATTTTTTTTTCTCTGTGAATCACATGTAGTTCACCCCTCTTCTTTTTAACTTGAGTCAGGAAACAAAAGGCTAGGTGTGACTGATCAGTGTCCTTTAACCACAGAACGGCTCCAGGTGGCAGGTGTTTCAGGACGTGTTGAGTCCTGACCAGGAGAACTTGGACCTGGCTAATGTCAATCTGATGCTGGAGCTCCTGGTCCAGAAGAAGAAGCAGCTGGAGGCGGTGAGTGGGGGGGGGGGGTCTGAGGGGTGAATCAGGCGGGCTGTTACTCTGCAGTGCTGAACACTTTCTGTTGCTTTCTTTTGCGTCTGCATTTGGCTGCTTTGATTCACAACGTGCTGGAGAGTGTTGGTCTGAAAAAGGTCTAACGATGATTCACTGGAGCCACAGATGACTCATAACCTGTTCTGTTTTTTAAAGAGGAAGAAACACAAAATGCAACATTCAAACTGACTAACCGTGCACGACAAAGAAGACTGATCCAACAATGACTTGAAGTAGAGCGGGCCCCCAACGGCCTGAGAAATATTAAAAGTCTTAGATTTTGTTTGTCACTGACATGGTTTGAGATTTTTATTTAAATGCCAGCAGTAATCTAGAGCCTTTTTTTCACAAATGCACCCCTGAACATTTCTAGAAAATGTTAGGCAGACTGGCCCTGAAATCTTCCTGAGTTGTTGTTGGAGAGACTATTTCTGTTGGACGGGAGGGGGGGACGGGGTCTCAAAAAGCAAGACTTAAAAAAAAATGGCAAAATGAAAAAGTCAGCTATATGATGATGATATTTGACTGGTTAATAAATCTAGTAATGTTGGCGTATACCTGCGATACAATTAGCCGATACCGATAGTCACGGGATATGTTACTATCAGCCGACATTATAGGTCGGCCAATTCATCTGTCGGCTCTACTTTCTACTGGTCTGTCATGGGGAAGAGGGAGCTGGGCCTGAAGGCAACGGGTTCATTTTACCAGTCTACCAATCTACTTCCAGTCCTCGCCTATCATGAGCTTCAGGTAGTGACTGGGAGAATGATATCTTGGAGAAAAGCGGCTGGTATGAGTTTCCTCCAGACGGAGGCCTCAGAGAGAGGGTGAGGAGCTCAGACATTCAGAGGGAGCTCTGAGTACTCCGCTGCTCCGTTGCATTGAAAGGAGCAAGTTAAGTTGGTTCAAGCATCCCTCCCTTTTGGAGTTTTTTCGGGCACATCCCTCCTCGGGTAGACCCAGAGATCACTGAAGGGATTATATATCACATCTGGTTTGAGAACGCCTCACAATCCCCCACATGGAGCTGGGAACTGTTGGTGGGGAGAGGGATGCTTCCACCGGGACCTGACCTCAGATAAAAGGAAGAAAATAGATCGATGGATATTACAAAATAATGTGGTCAGTTTGACAGTTTTTTGAGGTAACTCTCTGTGAATCTTTTCAGATCACAGATTCTTTAGCTTTGACCCTCCTCTAAGTCGCCGCATTGTTTGACCACACAACTCTTTTCTCACAAGTTCTCTGCAGATTTTTAAATGAATGCTTCACTTAAGACCTGCAGGAATGCTAAAAACACTCATGTTATCTTCAAGCCATCACAAAAAAACAACTTCTACTTGTATTTATCTTTCAATCAACTCACAATCTAACGGCCAGATGTTTAACTCAGACATCCAAGCTCACCTCAGAGGCGGTCTCTGTGTCGATCAGGTTGTTGCTGCCAGGATTTATCTGATAAAATGATGCATGCATTCTCATACAAATCAATCAAGGAGACACTCTGTGGCTAATTCATTTGAACAGTAGCAGCTAGAGTGATCCATTAGATCCTAAGAATTTGGTCGAGCATTTGTTCAAAACTCCTGATGAAGTCGTCGCAGAGCCAGTTGGCTTCATTGGCTGCTTTTACTCCCATCGCAGGACATGTGTTTCATACATTTCTTGTTTTGAGTTCGTTCTCCTTCCAGCCAAATTATGTGCCTCTGGGCTAGTTGAATTTTCTAAATGTTTAATCTGATTGGACTTTAATTTGGTGATCATTTATTTTTCCTAATCAGTTGTGAATCAGAAATGAAAGATGTGTGTGTCGAGGTTGCTTTGGTGGCGGTATCGACATCATGTTATGGAAGGGGAATGTAGGTGTGTTTCCAGATGTGTTTTGATTGTAAATTGCATGTGTAGCGCAGACCGGTGGTTCCCATCCTTTGTTTTTGGCAGACAAACCCCCACAGTCCTGGTGGATGAACTCCAGTAACCCTTAGTTTATTGACACATTGTGTGTAATGGACCAAATGTTTTATTTAAATTAATTCAAACTGGATAATATTTATCAAAGCATGCTTTAAAATCTGATATAACAAAGGATGTTACAATGGATTCTGATACTTTTTGTGTACTGTTGCTCCAATTTGTCCTTTATTTTAAAGGTGCTGGGAGAAGTTTTTAAGTGGTTGTGAGCAGAATGAAAACACTGATGGCGCTTCATTACCTTAAGTGTAAACGAAACCATCCGCATTTAGCCTAAAGTTTGACCATTTCTATCATTACTTATTTTCAATGTTTGTAACCACTGTTGAAGTGAGTAAGACCACGCTGCAGATACAGCCTTTGTTGACATTTTCCACAGCAAAGATTCCTGATGAAACGATGCATTTGGCACAAAACAAAAGAGAGATTAAGTAATGATATGTGTTGTAACTTTTCCCACATGGGCCCCCAGAATAAAAACAAACCATAAGTTCTTCACTGGAGCTTGCTGCATAATTCTGAATGCATGTATACACCAATTAAAGCCAGCTATATGCACCACTTTTATATTAAAGGTCATATATGAAAAATGCACTTCACCATGTTTTCTAATATAACTAATATGTTTACCTAGTCCGTCTACAAACCCCCCAATAATGAGAAAAGTCCATCCTCTCCGTCTTTTGCCTGCTCCACTTTTCAGAAAAAGTGTGCTCAAACAGGCTGTTTGGAGATTTTCCCTTCATGACATCACAAAGGGCAGTAAACCCTCCCCCAGGTGGGTGACACTCCCACAGCTAGGTGTTTTTTCTGCCCTCTGAGTCTGCCTTCTCACTGTAAACAATAGGACATGGAGAGAGAAGCCCTTCCAGAGAGGGGGTGTGGTCAGACACAGCTCATTTACATATTTAAAGGTACAAACACAGAAACAGTCTGTTCTGAGCAGGGGTAAAATAGAGGGGTTTATAGTCATGATCAAATACAGGATCAGAGTGGATTTAGAACAAGAAACTTCACAGACATGTTTTGGGGAGCTCTGAGAATGATTTAAACTTGTTGAAAAGGAGAAGAATATGTCACCTTTAACTTAAGCTTCTTTTCACGTTGATCCAGTACTTTTTATTTTAGCTACCTATTGAATTTAGTTTTTTACTCCATAATCCTCTTCAATTTTTGTCCAGTGCCTTTTCGAGTAGTATTTCAAGGATTTAATTTCTTACCTTCTCTGTTGTTTCTTTCTACCACACAAAGAAAAATGTCAAATAAAAGCATCGGTCCAAAAATATGACTTGACTTCCTGCTCTCTGTTTATTTAGTTATGCCAGACATTTCAAGTATGAACGTCTTCAGGCCACAGTTGTCAAAAATCATCTCCCGGCACCCATAAACTCTCGGGTTTGGGATCGTTTCCTGTAGTGGAGCTGAATAACATACGCGTCTTCCTTTAATAATCGTTTGGATAATTGTTTTCTTCATTTCTGTGTTTTAGTTTTAATGGAAGTACCAGACATGCAAAGAGTCCTGCAGTCCTTCATTCAATCCAAAGTACTGAAACTAAAATGTAACTCCAGTTCATGTTAAAGTATTTGCGTCAAAATGTATTTTAGCAAAGTTGAATTCAGTTTTTAAAATGTCCTCTGAACAAACCATTTTTGAAGTTGAGTTTGAACGAACATTTAGCAGCATAAATGATGTATCCTGCTTACATTACAAAAAGAAGTGACATCCGACGTGAGCTCAGAGTAGAGCCGCTGCTTGCCCAGGTTGTTCTGATCTGATCAGGATGCTTCCTGGTCACATTCAACTGGGGAGGAGACCCAGGGGTAGACCCAGAGTTTTCTGGAGGGATTATATATCCCGTCTGGCCTGGGTACGCCTTGGGATCCCCAGGAGGAACTGGAAAACGTTGCTGGGGAGAGGAACATCTGGGTGACTTACTTAGCCTAATGATGGATGGATGTTTTAAAGTTTGATGAATGCAGATGATCCAGATGTTATTAAAGTCATCATGTTTAATATCCATGATCTCAGTTTCAATTTAAAATAATCCTGATTATGATAATCACCATAATCGAGCAGCCCTAGACCCGTCTAGCACTTCCTAAAAAGACAACCGGGCCTACAGCAGGCAAACGCAGTGTCCTATTTAACTCACTTCTTTAAACCCACTTTTATCTGTTAGCTGTTTCTGAACTGCCGCTGTTGTCCTGAACGTCTTCACCGTCTTTTTAATGAATATGTTTAATCGATGTTTGGGTCTATTGGGTTTATTGGAAGAATTTATTTGTATTATTATTTGTCGAAGTGTGTATTTGTTTGTATTATTATTTGCTTGTTTAATTGTGCAGCACTTCATAACTTTGTTTTGAAAAGGGCTAAATAAATGTTGTTGTTGTTGTCGTTCTTATGGTTGTTGGTGTTGGTTTTGTTGTTGGTGTTATGGTTGTTGGTGTTGTGGTGGAGGTTGTGGTTGTTGTTGGTGTAGGTGTTGTTGTGGTGCTGGTGGTTGTTGGTGTAGGTGTTGTGGTGCTGGTGGTTGTTGTGGTTGTTGTGGTGGAGGTTGTGGTTGTTGGTGTTGTTGTTGTTGGTGTAGGTGTTGTTGTGGTGCTGGTGGTTGTTGGTGTAGGTATTGTGGTTGTTGTTGTTGTGGTGCTGGTGGTTGTTGTTGTGGTGGTGGTTGTTGTTGTGGTTGTTGGTGTTATGATTGTGGTTGTGGTTGGTGTTGTTATGATTGTGATTGTTGTGGTTGTTGTTGTTGTCCTGCCACTGTAACAGCAGACTACACATCACCAGTACTGATACAATATAAAACCGTTCAAACGTGATATTTTTTGTGATCTCATCAGAATAAACAAAGATTTTCTGCAGCTCTGGTGTCCAGTCGAATGAGATTCAGTGATTTGTGTCTCTCTTACAGGAATCTCAAGCAGCTCAGAGACAGATCCTCATGGAGTTCCTGAAAGAAGCCAGAAGAAACAAGAGAGAGGTACGCTTGTTCTGGTTAAACAAAATCATTTTAAAGTCCCTGTGAAATGAAAAATATGTTTCCCCCTGTTTTAATCCAGCGTTCCTGTGTTAAATCTTCATTTATTTTGCATTTATCTGCCAAATATATTTCAGCGAGCATTATCTGAGTACTTCTACCTCAAAATAACGCTATTTTATCTGCCTGTTAAACCTTTCAAATGTCTGATACTCAATGGGGTTTACACATGTTTTTGGCCAATTAAAAAGCTTTGGCCCATCCAATCAAGTTGACCCCAGCATTAAGTCCCGCCTTCTATCTTGTGATTGGTTCTATCCAGTTTCAGTAGGAAATGCATCGCGACATGGCAGTCAGATACTCTCCAGTTAAACAACACTGTTGTGTGTTTAGAAATCAGTTTTCTATACAAAGTGAAATATTAATTATAAACAAATAAATACAAAGATTGTGTTTAACCCTCCACATGCAGACTTATTAACCTGTGCTCTCTGCTCTGTCAACAGCAACTGGAGCAACTACAGAAAGAACTCAGCTTCCTTGAAGATGACATCAAGCGTGTCGAGGTAAAAGCTCCCGTCATATGTTAGCGAACCGCTCAGTCAGAGCTAGATTAAATAAATGTGAAGGTAGAGGAGCACGGTGAACGCTCAAAACAAAGATAAACAAAACATGTTCTTTTTATGTCATCTTCCAGGAAATGAGTGGGCTGTACTCTCCCATGATGGAGGCCGAGTGCACGGTTCCTAATGTGGAGGCTCCCTCTCCAGCTCCCAGGTACAGCTCACCTCTGTATTTTCAAGTCGCTATGTCGGCCTGTGTAGCCGTACAGTATACCTCTCATGTCTTTTTTTCCTGTCTTTATTTTGCAGCTGTAGTAGTATTATTGATCCACCAGACTACAGCCAGCCTCCTGGATTTGGTGGAGCAACCCAGGTAACTCATAGAAACACACACGTTGCATGAATGACTTCTTTGAAATCAGTTTCTAGACATCTATGAAGGTCACATGTGTTGATCATTTTAGTTTGATTCTTACTCGGCCTGTAACCCGTTGAAGCATTTATTCGGTGTCTACTCGAAGGTTTTATAATCTGTAAGGGAGTTACTGATTTGGCTTGAACGGAGTATGAGAGGAAGATCCAGGCAGTATAAAGAAAAACATCTTCAAACAGATGTTACCACAAGTTTTTTTGACAGATACTGAGGTGCCCATGATGGCTCTTTAACCAGGAGCCTGTCAAGTTTACGCCTATATTTTATTTCAATGCTCACAGCTGATAAAAAAACCAGACTCCTGCACATTCTTGGTCGAGCTTTAAAAGAGTTGTAACAGAATAAACGTCAGTGTGAGTTAAGCGTTGGGAGGACTGCGCTCTAAAATACTTGGAACTGTTTTTTCCAGGGCAAGAGACAGACGTGGTACAACAGCACGCTGGCGTCGAGGAGGAAGAGGCTGACGGCTCATTTTGAAGATCTGGAGCAGTGCTACTTCTCCAATAAGATGTCACGCATCACAGGTACAGATCCTGCGGCCTCACTGTGTTTGTTGACACGACGACAACAACTTTTGTCTCCTCAACTAAGGAACTAAAGCAGGACTTCATGAAGAGGGGTCATGAGGCTTCAGGTCTTGGATCTGGAGTCCGCTCAGTGGATGGCTCAGTGCTCTGCTTACACAGTTTGTTTTTTGCTTAATGTATTATTTCTTAAAATGAAGGCCGCAGTTGGATCAAAACTCCTCTGAGCTCGCCGTCAGAGTAACTGATGAAAGCTCAGCTCTGAGCATCAAAAACATGTCACCAGTTTTCTGTTTCCTTATCCCCGTGAGGAGAGCCTGCAGGCTTCCAGAGGAGCCTGATATGTTGGCATTCAGCACAAGATGTTCTTTGTATTCAGAAATACAACTAATGATGATAAGATGATAAGAATAACTTGGTGTTAACATTTTTCATGAAGCTCCTTCTGCACTCAGAATATTTCCCTCTTTTTTTCCACCTGACACTGAGTGTAAAGTTCCCTTCCTGCCTTACTTGCTCTATCTAATCCACAGTAATGTGTGTGTGTGTCTGTTGTGTTCAGATGAAGGCAGGAATCTGAACCAGCTCGATGATTTCATGGAGTGTCTGTCCAAGTTTACTCGTTACAACTCTGTGAGGCCGCTCGCCACCCTCTCCTACGCCAGTGACCTCTACAACGGCTCCAGTATTGTTTCCAGGTAAACAAAGAGGATTTCACTAATATGTAGCATTAGTCAATACAAAGTGTCCTATTAGTCCGATTCAGATTTGTATTTTTTTGCAAAACTGACATAACTAAGCTCAGATGTTGTCACGTCTTTGTACACTCATATTGATTCCGCATTAGCGTGATATTGGTGTCCGAGTGCATATCTGTGTTGTGAAAGCACGGCACACACACAGCGCTGTGCTCCCCCGCTGGCTCTGCTGTAACTGTCTTGTCAACAGGCAAGGCAGGCAACTGATTGGGGCCCCAGACCAATAGATTGATTCTTTTCTCCTCATGATTCACTGCCATGTGCAGCAGAAGCAGAACTTTGTATCGGTGAGTTGATTGGAATCCCTCTCGTCTCCTGTGTTTCAGTATCGAGTTTGACCGTGACTGTGACTACTTTGCCATCGCTGGTGTGACCAAGAAGATCAAAGTGTTTGAGTATGGCACGGTGATCCAGGACGCAGTGGACATCCACTACCCCGTTAATGAGATGACCTGCAACTCTAAAATCAGGTAAACAAAGAGATCAGATATAGTATGTGATGACATCTTTCAACGCTCCGTGTACAGAGATTCTGAGCTCCTGGTTTCACACATTGGAAGGCACTGTTTCACAACGTGAACAGAGAATATTCTGTCCATTACTTTTCCATTGGTTTGATGATCTTTACATAATTATATTAGCTGCTATAGAGTGACAGAACTCACTAGACATATCATTTTTTTTTAGAGCTTTTCATAGCAGAAGGAAAACCTTCCCATCTCACTCATGTTTAATGATCAATATCTGTGTGGTTTAGATAGATAAAGATATACGTAATCCAGTCTTACCCAACCTTGGGGTCCTGACCCCAAATGGGGTCGAATGGAATTAAAATGGGGTCGCCTGAAATGTCAAATTATTGATCAAAGTAAAACATATGGGAGGACTCTGCCTTAATGAAGCTCCAAGACGTTATCCATTTAAGCATCAGGTCATAGACCTGAAAACCTGCAGTATCTATATTTAGTTTAGTACATATTTGTCTTTACTAATTTTGTGTTTGTTGATATTTTACACATTCGCTATCAGACCAATGATGATTATTCATTTCAAAATAATATCATCTAGTCTCCATTAACTTAACTCTGTCACCAATGAAAAGCTCGAGTGATGAAATAAATCTTTACCATCATTCATACCTATGAATCCTACAGTGGACGTGTTTGTTTTCTTTAGGTAGAATCCGATGCCTTTAACATGGCCTGTAGTTACTTATTATCTAACTGACAGATTACTGAAGAATGATGATGAGATGTTGTGGTGATATATTATGAAACAAGAGGTTTTAATCAATCAACACAGAGAACACACAACACAGACCTCAGCTTATCAGGACACTTTCTTGTGACCTCTGAATCTTTTCCTCCCACATGCTCACTGTGTCCTAAGTACATCCTCGTAGTTCTCTGTCGCTCGCGCACAGGAGGGATTGATGTCCCGTTTCGATTTTCCTCTATCACTCGCTTAAATATATCCGAGGAACTACAAGTCACTGGCACTCGCTTATCTCACTCAATAGCCCTCTTGCATCACTATGGACATTTTTATCCATTTGGTCCAATGTTTCCTCTTTACCTGGTCATCATTTTGTCTGTCTTAGTACATATGGCACCATTTTTTGTAAGAAAGTCTCTCTCTTGACACATTTTGGAATGCACATTTAATTTTTTTTAATATATCAATAGAAAACTGAAACATGTTTACTACCCTCTTAAGTCACTAAGGACAAAAATGTCCACTTCCAAAAAATTGATATAAAAATAGAACAGATTGATATTTTTTCTGCATACATTTCTTAAACAACTCCAGCCCTGCTCAAAACTACCAAATATTGAATAATTATCAGGTATTTAACCCTTTAAATGCCAGAATCATGTAATCAAACTGGCATTTAAAGGGTTTAATTCCTGATAATTATTCAACATTTGATATTTTTGAGCAGGGCTGAAGTTGTTTAAGAGATTTATGTAGAAAAAAATATCAATCTGTTCTATTTTTATATCAGTTTTTTGGAAGTGGACATTTTTGTTCCTAGTGACTTAAGAGGGACGTAAATTAAACTGATGCCTGAGGGTTAAGAAGTGCATAGATAATATCCACATCCGTGATTGTCTTGATTTGTGTCAACACAGTAGAAGTGTTAGTTAACCGTGTCCACACAGACTTTTCCTATTGACCAACAGTCTGGTCTGACTGTTAGAGGACAGCCATAACCACTGCCCTGACCTTATTTGTTGCAGCTGTATCAGCTGGAGCAGCTATCACAAGAACCTCCTGGCCAGCAGTGACTACGAGGGGACTGTGATCCTGTGGGACGGGTTCACCGGCCAGAGGTCCAAAGTCTACCAGGTAGGATATTTAAGTCTCTTTATTGAAGGATCCACTGTTGAGTTTGTGTGGGTTAAACGTTTGACTCTTGGTTTAAACCATTTTAAAACATTTCCACTGCCTTCTCTGCAGGAGCATGAAAAAAGATGTTGGAGCGTTGACTTCAATCTGATGGACCCAAAGCTGTTAGCCTCGGGCTCTGACGATGCTAAAGGTAACATCCCCTAACCTCTCTCACATCCGTCACACCTCTCTGACCTCATGATGAACTGTCCATGTGTCTTATTTCTGTCTTTCAGTGAAGTTATGGTCCACCAATCTCGACAACTCAGTGGCCAGCATCGAGGCGAAGGCCAACGTCTGCTGTGTCAAATTCAGCCCAACCTCCAGGTATCATCTGGCGTTTGGCTGTGCAGGTAAGATCAGAGTAGTGTGTCGGTCCAGGTCAAAATGATGGATGCGACTGTGTCATTGTTTGATAACTTCTAAGTGTAAAGGCAGATTTACAGGTTACAGCACCACTGTGAAACCTCCTGACAGATTGCACTCGTCTCACACCACCGCTGGTTTTTCCTGGTATTCTGTATTTCCTTTGTGGTCAAACAGTCTCTGGTGGTCCAGACAAACTTCTGAAAACATAATTTATAACTCTCTCAAAGGAGAAATAACTCAAATAGGAACCATTCTCTTCCACACAGAAACAAATCCTTCAAGGGACTAAACAGAGAAACACAGAGACTCTTTGTTATTCAGTGGGGAATTGCTCTGGCTTATTTACCCCATTCCCTGAGTCTCCAAGGTCCAAGTCCACTCAGCCTGGAAAAGGAAACCTTCCTTGACCTTGGAGTTGTCAGTTTGAAGTGAAACTAGGACGTTAGACTTGAAGCCAGCAGGCACAGTGTACCGATCAGTCACCCCAGAAACACACAGCTCGTTAGACAGACACATTTTGAAATATGTCAACAAAGCTCTTGCACCATCATTCACTGTGGCAGCAGGCCTGGCTGGATACAACTGACATTGATACACCCCCCAATTCCCCCCCTGTTTTTCAGCTCCCATCTGAATGTAACCATGTTTTCTCTTTTGCTTGTGTTTTCTTGCAGACCACTGCGTCCACTACTACGATCTACGCAACACCAAGCAGCCAATCATGGTGTTCAAAGGCCACAGGAAGGCGGTGTCCTACGCCAAGTTTGTCAATGGAGAGGAAATAGTCTCTGCGTAAGTCAGTGTAGCAGCAGGAACACATGATATAGATATGTTTGTGTGTGCAATTTAGATATGTGTCATGACCAGCAGCTTCTTATTCTCTCCTTTCTCCGATTGTTTTTTATAAACTTTTAGCTCGTAATATCTTCCCTTTACTAACTGTCGACAAAAAAAATAACACATCTGGGGCACTTTTTTTTTGTTGTTCTTTATACTGATTTCACAAAAAGAACCCCTTCACTGAACCCTCTACCGTTCTTGTCTCGTTCTGTGTTTGCAGCTCAACAGACAGTCAGCTGAAGCTGTGGAACGTCAACAAGCCTCACTGCCTGCGCTCCTTCAAGGGTCACATCAATGAGAAGAACTTTGTGGGCCTGGCCTCCAATGGAGACTATGTTGCCTGCGGTAAGTATAACCGTCTGTACATATGATGATGCACTTGATTTATGAAATCTCTTTCAGCTTTTTGAAATAAATCCCACCGGTCTTGGTCCTAATCAGTTTTTTATTCTCAGCCCCCCTCGGATGGAATTATAGAAATCCTTGAGTTATTATAATCTCAGTACAAAAAACAATAATCCCTGTTTGTTTGTGCTTGACAGGCAGTGAAAACAACTCCCTGTACCTGTACTACAAAGGACTTTCCAAGACGCTGTTAACGTTCAAGTTTGACACGGTGAAGAGCGTCCTGGACAAGGACAAGAAGGAAGACGACACCAACGAGTTTGTTAGTGCCGTCTGCTGGAGAGCCATGCCTGACGGAGTGAGTTCACCTCCTGATTACACTGATGCTGTTCACTATATATATATATATACACACACACACACACACACATACACACCAAGCTAGAAGGAAGGGTACATCAACCGGCTTATTATTCCCCTGTACTTGTAGACAAAACTTGTAAACTAACTTTCAGACTTCAGTCACAAAATAAATAAAACACACATTTATATCAGCACATATTATCAGACAGTAGGGCGGCTGTGTCTCAGTGGTTGAGTTGGTCGTCTCTCAACCGGAAGGTCTTGGTTCAATCCCCATTTCCTGCAGCCACATGTCCAATGTGTCCTTTGGCAAGACACTTAACCCCAAGTTGCTCCCGCTGCTTCATTGGTGGTGTATGAATGTGTATGAATGGATGAGTTAGTACTGATGGACTCTTTACTCAGCAGCCTCTACCATCAGTGTGTGAATGTGTATGAATGGATGAGTTAATACTGATGGACTCTTTACTCAGCAGCCTCTACCATCAGTGTGTGAATGTGTAGGTGTGACCTGATTTGTAAAAACAGTTTGAGTAGTCAGAATTTAGCATTTACTGTTCCACTGTCTTTTGGGTGTTTTCATATCATAGAGTAAATTACATGTTGTGTTTTCTTAACTGTGTTTTTGTTTTTCAGGAGTCAAATGTACTGATTGCTGCAAACAGTCAAGGAACAATTAAGGTTTGTGTTTTAAACATTCACACATGAAACATACCTCCTATAGGGGGCAGTTTAATGCTTCAAACACTTTACAAAGTATTCATAGTTCTGTTTGAAAAAAGACTTGAACAATGTTTGGTAGCTTTGGACATGTCATTTCCAGCTAGTTGACTTCAGGTCTAGTTCAGAAGCCGCTTTGTGCTGGGTGACTTCTTCTATGCCTTTGATACTTCAGGTGTCAAAAATACGTAGAAAACCGTCCTCATGTAAACTGTTGTTTCTGGATCATTAAATAGAAGAGACATAAGATAAGATTAACTTTTATTTATCCCACAACGGGGAATAATTCAGTGTTTACAGCAGCAAAGACAAAAAAAGAGCACACAGTGCACAAATAATCACATGGTTGAAGAGCCGTAACAGAGCTAAAGACGTTAAACATGTTAATTCACCTTGTTAGTGCCATAAATGACAGAAAAGAACTTGGTGACGGGCAAGAGCTGCTGTAACAAGCGGCACCTCGTGTGGTGCCATCATGCCCGCCAAATAAAGGCGGCGGCAGAAATTTCAGTACCCTCGTCCAAACCCAGATCACCTGTTGGTTCCACATCACATACACTTATACATTCAGCTTTTCATACATCCAGTGTCACTGTGAGACTGTTCCTATAACAGTGTGTACTTTTGAGGACTTTCAAACACAATGACATGGGAAAAAGAATGGCAGTACTTTTTTTCATTTTTTTTTACAATGTAGCTCTTCTGAAGACTTTTTAAAATCGTTTGAAGTAATGTTTGCTTGAATTATTTACAAATGAACATGAGAAGCTTTCACTTTGGAGAGGGTAGGAGACTGAGAGAAGAAATAAATGAGAGCAGGCTAAAGGATGTAATAATAAAACAAACCTGTTCTCACCATTTATGAGTCTGTTAAAGTCTGACCTCTCATACTCAAACCATTTGGTTCAAATCCAGTGAAATCTGTCCTTTGGGACTATGTGGGAAAGTGACCGCCTTTCTATAACATGTAGGCTACTTAATTTATTGTGTCCTCTTATTCATCAACTGTGGGTGGGTAACGAGGAGATTATTTCCCTTGGTGTACTTTATCTTTTTTACATTATTTTATTTAATCTTTTTTTATAGAAGTTTTAGAGCTTCTATGGTCGAGAGAATAACTTCAACACTTTAACTCCTTATCTTTAACTCTCTCTGATGTTGTGTTCAACAAAGACAGCAGGCTCCAGCTACACATAACGAGACTCTCTCTCTCTTTTCTCTCTCCCCTCAGGTGCTCGAGCTCGTCTGAAGGCCCGTCATATCTCCAGCGTGTGATGGAGGCGTCCTCAACCTTTCTGCTGGGTAAGAGGATCAGAGTGATGCAGCAAGAGCTCCGGCTGCCTGCTGAAAACTGTGGATATCTGAAAACAGCAGGAGAGCTTGAAATAAACCGCCATTATTTTAATGAGCTGCACATGTTTTGTTCACAAGGCTGTACAGACTTTGGGAGCAGTGCATCCGTATAGCAGGAGAAGATGTGCTGCTGTTTAACAGCAAAAAAACCCCAGAAGAGCGAGCGTGGGCACGAACGGAACAAGAGACTTTTTCTTTTTTTTTACAAAGCATTTTGTTTGTTTTCATTAAAGTTATATATCAGCTACAGTAGAACACCTCTTTATGGTTTGAGGTCAGATCAAAAACCTGTACCTTTTTTAATGACGCTCGTGAAGGTACACCCAGCCAAATGCTTCCAGTGTGATGCATTTTCCCTTTTAAAGGCCAAAGCACAAAACTGAACAACATGCAGAACTAATGTCTTCACATGGAGCTTTTAACCCCCCCCACCTCCCCCCGCCTCATTGTCCGTCAGCCATCAGGTTTGTTTCCCCTCCATGTGTCGTTTTTTTTGTGTTCTTCAGATTGGGAGACACCAGTTTTAATAAATAAGACTTGAATGTCATTCTTATCGTCCATTCATTTTCTGCTTTGAGTGTAGGATGAGACGTGGCGAATGATATACAAGCAAGACCAATTGATTCTGGAAACGTGGAGGAACGTCCTGATATTTGTGTTCTGAACAAGATCAGATGTGACGTGTTTGTGATCACATGTTTGCCATTCTCGTTGTGTCATTTCAGGCATTGTCTTTCAATGCTGCATCAAACTGGATTCTTTTTCCACGTCTGTGAGCCATTTCTTTTTTGTTTTTTTTTCTTGTTGAAAAATGAGAACCTCAATTAATCCGTTTTCTTAACTTTACAGTAGCAATGACTCTTCACATACTTGAGGTGAAAACATCTGATCTAAGCTGAGCTGCGTTGTAACATCAGGTTACTGGTTACATGTTGACATTGATGTCCAGAGGGATTTGGTAAACACCGTGGAGACAAACCTATTTTATGATAACTGAGTGAGAGAGAGAGGTGTTTTTGTATTTGTAAAACTCAATAAATTATTTCCAAACTATGTTGTCATGTTGGCTCCTCTTCGTTTGACAGTGTTGGTTCTCTGCTCAGTGTTTATATAGAGCGTCTCTTCTGTTTCCCTCGACGTCTTTATCAGATCAAATGTTGAGTGATGTTGAGAACAATCAGAGATAACAGTTTATACTCAGGTGTACGGAGCTGAGGAACTTTGGAAAGGAAAAAAAAAAGATGTTGGAAAGCTTCTAATTGTTGCTGCATTCAGAAGTTATTACATGTATTGATTTCATGCAGCTGTTTTTTCTTTAGGCTGACTCAGCTTTAATTATTATAAAACATTTATGAAGGGTTTATTAAGGGTATGTGGTTTCAAATACTCAAAAGAAAGATGAATTGAATACTAGGGATTATCAATATCATCAATATCATAGGCCTACTTAATGATTTTGTTTTTGCATAGCAAATCCAAAAAGAGATTTTTTTTTTTTCTTTTGATTCAATGATCATATGAAAAATGATATATTTTTTAATTAGGCTATGTTAAGTTACACACAACATCTCAGACTTTTCATATTGCAATTTTCTAGACTTTCAATTCAATTCTCAAATCCATCATTACAACACAGGGTCAGCCAGCGTACTTCATTCTGCATTTTTCTGGACTTTTTCTCAATTCTTCATCACATTCAGAGGACCTCATTGTTGGAACAATTTACCCAGTCATACTAGAAACCTCACCAGCTTCAACTTATTTAAAAAACAAAGCATTTATTTCCTGCTTGGCCAATTAAGTAATTCAGCATCATAATCATTCTTTGCAATAAGTGCTTATTTTCCCTCTTCTTTAATGTTACTCTTTCTTGTTTTGCTTTCTTTTACACTTTATTGAGTATGTTTTCTTGTTAGCTTTATTGTATTTGCTTGGACTACTTTAATAATTTGTCTCCGTTTTAAATGTTTCTCTTTAGGAGGGCCTCTCGACAAGTCCCTCTGGGTTTATTTGGCTCCTCCAGCACATTTATTTCAAAATATATATATTTTTTAATTAACCAATCATTATGTACTGTCTGTTTTTTTTCATTGATCTATTATGTTTATTTTTTTAAATGCAATAAAATAAGAAAACAGATAAAAGCTATTTTTATTATTTTTTAAGTTTCCCATTATGTGCTTATTTTCTGGCGGGAATTGGTTTCCATAGCGACAACAGGAGAGGAGGTGGGCACTAAAACAAAATAATGGAACGTTTGTGTTCGGAACAGCGAGCGGCGGCGGAATGTTTTAGCAGACGGACCAGGGACAACTAGCTTGTTAGAGAGACTCCAGCCAGAGTTATCTTCATAACCAAACATCTCTTTTTTAGTTGTAATAGTTTACTCTATTTGAACTAGAGGTTAAGACATCCCTGCTAAAAGATGGGAGTACCGAAGTTTTACCGATGGATTTCAGAGCGCTACCCGTGTCTGAGTGAAGTTGTGAAGGAACACCAGGTAGGACAATTCAGTGTTAGCGTTAGCTTAGCTTAGCTTCTGGCTATCATCGAACCAAGTAAGAAAAGAAGAAGCAGGCCGTGAAACTTTTATTCCACGTAGCTAGCATATGTTTAACAAAACACTTTAATAGCCTGAACGAGAGGAAACCTTACATTTGAATGTGTAGCAGGTGAAAACGCTAATGTTTAGACAGGCCTGTGGTTCATCATGTCCACATATTAATCTGAGTTTACTGTGATAATTAATGTTCCTGGTCAGAGCAGGACTTTATGAGCTACTTCCTGTTTTTATTCTGATAGACTGTAGGTTGTATTTTGTTGATGTAAAGCACTTTGTGACCTTTGTCTGTGAAAAGTGCAAAGTGAAAAGTGTGTAAATAAAGTATTTTGTGTGCTCAGCGGGTCTTCAGTGAAGATAGTGTTTCATCAGCTGGTAGTCCAGTGACACCCCCATTACATAAGACTGCTTCATGTGTTATGAAAAGAGACATGGTGTTCAAACAGATAAATATTTGACAACAAATGAAATAGAAAACCAGATCCTTCCCTTTTCAGATTGTCAAAGTCAAGTCAACTTTATTTATATAGCACATTTATAACAGCCGAGGCAGACCAAAGTGCTGTACAGTAAATCAGGCAAAATACATTACATCCAAAACATCATAAAAACACGTAAAAGCAAAAATTAAAAGTGAATTAAAACTCAAAACAATAGTAAAAGTTCGAATAGACACTGCTGCTGGGATAAAACACTCAACTAGTAAAAGCAAAGGAAAAGAAATGGGTTTTTAAAAATGACTTAAACTGCTCAGTTGTGGCAGCAGATCTTATTTTAAATGGTAATCTGTTCCAAAGTGTCGGAGCTGCAACAGAAAAGGTTTGATCGCCCCTAGTTTTGAGCCTTGTTTTAGGCACGTCCAGGAGCAGCTGGTTGGAGCATGAACATGTAGTAGTTCACTTAGGTAGTGAGGTGTTGAGCCATTTAATGATTTAAAAGCCAGAAGACTTACTGGCTTTTTAATAACGAGTCACGAGTCCACAGTTACATTTTACACTCATATTTTTTATCAGGTTGCCAAAGGTTTTTTTATACTTTTTCTCGATACTTTGTTACCACATGTTTAAAAGTGATACCATCTCTGTTGTGTTGATGATTGGTACCATCGAGAAAGTACAGATGTTTTTCAGATCTTTCGTCATATTTTTAACCGAAAGCTGCGACAAGAGAGAGGAAGAACACTAAGTTGCCAAATACATTGCTGATGGGTTTATGCAATCAAGACAGTGTGCAGGAGTTTGCCTGCAGTTTTTTTAAGTTAAAAATAAGAATTCACCCAATATTGGGTGCCTTGCACTTATATTTTTCTCATCGTGGTATTGAAACAGATATCGATATAGTTAGATTTTTACTTGAATCATATCAGTTTAAAGTTCTGGTTTCGCGACAATCCTAATTTTTAAGTACTAAACATAGATGTTAGTGTTCTCTTTGTTGTTTACGACTTGAAGAGATCATTAGAGCTTTTAATTTTTACTTGTGATTCCTGCAAATTTGTCAGCTGTTCATGTGAAAACGCTTAAATCGAAACAAAAGTGTTAACATTCCTGTTGTTCAGAAATGTCATACAGTTCAGGAAAAGCAACATGTTTTACTGACTATTTACTGGACAAATTACAAGATTATTCCAGAGTAAATTTACCAAACACTGTAGTTGTATTCGTCATTATCAATGTATTTTTTTCTTTCTCTCTTCAGATTCCAGAGTTCGACAATCTCTATCTGGACATGAATGGTATCATCCATCAGTGTTCCCACCCCAACGACGAGGACGTCCACTTCCGCATTTCTGAGGAAAAGATTTTCGCTGACATCTTTCATTACCTGGAGGTTCTCTTCAGGATCATCAAGCCTCGCAAAGTCTTCTTCATGGCGGTGGATGGCGTGGCACCGAGGGCGAAGATGAACCAGCAGAGAGGGCGCAGATTCAGGTAGAGATCCGAGCAGGATGAAAGGAGCGTGGAGAAATGATTTTGAAGGCCATCTTGGATTAAACTGGCTGTGGAGTTCCACAAGTTCCTGTTTTAAACTATGGATAAGCAAAAGTCACCACTTTTAGCTCTCTTGCCAATAAAAGTTTCTTCTTTGAATCTCAAAGACCGATTATGAATGTTAAATTTAGATGTGACGCTAGCTTTTCTTAAAGTGACCAAATAAAGGAACATGATTCCAAACATGCCTTCAGCGTGATGTTAAATCTCAAGTGTAAATAATGACTCATTTGCTTTTAGTTATCTGGCCGAGACGACAACTCTGTTTTCAAATGTAGTAATTCAATGTCATGTGTAATTCTTTGGTCTAGCAATGACGTTCTAGGTGCCACATTTCTAAACCCCGAGCCCGGCACAAACTGCCCTAATAAGGCAGAACGGGCCCCAAACAGAACAGAACTAAAATGCAATATTTGCTTTGGTAAAAGACTGAAGAAACCAGACGACAGGCAGGATAACAGCCTGAGACTGAGAGTCTGACAGACTTTTTGATAGCTGTCTTTATGTGTTTGTGTTTGACTCTGTGTGTGTTTGTGTCTAGGTCCGCCAAAGAAGCAGAGGATAAGATCAAAAAAGCCCTGGAGAAAGGAGAGGTGCTACCCACAGAGGCTCGCTTCGACTCCAACTGTATCACTCCCGGTAGGAGAAGCTCTCAAAGCTTTGCTCATAACGAACATCTTAACACATTTACATGAATAAGAATAAGCTACGGCAAACCATGAACATGTACAACCACCGGTTCTTCTTCTGGTAGGGAAATTAGCTTTTCCGTTTTAGGGTGTGCTGGTAGTGAAGTGGTTAGTGCGCATGCCCAGGTGTGGAGGCCCCAGTTCTCCAAGCGGGTGGCCCAGGTTCAGATCTGACCTGAGGCTCCTTTCCCACATATCACTCCCCACTCTCTCTCTCTCCCTCTTCACTGTCCTGTCTCTACGTAAAGGAATAAAAAGCCACACATTTTTACAGTTTTTACAGCAGAATTAACATGTGTGCAGCCTATTGTTTTTTTTCACTCACCTGTTTTGATTTTATGAAGGATATAGCTTATGCATTAGGGGTGTGGTTGCTCCAGCTGAAGCGGTTTTTCAGGAGGATTAAAGTCCACCTCAGCTCCAGCTCTTTGTCTGTCGTAAGGTTGACTAAAGTTTAAGAGTCAACATTTCCAATATGGTGACCACCATGGATGGGCTTCCAAACAGCCCTTCAGAAACCAATGGTTGTCGTCCATGTTTATAAACAGTCTTCTATGGTTCCTCTGTATACACACAAATTATATTTAGACATTGACGCAATTTGGGTTGAGCTCAGTCTATTAAATGCATTCTTTTTTTCTTGTTTACTGTGACGACTGTCGTCTATTAAACCAGTGGTTGTTTATTTCATACAATGCCGACATATCAGAAATAAATGTGTCTGTTCTGAGAAAGTTGTTAGACGGGTCTTTAATCATGTATCCTTTTTCAGGTACTGACTTCATGGTGAGACTCCAGGACCAGCTCAAATATTTTGTTCACAACAAGGGCTCCACCGACAAACTGTGGCAGAACGTCAAAGTCTACCTGTCGGGTCATGAGGTAGGCTCACTGTGAAGAAGAAAGAATCGTCTGCGGCTTCAGCGGCTGCATGTCGGCACCAGTGTCCACGAGAGTGTGATTCTGTGTGTCAGCCTGAGTTGTTGGTTTTGTCCTGAGTCAATGTTTGTCTTCCTCACAGACTCCAGGAGAAGGAGAACATAAGATCATGGAGTTTATTCGCTCTGAGAATACCAAGCCGGGTCACAACCCCAACACCCGACACTGCCTGTACGGGCTGGATGCTGACCTGGTACGGTTTCTGTTCCGTGGACTCATACAGAGATTTACGTTAATGCCCTAACTGCTCTTTGAATCTCACCCCCTCTTGCCCTCTGTGTTGTAGATAATGTTGGGTTTAACCAGCCACGAGCCAAACTTCTCCCTGCTCAGAGAGGAGGTACGCTTCGGGGGAAAGAAAAACCAAAAAAGGTCGGTTTCCAAACTCTTTGTAAGGGGTTGTGTTCTTTTGTTTTGTCTTTAGTCGTTCACGTCTATCTGCTTTGTCTCTGTAGTGAACGCTGCTCTTTTCTTTTTTTTCCAGGATAACGGCTCCAGAGGAAACAACTTTCCACCTTCTTCACTTGTCTTTGATGAGGGAGTACATCGACTACGAGTTCTCTGGGCTCAGGGTGAGACAAACACACCAACAAACTTGTGAATGAAAAGGGCCATTTATACAAAAATGGAAACCAATGGAAACAAGGAAAGAATTGTCCATGCCAGGGGAAGTTTTGTGTGTATTTCAGTGAAATAAGCAACACCTCACCTTAACTGATTTTGTTCACGGCTGTTTTTAGAATCACCTCGGCAGTGATTATGACTTGGAGCGAATAATAGACGACTGGATTCTCATGGGCTTCCTGGTGGGGAATGATTTCATCCCTCACCTCCCTCATCTTCACATCAGTCATGACGCTCTGCCTCTGCTGTACAAGACCTACATCAGTGTCCTGCCCAGCCTGGGGGGTGAGAGCACACAAACGCTTAACCTCACACTTATATTCATTAAAGTTGACATATATGTGTTTACAAACTGCTGAGTCTGACGATTGTGATACACAAATATTCTTCTATTGAGTTTTCATATCTGTAAGAAACTGAACTGAACCCTCTTTTCTAACTTAGGTTACCTGAATGAGAACGGACATCTCAACCTCAGAAACTTTGAGAAATACCTGGAGAAGCTCGCTGAGGTGAGAAGAGGTCCTGATGTATAGAATCAGTGATGTTCAATAGTATCAGACACTTGATAAATGTGGCTGCGACATGACTCATTACTCAGGGGGAGATGGACCGAGATGTACATCTTAGTTTGCGAGCTTGATGCTAACACAAAATGGAAATTGCCGATGTTTTTTCAAAATCAATCGTTTTTGAACTGATGATGGTAAAAGAGAATAAAGACTAGTGTGCACACATCCAAGCACATTTTCATAAAGGTGCAGGACAATCCGAGTATAAACCGCAGGAAAAATAGAGAGGTCCGCACACTGTTCAGCTCCCAATGAGGAACTTTATTTTAAACAGGACAACATTTGGCTCTTCTTCAGGCAAATGTGGAAGGAGACAAGCAGCAAGTTTGGCTATCAGCAAAACAATCATTATCACCAGAGAGAACAGGATCAATGAATATAACAGCCACAAGAGGGCGACATACTGTAAATCCCAGGAAGCAGAAAAAACAGTCAAAATACACAATTGTAAAAAACAAAATACACAATTTCAAAGCTTTTAGATAATTAGCCATGTAGCAAAAGTGATTTATTTACTGAACAAAGAGATGTTCTCCCAGTGACAGACAGACTATCTAATAGAAAGAATATAGCTATTTGATTATGAGGCTACTAAAAATTTACAATATTTGACAAAAAGCTGAACAGTATGGACCTTATTCTTTTTTCTGCAGTTTTAGCTTTAGATGCTACCATAGGTAACAGCTTGTCTACAGTCTGTAACACCTGGCCTGTCATTGGTCAAGAGTCGTTGGTCTCTGCTCAAATGATGATCAAATCAAGGGGTCGTGTCATGACACCTGTCAATCATTAATACTATGAAAGTGAGTGAGAGAGAAAGCCACAGTGTTTGGGCTGTAAACATGTAGATGTGTGTTTTTCTTCTGTCCGTCAGATTCGATTGGTACTTTAAGTTCAACCGAAAGTTAATGTTATTTGAAGAATAATACTCTCATCTTCATTGGATAAAAAAGGAGGGAGCAGCCGTGCTTGCCCATTTATTTCATATAATGTTACAAAAAAATCAGTACAGTTTGTAAGTAGTTCAGTCTGTGCTGAGGAAGTGTGTCACTTAACCTTTGACTTCTAAAACTGCTCCTTCTCTTCTCCAGTTCGACAGGGAACATTTCAGTGAAGTGTTCGTGGACTTGAAGTGGTTTGAGAGTAAAGTGGGTAACAAGTATCTGAACGAGGCCGCCGGATTGGCTGCAGAACAGGAAGCTGCCAGCAGAGACTCCAAGAAGGAGGTCAGCTGTCGGGTCAACATATTAACAAACACACACACATATAAGTGATCTTGTAGTAACAGACTCCTGAAATCAGTAACTAAACAATTTTTATGTGTTTGTAGGATTCAGGGCTTAGTCTGTCAGATATGATCACGTCAGAAAAAGTTCCTGCAGCGGGGAAAGGATCAGCAGGAGAGGACGAGGAAGAGGAGGACGACATGTTTGAGACGGAGTTCAGACAGTACAAGCGCACCTACTACATGACCAAGATCGGCGTGGATGTTGTGTCTGAGTGAGTGTTGAGACACACACACACACGAAATGATAAAAATATGTGGACTTTGAAGCTGAGCCAATTATTTTTACAGCCAAACAGAATTAAATTAAATGATTCTAAACAGTAGAAATGCTTCTGAATAGTTAGTCACATTTTTTAAACTTTTTACTCTCTCTCAAAGGGTGAGAGAAGTCATTAATGAGAAAACAACATTATGCGTCACTTAACATCCAATTGTAATTCACAATCACAGTCCTAATCTGAGTTTTTGATTTCTCATTTTCAGTGACTTTCTAGCCGCGCAGGCCAAGTGCTACGTGGAAGGTATCCAGTGGATCCTTCACTACTATTACCACGGGGTGCAGTCCTGGAGCTGGTGAGAACTTCTTTTCAAAATTCACTTTCTTTTGCTTCTCGTCCACTCTTTAATGATAGATCCTACGTGTAGAACAGTTGTTACATCACAATACCAGATTTGAAACTTGTATAGCTCAAAATATTTCAATGTTTTGATGAGGTCAAAAAAGCTCCAGCAACACACATCGCTCAGGATCAGGATGACCCTGATGAAGACCACCAGCTGAAACACATCGATCAAATAAAGATGATCTTCATATTAAGAGTGCTGCAGGAGCTTTTTTTTTTAAGCCTTTCACTCTCCATGCACCTTGGTAGTTGGTGAAGTTGTGCCAGAAAACCAGACTCTTCATCTTAATTAAATACCTGTTTTAATCTGACAGCAACAAAGAAAGAAGTCACCCTATTATAGGATTTGTTTGTTGTTTTTGATTACAAAAAGGCAGTAAAACTCTCCAACACTATCTTTTTTTCTTTAATTTTTTAACCAGGAAAGAAACTCATTGATATTAAAAAAAAAAAAATTTTAAGAGCGTCCTGGCCGAGACAGGCGGCAGCAAAATGTACAGAGTTTAACACAAACAACGAGCAGCCAAACATACAACAACAGAATATACCTTAGTAGACATTTAAAGACACAAGTAACACATTTAAACAGCAAATGTTTGTCAGGATCATCCACCAACACGTCTACATCTCCAGCCAGATGTGTCGAAACTGCATTAATACATGTCAAGTCAAGTTTGTTTGTACTGCACCTTTAAGACAGCCTCAGCCGACTAAAATGCTTTAAAGCAGATAAAAACATTTAAACATTTAAACACATTAGCAACATTTCGGTCATGATCCATTTGACCCTAACCCTTTCCTTTTTTACCAACGTTCATGAACATAATGGAGATTGTATTATTTTTAAAACATGTGGTATCAAAAATGATCACACATTCTGACAACCTTGGTGTGTAGTAAGTTTTATTGATTGGCTAAATTTGTTTTACAAGGAGACAGTTTTTACATTTTTCTGGATTTTATTTTTGTTGTCTCTCTTCACTCTTTGAATCACATGTGTATGTTTTGTTTTTTTCTCTCTCCAGGTACTACCCCTACCACTATGCTCCCTTCCTGTCTGACATCAGGAATATATCGGAGTTAAAGTTGACCTTTGACCTGGGGAAACCCTTCATGCCTTTCCAGCAGCTGTTGGCGGTCCTTCCTGCTGCGAGCATGGAGCTGCTGCCTCAGGCTTACAGGGTAACACACTCATATTGATACATAATATATACTGGACGTATGGGTAGTGTCTGCATGTGGTGTGTCTACTTTTAAAATTAGTAAATCAGAAAAGATGACGGGTGTTATAAGATCCAAACATGATAAAGATGCTAACTTATTGTTTTCGGTGTTGCAGCACCTCATGACCAGTGAAAGTTCCCCCATCATCGAGTATTACCCTGTCGACTTCAAAACAGACCTCAATGGAAAGCAGCAGGAGTGGGAGGCTGTGGTTCTCATCCCCTTCATAGATGAGGTGCACACACAGAAACAGACCGCCGCTAACATAATGCAACACCTGCATTAAATATGCATTCTCATCAACAGTGTTTCATGTTGTGTTTTCACTGAACAGCGGTGCTTACTAGCAGCCATGGAGCTCTGTAACCACCAGCTGACCAATCAGGAGAGGGCCAGGAACTGTCACACAGAGTGTGCAGTCTACTTCTATGACCAGGAGACAGACTTTACATATTCCTCCAGCGTGCCTCATCTGTTCCCCGACATCGTGCACTGCCATGTCAGGTACACACACACACACACACACACACACACACACACACACACACACACACACACACACACACACACACACACACACACACACACACACACACACACACACACACACACAGCCCTGATAGCTTATAGTCTTTACTGAGTGTGAGCTCTAATGTCAACATTTCAGTCTTCTTCACCTCACACGATGCACAAGATTAAATGGTGAAAGTAATATTTAAGTGTTTTTATGCAGTTATGAAATAGAATGACTACCTAACCACAATCAAAATAAAAACAGATTTTTCCTGCATATAATTGAAGTTTTTTTCAGGCGGTGCAGCGTTGGGATTAAAACGTGTAAATGTTGATTCTCTCACACAATCATGTAAAGAATACTCACCGTCATCGGGTCCATGCAGCTGGATTCTTACTGAACGTTAACTGTCTTTTCTTTCGTCTGTTACAGGAAAGAAGACATCCCTATGGACGCCTGGCACGTACCTCTGAGCCACCGCAGCAGAGCCGTCGACCGCTCGGCTCTGTACTTCTGTGGTTTCCCAACTCTGCAGCACATCAAACACAAGGTCAGTCTGTGTGTGTGCGTGTGTGTGTGTGTGTGTGTGTGTGTGTGTGTGTGTGTGTGTGTGTGTGTGTGTGTGTGTGTGTGTGTGTGTGTGTGTGTGTGTGTGTGTGTGTGTGTGTGTGTGTGTGTGTGTGCGTGTGTGTACAACACAACAACAAGTCAAGCACAATGTTTTTTTATTTTTAGGATTAGTGTCCGATGAACTTAAACCTTTCTAAATGAAACCTCACTGCAGAAGGAAACATTATCTACATTTCAGTTTGTGCTTATTGATTGTTTGAAGCTTAAAAGTTAGAATTGCTTAGAAACAATAAGTATGGAAACATGAATGAAAGTAGATTTTGTGTTTTACAGTAGTCTCTCTCTCTCTCTCTCTCCCCCCCTCTCTCTCTCTCTCTCACTCTCTCTCTCCTTGGTTTTCTCTCTGGGCTCACTCACTTTAGTTCTACAAAAAGAAGAGTGGGGTGGTCGTGTTTCAGCAGAGCAGCAGAGGGGAGAACATGATGCTGGAGATCCTCCACAGCAAGGACGACGCTGATCCTGTGAGCATCTCTCTCTTTTTTACTGCTCTCACTAAATCAACACACTGCATACTGTACTTACTGACATACAGTAGTTCTTAATATAACTGATGTATGATATTCCCCGTATTATTGTCTCCTACAGCTCGTGTCTTGTACCCACATCGTCAGCTTCACTGTCTGTGTTTTCTCTCTCACTCTGCCCCCCTCAGGTATGCGATGATGTTGCGGCGCAGGTCCTGGGGAAACCCGTGTTTGTCAACTGGCCGCATCTAGAGGAAGCTCGCATCGTTGCCGTGTCAGATGGAGAGGTCAAGTAAGTTTGTTTGTTTTATTTTTCTAAATAGTGGATACAAACACGATATTTAATATGATGTTAGTGATGTTTCTTGAACAGTAGACTTATTGTGTCCTAAGTGTTCTATTTATGATTATTCAATACTATGATTGCCTTTAACCTGTAGTACAAAAACAGCTAAGTAGAAACGAGGCACAGCGGATCAGATACAAGATTTTACTTTGATAGTCAGAAGCTCACAAAGGGGCTTCCAGACGAGAGAGCATGAGACGAGACGCTCAGACTGCAGACATACACTCTTGACAGATTGCACAGTTAAAGTAAAAAAAAAAAAAAAAAGACAGATTCAAATAGTCCAGGAAATGTTCGACTCTGAAAGGGACATGTGTTTTAATGGCTACAGGTCTGTAACAGGCTGCTTTCACAGTCAACTATGAAGATGCTTTAAATGATCTTTGTATCTCTACCACTGGGGGGCTCCAAAATCTACACTGAGGAAACATCAGATGGGGAAACCTCCCTGTCAACAAATCTAGCAGACCTGTTTTTTATATTTTTGCTAGCACAGAGATTATTGTTTTTATTGGTGCGTCAGTCTGCTGCTACAGGTGAAGTCTTTCTCCCTCTTTGGCAGGTTTTGTCTGGATGAACCGCCAGGTGTCCAAAGAGTGTATGACAGACCGTCCACACCTCCTCCCACCAGAGTCACCTATCTGTCTGACAAGGAGCAGAAGGACTGGGTGAAGGATGTCCAAGGACTCACGGAACAGTAAGAGACAAAGAGCAACCATACAAAGATAGAGCATTAAGTTATAATGCAGCTTTTATATTCATGTTTACATATTTTAAGAATATGGTGAAGCTGTTCTCATGTCTGAGTCATTGTATCATTGTAACTTTCTGTTAGTTGTGTTTAAAATCCTCAGACCCTTTTACCACATTATAGGATAACGATGGGGATTATTGCTCATGTTCATGGAGGAGCGTTTCTTTCTTGCAGTTTCTTGAAGAGGAAAGGCATCACGGTGAACGAGACGGCCGTTGTTTTGTACGGCCAGCTGCTGACAGGAAGGAAATACGTCCCGAAAGCCAGCGGGGTGGTGGAGCTGGAGAAACAGTGGGCCAAGCAGGTCCTCCCTTTCGCCTTCCAGACCATCGTTAAGGTGCACACACACACACACACACACACACACACACACACACACACACACACACACACACACACACACACACACACACACACACACACACACACACACACACACACACACCAGATAGAAATACACTGATAGAAATCACACAGGAACCTCTGATGAGTGAGGCTCCATGAACGCATTAGTTGTAAAAACACTTTGCTATTGTTGAGGAAAGACTGCTGTAATTGTTAAAGTCCTGTTGATCCATACAAGTTTTACATACACAGGCCCTGTGTCCACCTAGCGTTTTTTTTCGGGCAGAAAAGGTCTGTCCTGTCACTATGACAACAGTCTGTTGACAACGCTCTCTCCTCATTGTAAACTAAAAAGACGCTGGCGCTCAGAATAAAAACTGCGAGGTGGACACGGGGCCTAACAGACTTCATTGCTGAAGGTTAATGCTAAAGCGATGGTGTTTTTCCAGCAGGGTAACGAGGCTGCACAAAGAGCTGCCTGAGCTGAGGACAAGCTCTTCCTTCACTTCAATCTTTGAAATAAACTTTTCCAAAGGCAACAAATTGTGTTTGTAGATTATATGGACAGGTTTAGTAATAGTTTTAACTCCTGGCTGTGACAGTTAAGGATGTTCATTTGAAGAGTAACATTGGTTTAAAATCACTAATGCAGGTACACATTAATGTCCTGTAGAGTAGGGCTTTACTTTACATTTGTTATTATTTTTGATTCATTTGTTTCTCTATTAAATGACGAGTTGTTTGGTCTTTAATGTTTGAAAAAGGTGCATTGATCAAACATGGATTTCAAATTGTTGATCAATGTCTCTAAAAGCCGAAGTGGATGTCCTCACATGTCACAAAGATAACCCGTTCAGTGTCAAAGAGAGGAAAGAAGAAGAGAGTTTTCACAACTAAGAAGCTGAAATCCAATAAATTTAGTTTTTTTATTCTAAGAAAATGATCTCATCTCGTCTCACCTTTTTGACCAACTCGTTTAATGATGTGGTTTTGTATTTTCTTCTCAGGACATCCAGGCCTTCTACTCGTCACTGACCTGCTTTAAGAGCTTGGACGAGCTCTTTCCTCCTTCCACCGCCGTCTTCATGGTGGGAAACCCTTACTACGGCGCCATGGGCGAGGTACGTGATCACTTGGCTGTCTCTGGTCAAGAAGTCATTGGAGAAATACTGGATCATCACAAACTGCTGCTCTTCTTTTTTCTAAAAGAAAATTCAATCTGTATTAAAATATGAAACACTCGTATGTTGAAATCTGCCCTCCGTAACAACTCTTTTTATAACCCAATCAGGTGCAAGACTCCAGTGATGTCATCAAAGACGGTCGGGTGCGAGTTGTCTTCAATGTTCCTCATGAACCACAGCTGGAGACTCTGATCCAAAACCAGCACGTAAGAGATGCACAAGTGTGAAACGTTGACTTAGAAATCTTCCGTAAAAGATTTACAATGTGTGCTCACGTGTGACGCCTGTTTGTGTTTCTGTAGAAATACTGTGTGAAGTACAGCCCGGGATACGTTCTGGCGTCTCGCCTCGGCATCACCAGCTACCTCGTCTCCCGCTTTTCAGGAAGTATCTTCATTGGCCGAGGCTCCAAGAAGAAGTTAGTGCTCAATACACCTTTTAGAAACTGCTGTTTGTTGTCTGTCTCCACCTAGCGTTTTCCTCTGAGTGCAAGCTTCCTTTTTACAATTGTTCCATATTAAGCGAGAGCGTTTGCAGCAGCAGGCCTGTAGAAAAAGAGCAGCGTCCAACGTCTTTTTTTCCAAACTCCAGTTTTTTGTGCAGCTGCTCCGAGCGCTTTGAGTGGAAAATCTTTTCAAACAGCCAATCATAAAGTAGATCAATCGGGTCCTTGCTCCGTGTCTGATCATCATTATCAAGCTCATCAACCAGACAAAACAGGAGGGCAAGCATCCTTCGTTTTAATGCTCATAGTGAAGGAAATAAATTGATCTCAAACATGATGCATACAGTTAAAGCAAAGGTGCAGTGTCTGTCATACAGCAGCTATTATAAACAGTCTGTTGTCATAGAGACAAGATGCACGTGCAACGCTTCATCCAAGTGCACAGCCAGTGCTTTACTGCTTCAAAAAAACCCTGTCAGGTGGACACAGGGCCTTACATATAGTGTCTATTGGGATAGTAGTGGGAGTAATATTTGTGTTTGGTATTAAAAACATTCTTCCTCTCTGTCTGCAGTCCCTGTGGGGAGCAGAAAGCCAACGTTGGCCTGAACCTGAAGTTCAACAAGAAGAACGAGGAGGTTCCCGGGTACACGAAGAGAACTGAGAAGGAGTGGCTCTACTCTGCTGCTGTGGAGGACCTGCTGGCTGAATACCTGGACAGGTGTGTGAGAACACTGGCACTGCACATTGTTTCCTCGTCCTACATCAGATCATTCAAACTAATCTTTCTCTTTTTCATGCTTTTTATTTGTTCAGATTTTCTGAGGTTTTCAACCTCGTATCCAGAAACAGTCACGATGATGTTTTCTATGAAGACGACATCTGGCCTGGATTGGAGCAGAACGGGTAACTAAACATCACTGGTTGCATTTCATCTTCCTGTAGCTTTCTCTATCACATTTCAGCTCTCAGTGTGGAGTTGATGGTTTCTTTTCAATGAACTCTGGTATTGATGTGTTCCACACAGGGCAGAGAGGGTTGCTGAAATCGTGGCGTGGTTGAAAAGTCACCCGGTAAGCTCTGTCAGCAGGGCGTCCTGCGACCTGCAGGTACTGGACTCAGCCATCGTGGAGAAGATTGAGGAGGCCGTGGAGAAAATGAAGGTAACACACAGCCCTGCCCACATCCAGTTTGAAACATCAGACCTCATGTCTGTCAGTGATCTGACTCAGGTCTCACTTTGTCCTCCTCTCAGGTGAAGAAGAGCACCAAGAAAGTCCGTGTGACGGTCAAGCCTCATCTCCTCTTCAGGGTGAGAACTGTTTGCCGTTTTGGGATTGTTTTCACAGTGCTATAGATCAATCTTCTCTCTGAAATGATTGGCTTCTTCTACTAAAAAAACCTGTGTGTGAATGTTTGTGTGCAGCCCTTGGAGCAGCAGCAGGGCGTGGTGCCAGACCCCGATGCAGATTACCGTATGTTTGACCGAGTCGTCAACATCAGGGAGAGCTTCAGCGTCCCACTTGGACTCAGAGGGACGGTCGTCGGCATTAAAGGAGGTGAGGAGGACACACTGGTCTTTTTGAGATGGAGCTCTTTTCTTCAGCAGAACATGCAGCTGCATCATGTAAAGGTGACATATCATACTAACACTTAGTGTTCTGTTTTCAGCGGAGCGTGAAGCTGAGGTTCTCTATGAAGTGCTTTTTGATGAAGAATTTGCTGGAGGCCTTAACCTCAGGTAATCAAATGTTTTAAATGTGCTTTGTGAAAGATAGTCCGTAGCTTTTTACCCAAAAAAAAAAAAATAGATTTATACAAAAGTAATAGACCTCAGTCAACACTTTTACACATTCATACATGTGTGGTGGTGACTGTGTCTGCAGAGGCCCCGTCCTCTGCCAGTGTTTTTATGTTTTGGTTTGTTTCGGTCGACACAAGGCGTTTCTGGGCGGTGAGCTGGTCGATTGGAACGTGATTCAATCCACCTAAAATGATAGATGTGGACGTAGAGACAAAAAAGAGAGAATATAATCATAGCGAGGTGAAACACCAAATGGAAGGTGAACCTTGCGTTGGCTTGAGTTGCAGCTGTCCTGCTTTCTGTTGGACAGGCAGGTGCTAAACATTGATGGTTAGCTTGTGCTAGCGTGCGGTAGCTTGCAGTGTAGCTACAAGCAGTAAACAAACAGAACGTCCTGCAGTGAGTGTAACGATGAGCCCAGGAGGAGGGGTCCAGTTTGGATGGTGTGTTTACAAGCTGCAGCGAACAATGCTACCGAGAAGCTGTGACGGATTATTTTTCTTTAAGAGCATTTATAATGGAAGAAAAAATAGAAAAAAAAGACAGCAGCTCAGTATTGCTCATTTCACTGGTTGATTAAAACCAGTCAACTCCCCTCAGAGTGATGTCTGACAAGTAATGTGACCGCTGTGCTGCTCGCATGTGTCCTCAGGTGTACGTCACCACGTGGTTACCGCCTCCCTCCCTGTGCACTCATCAACCTTTCCCACGGAGCCCGAGGGGATCTCACCTCCCAAAAACTCACCGCCATCGTCAAACCTCAGCCCTCTGCAGCCGCAAACTTCAACTCACAGCGCCAGCTGGGCGGTTTGAACCACTCTCCTCGTTCACCCTTCATCCCGACACAGGTGAGTTATGTTGTTAGTGGTTTTTTTTAACCTTTTCATAACTATAACAGCCAGACTTCAATTATAAATAAAGGTGTGGAAAAAGTTGTGGGCTTGCAGCTGAAGTCTTTTAAACACTCAGGGCGATCTATAACTGCAGCTGACCAATCAGAGACATTCAGCACTGCAGGTGCTGCATGACCTGCCCCCCAAGGTCCCTGAACCTTAAGAAACTAGTACCCCCCTAGCAGGGTCTTCATTAGGACTAGCTCTTTAACCCCAGAACTACATTTAGACCGGGTTCCTGCCGTTAAAATTCACATCACACAAAACATCCTTAGTTTGGAAACTTTCTGCTGTTAAAAATGGGTTAATGAACACACTGTTTTCCTCTTCTTCTTTAACACCACCTCTTCTTATTTCTCTCCTCCCTATTTCATAGCATAACAACAAACAGGGCGTGGGGAAGGCAGCTGTCCATGGCAACAGGAACTCTCCCCCTAAAGGTTTCCCCCAGAAACAGGGAAAGGTAAGATCAGGATCCTGACTCTTTTCACATCAGTAAGCCCCTGAACTACGTGACATTAACTGAACCTTCTCCATCCAGAGTAAAGAGGAGTACAGTAACGTGTGGCAGTCTCTGCAGAGCTCTGGTCCTCCTCAAAAACCTCCAGCCCACTGGCAAAATAATGTAAGTCGTTTTTTCCTTTTCATTGATGAGTTAATTTTTCCCACGTTGGTTTTCAGATGGGTTGTGGGTCAGGGGTCTGTTTCAACAAATGTTTGGATTTTCAACCCAAGTCTTGCTTCATGTAATCCTTTTGTCTTGTAAGACAAAGGATTTCCTTTCCTTTAGCCTTACCAACTTAACCTGTTGATGTTTGTTACCTGGTGATTCAGACCCATTTCTAAGACCATCCATTGTAACTTTTTATCCTTACACAGACAGGTGAAACAGAAGAGATGACAGAGTATCACTTAAAGTTCAAATAAGACAAACTGCCACAGGAAAGCCTTGTTAACTCTGTTCATTCCTGTCAATACAAATCATAAAATGGACCTCGGGTATGGTTTTAAGTGTCTGAGATTTAAAATGTGTAAAAGTCAAACACAAAAATCTTCCATGTCGACACCACAGGCGTTAGTGTCAGCGACATTTTGGAAGCTTTTATAAAATAGAACCAGTAGTTTTAATGTTGAGCTATACAAAGAAAGCCTGAGTTTGTAAGTAATGGGATGTGTGAGATATGAATGTGTAAAGCATAATAAAGCAAAAAACACCCCCGTGTTTCAAACTTTAGGACGGACAAAGCCACCAGGTGATTCACCATCAGACAAACAAAGCTGTAAGCACGAGTACCTGCATGTGTGAATACAGTGCATTATGTTGTAGTGGAAATAGAAAGCAGACCTGTTGCTTTGTTGGATACGTCTGCTATCTATTATGTTTATAAATGTGTGTGAATCTGTGGCTGCACTAACCTTTGTTTGTTTGTGTGTTCAGGCCCCAGTAGGTGGCATCCGACTGTTAAAGAAAGACGAAGACATCAACTCCCTTTTTCCCTCAAATAACACATCCAACAAGGTACACACACACACACACACACACATACACACACACACACACACGCCTGGTCATGACCTCGTTTGGGAGTTTTGGACCACAGTGTTTGTATTAACAGATGTCTCCACACTTCCTCTCGTCTGTCCCCTCTCATATTTCTCTCACTTAGACGACGACAGAGTTCGAGGACCTGATAGCCAACCTGAAGATCTCCGCTGGTAACCAGCAGACTGCACCCGCTCCAGCTCCTCCTCAACCACAGACCAGCCAATCAGATGGCCCGTTGTCTCCACAGTCCTTCGCCATGGTGAGTCAAAGATTGGTTCTTCTTGTAATGTGCAGGTAGAGTACCGTGAATGCAAAGATGAAAAATAGCTTCTGTTGATTAACAAAAACAAACAAACAGTCTGAAATAACAACATTACTGTATATATTATTCCAACACAAAAAAAACACTGCTGCTCTACCCAGATAAAACACACTTTGAAGGACATTTAGTGTGCAGACTTTTCTATCTCTCTTATATTATTCCTACAGCCTGTATTGATAACCGTAAAGACTTGTTTATTAGACACACTTTTAATACCTATCCTTTCATCTGAAACGTTCCTACACAACATTATGCTGACAAACATGACGACTTCACCGAGAGATCAGCCGCCACCATCACACATTGCACATGACCTGAAATGTTTCACCTCCCTTCACTGTTGCTTGTAAACTGTGGCTGTTCTGGAAATTTGTGTTTAGTCCAAGGCAGAGCCAACAGTTGTCTTTCTGATAGTTTAATTCAATGCTTTTTCAAACGGACCGCCGCTCTCTCCAGCATGAGATAGCAAAAAGGAGGAGGCCCAGAGTGAAGGACTCAGAATAAATACAGAGCATTATCTTGATCTAGTGACACTTTGTTTCCTGATAGGACAAAGGCAACAACAAAAGGAGAAAAAAAATGGTATTTAAAAAAAAAAAAAAGCTACAGAGCTGCACAGATGTCACTTTGAAGTCTTTGTTGAGGGCGTGAAATCATTACGCAGGAAGACAGTTTAAACCTTTTTTTCTCTCTGAGAGATCCAGAAACAGATCAGCGTCTTATGTACCGCTGCGACTTATATTCCAGGTTTAACGTTGGTTTCCATACCTGAAATGTATGTAAATATTTCTGAAAACATTATGGAGGAACACTTCTGACACCTGTAATGTTGTCCCTTGCTTTCATATTCTGCTCACATCTGTTACTAAAGATTATTGAACTCATGACCGGCACCACATCAAGTCAACATTTTTAATCATAGCAGATGATTAAGTCATTATGGCACAAATGTGCTGGTTAAACATGAGTGATGGAGAACATGATGAAGGCATCATGCTGGCCATGTTTTCTCCTCCTCCTCTTTCCTTAGTTTTATATTTACTCTCACATACATTATTAAGCAGCAATGGACTCCTCTTAGTTACTTGAAATCTTCAAGAACATGGACAATTGAACAAACATATTTCTATCCAGTCATTCTGTTACACGAATTGAATGTGTATGTGTGTGTGTCATGTGTCATGGTGTTGCAGAAGGGAACTCTGGTACTGAAGGAGATGCTGAAGATCGACGGCACAGGAACAGGAAGTCCTAATGCCCAGGAGACGTCTAACTCCTCCACCGGGTATCAGCAGAACAGGAGAAGATCATCCAAGAAACTAGGTACAAACCTGATCTTTTCACTGCCGTCTGTCTGGATACAACTTCAGCCGTGTTGTCTCGCTAATCTTTTCTCATGTTCTCTCCCTCCAGCTGCGAATATGAACAACCCACATGGTGATGCAACGGCTGCTCCTCCTCCTCCTGCTGCTGCTGCTGCTGCTAACCTCTCCAACGCCATGCTGACCAGTAAGGTGTCAGAGCTGGCGTATGTGTGTGTCGGGTTAGGAATGGCCCCACCTGACTTCAGCTTCATAGGAAACAGACAGGTAACACAGTGCAATGCATGTTCACACACACACATTCAATAATGTATTTCTACATGTTTAGATCTGATGTCATCTGTCTTATTTCATGCCTTCCTGTAAGAAACTGAGCTACAGTCAGTGTTTCCTTAACACCTGTGTAACACATCAGAGCTCCACTGACATTGCCCTCTGTCTCCACAGAATCTGGTCGTGTGTCAGGTGAAGCTGTCCAACGGGCTGATGGTCCACGGCCCACAGTGCCAATCAGAGAATGATGCCAAGGAGAAAGCGGCCTTCTTTGCCCTCCAAAGACTGGTACAAAATACACACGTATTTTTTTATTGTGAGAATCTACAGTATGTGTGAACTGTCTTAATGGTTAGCAGGTGGTTGAAGCTAACTAACAGCCTGTCCTAATTGAGCGACTCCACGACGCTCCGTTTCTATTTTCCTCGCTGTTGTTGCATAGACAGATGAAGAGTGGGTGGCTCTACACAACACTGACACTCGCTTTTCTCACTCAACAGAGCTTGTTAGCTTGTTTTACAAAGTGGAGATAACGGTCCTTAAATAGTATTCACATGATTTAAATGTTTAGCTTTGACTTGTGTCACCAACACCGGAGCCGTTTATTGACGCGCCTCTGTGTTGTGGTTTGAGTTAACACCTCCTCAATACAAAGCACCACACATCAGTTTTGCCACCAACAATACAAAAGCTCTGGATGTCGTATTGTTTGCAAGGGGGAAACTGAATATTAAACGGATGCAGTTTGGACAGCAAGCGTGCGATCATGCTCGTTGGATTGGATATCTAACGCGTGCATGCTGTTAGGACTTGAGATATACCTATTTTAACTACGTGGACGTGTGCTACGATGGCTGCTGCGCATTCCCATTCCACGCTGGCTGTTCACTTCCTTAAAAACGAAACGCTATGCAAACACAAGATTTAATATTTAAATGAATATCAGAGGTTGTGTAGAGGCAGAATGGATGTGATGGGGTCAACACAGCAGCAGGGACACGTTTTTAAGACAAGCTGATCGACCAAGTCCACAATAATCTACATCTGTACAACATGTCATTACCACTGCACAGCGACAGACATGACCGCCAAACTAGTTGGCGACGGATAAGATCCGCTTTAGAAGTTTACGGGAAGAACTGCAAAACTAAGTGGAAGCAAGTCAGGGAGGAAACGAGTTAGAGAAATGCACTTCTCATAGCCATCAGTCCACCTGTCATCAGTTGTTTTAGCCCACTGCAGAGTTACCATAACAGTAATCTCCTCGAGCGTTGCTGTGTCGTTATATCCTGCACTTTCTTGTGTCCCTCTAGAGGTAGCCCCCGGTATCACTTAGGATCATTTATATCAGCCAGCCAAATATCAATAAAAAAATAATATAACCCCTTAACATTTAGATAAATATTAACTTTACAAATGATCTCTGTTCAGAATAGAAACACATCTCAACAGTTCAGCTGGTTAAAACAAAATCTGCATCATTTTTGTGTTTCTGTAAATCAGCAGGTTAACACATCTCTCTGCACTCTGTATCAGACGGTAAAGAGGCAAATGTCATATGATTCTCATTCTGTGTCTCTCCTCTTGCTTGTAGAACTCAGTGGGATCGGGCTTCCCCCTCCCGCCTCCTATATTCCCAGGAGTGGGTCAGATACGACCCCCACCCATCGGAGCCATGCCCCCCGTTTTCAACCAACAAGGTCAGTCTATCCTTCCTAAAGCTTAAGTTGAGAGTCATGTTGGTATTCCAAAGTGTCACTGTGTTAATTAAGCGTTAATTGAGCATTAACACACGAGAGGGGTTGATGTTGTTCTGAAGATCAGCTCTGCTGTTATTTCCCTTTGTGACATCACAAAGGGCAGTAACCCCTCCCCCTCAAAGCTAGGTGTTTTGCTGCATTCATGTGGTGTCGGACAAATCGGAAAAACGAGTTTCCGAGTTGTAAAATGCACATGAACACCTGCTCAGGTCGGAAACTTGGAAAGAATGAGGTGCCGACTTCCCGACTTGAGGGGCAAAATAAGTTGTTTACTTTTAATTAATTTAGATATTGCATATCAACTTTTTGCTCAAATATAACTTTTAACAGTAACATTTCACTGATCTTCTTCGTACCATCAACGCTTTTTGTGCTATTGTTACAACATTCCAACTCTCCGAACTGAAATCACGCGAACACACTGAAGTCGGAAGAACGACTTCCCAACTCGGAAACTTGGACCACCCGAGCAGCAGCTGAATGCAGTATTAGTTCTGCCCTCTGAGTCTGCCTGCTCACCTAAAATAATAGGTCATGGAGCGAGAAAGCCTGAGCCACCCAAGCCCTTCCAGTGAGGGGGCGTGGTCAGACACAGATCATTTACATTTAAAGGTACAGGCACAGAAACGGCCTGTTCTGAGCAGGGTTCAAATTGAGGGGTTTATAGACATGATCAAATACAGGATCAGAGTGGATTTAGAACAAGAAACTTCACACACATGTTTTGATGGACTCTGATACTTATTTCAACCGGTTGAAAAGGAGGAGAATATGTGACCTTTAATTTTCAAAGTTTAGTCTTTAATGTGCTCTTATCTCACTCTTCCTCCTCACTCCTTTTCTCCAGGTGGTTTGATGTTACCTCCTCAGGGTTTCGGCCCAGCCCCTATGTGGGGGATGCCGCTGCCTCCTCCCCATCACCCGAACCAGCCGTTCTACACCACAGCAGGAACCTTCCCTGGTGCGGCTCGCCCGCAGGCTCCAGCCACACTGCCCATCGGCTCCCACAACCAGTTCATACCGTTACAGGTAGATTTACACACATGAATTCAGGGGAAGGAGCTAAGTGTAGTCAGAATACTTTCCCGTATTACACTTCTTACTCAGGAGGATGAATATTGTTTCCTCTGCTGGTGGAGTGATGCTGCTGCCATGGTAACCAGCTCTCACTTGTCTTCTAATCCTGACAGGTGACGAAGAAAAGAGTCTCGGCAAACAAGAAGAACCAGGACACTCGAGAGTTTTACAGCGCCGCCCACACCGTGGCCAGAAACCAATCACAGAGATCCCAATATCAGCCCTTCGACCAATCACAGGCTCAGACTGAACCGGACAGCAGTAAAGTCGACCTGCTACTGCCACACACCGCCAACAGCGGCCCCGCCTCGTCCAGTCCCGGTCTCGCAGACTTGGCTTCCTCGACAACTACAGCAGCCCCACACACGCCCCCTCGACAAAACCCGCCATCAACAGGCCACACCCCTGGCTCCGCCTCCAAGAGGAAGCACAGAAAACTGGCAGTAAACTTTGAGGCGGCGAAAGTCTCAGAGTAACGAGCTGTTGTTTGTGTGTGTGTATGTGTGTGTGTGTGTGAGGAGAGAGAGGTGTGTTTCTTATTTTTCTTTTTTAGCTGCAAACGTCTGACTCAGCATTTCTGATCAAAACCTGCCGTGCAGAAAAAACAGCTCCAGTTTGATCTAAATCACTCTGCTGTCTGCCTCCCAACACAACGTCATGATATGACGGATTGTTGTCGTCCTTTATGCCTTACACCTGAGCTCACAGTTCTGGTTGTTGTAGTCTTACAGTCTCTTTGAGGTGTGGCCAGTGAGAGCCTGCCACATTAGGGGAGCAGGGTGCATTCTGGGATGTGCCTCTGGCTCATGTTGTCTTTGGGTTTTTTGGTCAGAAAGCTTCATTTATAGGATTGAGTCTCTTTCTTACAAACTTCATTTTAGTCTTTTTCCCTTGAATCAAAATATTCGGGCTCTATCTTTTCTTGAAAGAAAGTCCTGATTGATTAGATCATTTCCTTTAGTCGCTCTAGCTAGGTTGACAACTCACTCATCGAGAAACTAAATTTGGTGACATTGCGGGGCAGCTAATTCAAGCAGTTTGATGATTTTAAACAAAACCCTGTACTGTAATTCAGACGCCCCAGTACAGTTGAATTCTTTATTTGCCTCTTTTAGGATGTGCAGACCTTCAGTTGGACCTTAAAATGTCATCTGAGATGATCAGCTGTTTGTTTGTGATACTCCAGCTGAGACTTTAATGAGTGCACAGTTGTCATTCATTTGTGTGACAACCTTTCTCTGTTTGCCGTTGACTGCCTGAAGGACTCGGCTAAGCAAATATGTTACCATAATAATAATAATAATAATAATAATAATAATAATCTAATCTGTCAGATTTTTTGTTTATGTCTGTGGAGTAGTTAAGATGTTTTGAAATTAAACGCTACCTTAAAAAAGTGCATCATCCATCCATCCAGTATCTATCCTGCTTGTCCCGTTGGGGATCGCAGGGGGACTGGATCCGGTCTCAGCTGTCATTGGGTGAGAGGCGGGGTACGCTAGCAATCACATGGCTGACTTATGGAGTCAGACAACGAGCCACACTCGCATAAAAAGTGGATCATGATTTAAAAACCCAAGTGTGTAATCACACAGAGGTGTTGAATTGTGTTTATGTAACTCAGCGCAGACGTGAACAGAAGATGGATTCTTACATGAACCGAGAAGAAAAACAAAAATCAATTTTCTGAGCTTATAGATTTAGAAACACATGCTACACATTCACCCTCTTAAACCCCTTTAACACGCTGCTTTTTATATTTTTCAGCAGCACAGCTGGAGACTTTTCTTTGCAAGTTTTGTTTGGACATCGCAGCAGGAGACATGGCAGCTCAGACACAGAACACAGGTCGACATTGATCGTGCTCCTGCTCACAGTGCAGATAGTCCCTGACGTTCTGGAAAACCTCTTGAGGTCAGTCCTCAGGGACGCGCTGACGTCTACATACTGTAGCTTCAGATGTGCGCAGCAGCAGCAGCAGCAGCAGCAGCAGCAGCAGCAGCAGCAGCAGCAGCAGCAGCAGCAGCAGCAGCAGCAGCAGCAGCAGCAGCAGATCATTTCTGCCCCAATCCTCGTGGACCTTAAAATGTAATCTGTGCAATTTGGAGTTTGAGTGCATCTGATGCTGTGATGATCTTGTTCAGCTGCTTTAGGAGGATGGTAGTGAAATAATTATGGATATAATGTCTCAACATTCATCATGTTTGGCAGGTTTTGATCAGTGATGTGAATCAGGCTGAACTTGGTGATCTCTTGTCTTTATTTCCATCAAGTTCAACAGCCTTTGATTTTTTTTCAGACTTCCAACACCCCGCTGCATTTATTCTACTTTTTTTTAATTCTTTCTCAAACACATGGTGTAGAGCACTCCGCAGAATTACGACATGAGAATTAATTAGAGTATTCATCCTGAACAGAGAGCTGTTTGACACCAGCACATGAACCAGAGTCCAAACCTTTTTCTTATTCGCCTGTTAAATTTTATAAACTGGACTTTGTGGAGAAGTCTTTTTTTAAAGCTGTAGCGGTCTAAACCCTGGATTTATTCTTTGTATTGGACCGACAGAAACCTTCAACTTAAACTGCCAGAGCTCAAAGTCAACCTTTCTCTTTTCTAAAGATTAAAAGGCATCAGGACACAGTGGCTGATTTTACACAGGGGCAAAACAAACATTTCTCTTTCTATTTTCCAGCTTTCACTACTTAACTTTGATGATGAAAACATTCTCTACAGCGAGTACTCGAAGCTCTCACAGTTCTTCAAAGTGTTCACTGTTCACCTTTCAGTTAAACACTAACAAAAACCCAGGACATTTCTTATTCTGAGAAGATGGATTACGTCGACTGAAGTTTTAATTTCACAGTGAAACGTGCTCATGTCTTTTTAATGAAGTTTGTGAGATGCGACAAAAGAAAATAAGTGACCACGGGGGGGTTCTGCCCCATAAGGGAGGGGGGAGGGGGGAAGTTCACCTTTATGTGTTAAAGCAGCCAAAGATCATCAGACCAGTGATTATTAAAAGAGTACGGCGATATTTACTTCACGTTCCCACTAAAACAAGTTTCTCTACGATACTTTTGGGAACATTTCTCCAGGTCCTGGTTTGAGACTCTCTGAAGCTGTTTGTGTAGATTTTAAATCTTGTGCTTTATATTCCACCTTCCTACACACCTGGACTTATTTACACACACACACAAAATAAATCTCTCTTTTAAAACAAATTAATTTTCCCTTTAGAGCTATGGATTTTATGGAAATCATTTTAGAGACCGTCCTGCATCTTTTCCAAGCTGTCCGAAGACGTATTGTTTTACTAAAGTTTGTGGAGGAGGCGTCGTGACTTTGTCATAAATTTAAAGGGATACGAGCATAGAGCGTGTGTTTCTGTGCGACTGCGTTGTTTTATGGCTGACATCCTTTTTCTCTGACCCGGGAACTCGACTCTGTAAAGCTCTGGTGGTGCAATAAAGGAGGTTTTAAATCACTTTGGTAAAAGAAGCACACCTGTGATGTCTTTATTTTGTTCTCTTTTTGGAAATGTAATGAAGTAGTAACTCTGCATATGAAGACATTTTGACTTGCTGTTTTTTGATTCGGGCTTGTGCTGTACATATCCGTAATTAAAGTGAATCTTTTGTTACAATATGGTGGCTGCTTTTTGGCATCACAAACTGTCTCATCTACCATTTCACAAGGTCACACATTATGCAAAATACACTTTAACATGATCTTCAAACACTAATATGTGTCCCTAGTCTGTCTACAAACCCCCCAATCATGAGAAAAGTCCATCCTCTCTGTCTTCTGTCTGCTCCTCCTTTCAGTAAACGTGTGCTCAAACAGGCTGTTTTGAGATTTTCCTTTCATGACATCACAAAGGGCAGTAGCCCCTCCCACAGCTAGGTGTTTTGTTCACATCACCTGACAACCAAAACTCAGATATTAAGATAAACTGTGAGTTTCAGGCACTTGGAATACTATTTATATTGCTAGAAACGGCAAAGTCTGTGCCGGTGTTACGGTTAAAAGAGTTACCATGTTAACTGGTGACTGCCAGCCGAGTGAGTCTGGTTGTTGGACATTACGTGTCCTAAGTAAACGAAAGCTTTACATTTTAGTTTAATGAGTTTACAGTACAGGGTCAGCTGGGTTTTGCAAAGGGCCTTTGATATTTGAAAGAAAAAATTGAAATCTGTAAAATGAATTTGTTGCCTACTTGCATGTCAATCAGTGACGATTACTCTGGTTATGGTTGTTATCCTAATACCTAATGTACCAGTAATACTAGTCAAAATCAAACAATATACCTGTTTCTAAACCACAGCAACCAAAAACCACCTCTGGATGTGTCCCACGAAAGGGTCTACCAGTTTAAACATTTGAAACTCCTGACCGTGTGAATGTGACTGACTGGACACCTCTGCTCTCTTTCTTCAACTGGAGGCAGCTTTGTGGCTTAAAATAAGACTGAGTATTTGTAGTTGTTTTTTTTTTTTTAAACGTAGACACGTTTCCAAACTGTCCATCACTAAAATAATGGAGATTTTTTTTCTTAAAATAAAATTTAAACTTTTTGGTTTTAAAAAGATTTGAAAACTTTGACTGCCTCTGTCCTGGTGGCCTTGTAGGTGTCTTACCTGATGTTTTTAAACGTTTACCTTTATTAGAAATGACAGCAGATAGAATAGGAAATCAGCATGAGTGAGTAGAGAATGACATGCAGGAAAGGAGCCACAGGTCGGACTCGAACCCGGGCTGCCAGTCTCGACTATTGTAACAGCCTTTTCACCTGTATGAACCAAAAATGTTTAGATCAACTCTATTGGGTAAAGAACCAGAACCAGTAATTACGATCCCCTCACTCCTGTTTTAGCATCTCTACACCGGCTCCCTGTGTGTTTGACAATTGATTTGAAGATGTACTTATTACTTTTAAAGCTCTCCCAGCTACACATCAGACCCTTTAGTATGAGCCCACTCACTGTACATTGAGATCCTCGGGCAGAGGTCTTCCGCACACCAGAATCTGCTCCAATTAAATTGAATTTAATAGAATATCAAATGTAATGTTTTGGGCCCTCGCCCTTCATCAGACATCTCTTCCGGTCGTTCAAAACACAAGACTGAAACCCTAAGGTGACTAAAGAGCGTTTGCCGTGAGGGCTCCCAAACTGTGGAACGACGTGCCCGAGGAGATCAGGTCAGCCGAGTCCCTTCTTAAGACATACTTTCACAGACGAGCCTTTCCTGATTATAGAATTTAATTTCTTAAAACCCCTTTTAAATAAAAGTATGTCTTTTAATGTTCTTTTAAATTAATTTTGTCTTATAATGTTTATTATTTCTTGATCTTTGCCTTTCCTTATTATTATATGACCTGCCTGTTTTTTTGTTTTATTGCTCTCCTTGTGAAGCACTTTGTAGCCTGGTTTTGAAAAGGACTCTATAATTAAAGGTTATTACTATTAAAGCCTCTGTACATAGGGTACTACCTAACCACTAGGCCATCAGTGCCCTGCTTTCCCTGATATTTAAGATACATTTTGTCGATGCAGAAACACTCAGAAACATGTGAACAAATTCCACAAAATAAAAATGTTGAATTCAAATGCAGTCAAACTCAAAGATTTGATTTAACCTTACACCAATCAGTGAGCTGATCAACTTCATGACTTCTCCTGAGGTGTTTCACTTAAAACATCACTTTCCCCAAGTACATGCCACCACCCGAACCAACACTTCCCTCCTTCCAGCACTTTTTTAAAAACTGTTGTAGCTGAAGGCAGAGTCTTCAGATCGGACAGAATGAAGGAAACAAAAGGATATAACACCACTTTAAAAAAAAAACACAAAATACGACATTTATTCAGTGAGCACCAGTCAGTCAGTCAGTACAAACAGAATTTTTTAACAACAGCAGGAAATCCTATTTTGAAAATCCAAATACTTCAAACGTCGGCTTAAATCATCTTTACAGGCACAGAAACTGAAAGTACGACTTGATCCAAGCAGTGAGGGGGAAACGATTCAGTCATTTTAGTGTGTGATAAACAAAATCTACCTCAAAAGAGTAAAAAACATCATATGGACAAGAACATCACACATACATCTATATTTATATACATGTTTAAACTTCATCAAAACATCTCAATGCTAACTTTCTATTTTCAGACTACGTCCTGCTACTGTATAAATTAATGATAATTACAGATTGATTTCAACGCTAATGCTAAAGCACTGATGTGAATGTTTAGTTTTAGATTCAGCAGAAAACAGGGAAAGCTTCTGAAATCATCATCTTATGGACTTTAATCTGTGACAAGGATCATCTTTAATACTATATTATGGGATGTTGTTAAGAGGGGCATTAGACTGACAAATAAATGCACCACAATTGAATAAAGTGTACTTAAAGTCTTCAGCAGAGGCTCCGCCCTCTCCTCCCTTGAGTCCATTTGTCATGGACACTGAAGCTTCAGTGTTTAACCAGCTCTGCATCGGTCTGTAAACCTTTCTCTTGTCAGAGAAGCCAGCACTCCAACATAGCATGCTTCCTTAATGTCTGATCATAGAGTAAGGTCACTTTAATGATTTAATTTAGTAAATATCTTACAGATTGATCCTTTAAAGATACAGGTCTTCATTAGGTGATCAGACTGGTATTATGAGGTGAAGTAACACATGGTTGGTTTGTTCATAATTACAGAAGAATTCAAATCTGCAGAAGATAAATGATCATCGTAAAGGGTCTCACATCTGATAGTTTTATTTCTTAAAGGCCTAAAGACTGTCTCTCTCTGCAGTATGAAAACAACCCAACACTAAACTACAATAGTGTTAGGATGAGAAATCAGGCTTACCGTACATTTATTAAATTAAATCAAATGTATCCAAACGTGTGTTCCATAAAAACAAACCATAAGAATCCAAAATGATGCTACTAAAGACACGCTCTGTTGTTTCCCTTATAAGGACATAAAAAACGATTTATCCCCCATGGATATCAGCCAGTCAGCTGCAGATGAGTCTTTAAACTTGATATATTATTGCCTGTGAGTTGTAACTTGTTCTGCTTCAGAGTTCTTAATCTTTATAAGAATCAGATGTAAGGTGTTAAATCCATCAGAGGGAACATCAGGTCGACACTACCTGTCATTTGTGATGTATAATGCAATCCCTCCTTTCAGAGTTTCATCACCATGGAGTGACAGAATGCGTATTCAAGAGGACAATGGACTGAAACCAAACAGCTGCATGGAACTACACCAATATGACACCTACAATCTAAAAGGTTACATCTGACAAACGTTTGAAAAAGATCAGTCAAAATACAAACAGATTTACAGTTTGGGACCCTGAACGTCATCGTCTGTGATGTTTCGTTGAGACGGATTTTGTGTGATGTGTTTGATCATGTTCGGTGCTGTAACGTGCTCATAGTGAAAATAAATAACTTTAACTGAGGCCGGGGACGGATGGCAGCATCATGACGAGTTGGATTATAAATGTGTGTTAAAGATGAAACTAAACAAAGTGGATGGAAGTAAACGGTGAATGATGTGCGTGTGTGGTGTTGGTTGTTCTGAGCTTGAGCTTGGACGTGGGCTCTGCCTCATATGGTGTGTGTGTAGGTGTGTGTGTGTGTATGTGTGTGTCTCTCCTGCAAGTGCCTCTAGTTTACGGTGGCCCTGAAGGTCAACTGCTTAAACATTTTGTGAAACACTAAAACATGCCACTTAATGCAAACGGGTCGACCTACACTTCTAGTTTATGATCGGACAAAACCCGAGTCATACGTCTCTTCGTCTTTACATTTTGCTCATTACCCCCAATTTCCACATAAACTCTGTGCATCATGCCATGGTCCATCATCGCCATGGTTTTGCTCCTCGATCACATGCACACACACATCACATGTGAACTACAAGATATCGCGCTTTCTGATGTTGCTCTGTTGTTCATATATTGTGTTTTATTTTGAAATTGACCGGATTGCTCTGTGCGTTTCCTTGTCTGACTTCCTGTCTCGGTTGTTGTATATAAACGGAGAAGAGCATAGTGGGGATGCTGGTACGCTCTTGAGACGGACCGCAGCGCTCACTGTGGAAAACACAATGACTGACTAGAGTGGCAGCGAACCGCGGTTTAGTGCTCAGCGCTGATGGACCGCGTCGCACATGGAGTATGTGGTCATTTGAGGTCAGGCAAGTTTGCAGTAAAAATAGTAAGTGCAATGTTTTTTCGTTACATGACATGTTTTTTTTTTACGTTTCTCTTTATTAGTTTGTTATTTCTAATGAAATATATTCGCATTTTGTGAAATGTTTTTGCACTTGACCTTCCGGGCCACCGTACTTGTTTGTGTACTTACATGTAACTTCTATGCAGTGATGTGATCAGAATCTATGTGCCTGCATGTGGCTCTCATTTCATTTCAGATCTATGTGCACTGCGTCACGTTATAAATCTGCACTTTCAGCATGCCTGCATGTGTGTGTGTGTGTGTGTGTGTATGTTTGTGTGTGTGTGTGTGTGTGTGTGTGTGTGTGTGTGTGTGTGTGTGTGTGTGTGTGTGTGTGTGTGTCCCTGGTGTCTCAGGTCCTCTTTTGATGTGTGTTTCCCACATATGTGTTCTCTATGCACAGCACTATGTAGTGGTTGGAGCAGGAGCGTGTGTGTTGTCCCAGCAGTCGTCCCGTCTGCAGCAGAGCGGCCTGTCCCGTCACCGCCATGTCGCCCGTCCTCCACGCCTCGCAGTAGTTCGTGGTCAGACGGATTCCCACCGGGCCGGAGCCGTGCCAAACCAGCTTCTCTGGCCTGTGGTAGGAGGGGAGGGAGACAGCAGGGTCAAAGATACGTATACGTAGCAATTTTATTTATATAGCACATTTCATTCCAGATAAGCTCAATGTGCTTTACATTGAGGTTAAAAACAATTCAAAACACAGCATACAAAAGAAAACAAGTGTTTCCACAGTCATTAATAATTCATACACACGACAAAGCAAACATCAAAAGTGATCATACATACACACACACACAAAAAATAACTATTCATAAGCTTTCGAGAACAGATAGGTCTCCAAAGTCTTAAAAACAACCGTGTTAAAGCCCCCCTTTTACAGAAGAACTAATCATGTTAACAGACTGGTTAAACCTTTTTTTACTGTAATAGCCCATTTCTTTATCACCACTGGTGTATTACTAAAACGTTTTGATGATATTAAGGCTGAGTTCTGCATAATTAGTGGAGTGTTGGATCTGACTGATTAGTGGAAGTATTTCAGCTGTTTGTCATTAGCTAAAGAGTCGCCTCAGCTCAACCTTTGTCTAGTACTTGATTGATCGAAAGTTATTTTGAGAAAGCATTTCCAATATGGCCACCTCCATCGATGTGCTTCAGACAGACAAGGGGTGACATCACTGAGACTTAGCCACCTTTATAGAATATATGGTAGTTATTGAGACTATACACGGGTTGAAATTTGCTAAATTGAAAAGGTTACTATGAAACAGTGAAACAACAATTATTTATCCAAAAAGCCTAACTTTCAGGTATTTTGATATAACACAACCTTGTTAGTAGGGACTGAATAGTATTTACTCTACTCCATTCATGTTTGGTAATAGTTTGAAAATGTACTCCCACTTATAACCTTTTTTTGTCTTTTTTAATGTTTTGAACCCTAAAGTAGACTTCTCGTGGTTTAGTTTCAAAACTTTCTTAACCATCAAACTAAAAGAAAAACTGTCAGAGCCTTATTGGTATCCTCCGTCCAATCTTAACCATTATCTGAAGCTATTATTATTATTAAGTCATCCAATCATTGTTGGGCTGTGTGCTCATTCCCTTTCCTTCTTCTCTTTGGGGCATTGTATACCAACATGCAGCACACTACACTTATGGAGGACCATGATTGGTGCAGTCAGACAGAAAAAACTGTCTCATTTTAGAAAAAGGTAAAAAAATCAAAGAAATTGATCAAAATGTGACTTTGAAAATGACCAAACTGACCAAATGTGATTATTTGACTCATGTCCTCTCATCACAAATGCTTTCACTTTATCCCCCCTAACTCATAATCACACACTCACCATGCTGAGTCAGTCATGACGTTGCGTCCGTCGAAGGAGTAGATCGGTATGGACGGGTTAAATGTGCCGCCGTTCCCAGAGAAGATGGACATCCAGCTACTGAACAACACTTCCCCCTGAGAGGAGAGGATGGATCATGTTATAATAGTGAAACACATAATTTCTCTAAAACTGTAAGAGTGACTCAAAGTTCCCTCCTCACCCTGAGGTTGACCACGGGCATGTCTGTGCGGTCGGCTTTCCTCACGATGGTCGCCAGGTCCTGGAGGTGTGAGGACAGGAAGGCCCTGTATGTGGCTGTCAGCCCCATGGAGCGGGCCTGCTGGTAGCACTGGAAGTCTGCACCGCGGATACCACGCATGTCCCCTTTCAACGGGGTGTTCAGGGCCACCAGGTGGAGCTGAGAAATAGTCAAACAATAAAGACACTGTTGTTTAAATCAGACTTCTTACTCATGACAAATCTGACATCAGTCATGTCTGCTTTGAAGTTTATGATGCATTTCTGTTCATGAACTGAAGTTTGTGACTCTCACCCCGGGTACAGCGTTGAAGGTTTGTGGTAGAACATTATAGCTGGGCTGATATCCTCGACCGCCATCTTGAAGCTCCTGTTCAACAAAAGAACATGAATAAGTACGTTTTGTCTAAATTTGAAGCGGCTACCAGGTGCAATAACACTGACAGTTTCAGATCACTTGTGGATTTGGTTGGGTGTTGATCACAGTTTCCTCAAGTGTCTTTGCATCAGAACAACTGACAGTATATTGTGTTTTTAGTAAATATAATCTGCGTGTATGTTCTTAATCACTGTCTAGTCCCAACAGTAGTATTTTGTCAGTCCTATTTGGATTAAATCAGTTTCATGTATCATTTCTCAAAACTACAAAAAGACTTGAAACTAATATTAGAGACCATAAACACAATAAACATAATGAAGGGTTTTTTCCAGTAGGCATTTGCAATTAGAGCCCTTACTTCCTCCAGTGGAGTTGCCCCCTGCTGACCATTCGCAAGAATACAGTTAATGCACTTCTGCATCGTCCGTAGACTGTATAAAACATGGACGTAGTCTCAGTGATGTCATCCACTGGTGTCTGAAGAGGTTTAATGAAACCCAATCATGATGGTTGTCATAATAGAAAAGCTGACTACAACTGGAAAGCAGGGTGCGCAAAAATCCCCTTCTGGATTGCCATCCAGCTGGTATACTTAGTTTAGTTGAGTTTATTGGTTTATTTTGTCAGGGGCCATGAACAACTCCACAGGGGCCAGAGTTAGCTAAAAAGCTTATTTACTGTACATCTGCGGTCCCTGGACAAACGATAAAGAAAAGAAAAAAAGCTGATGCTTTAAGATCCGTAACAGGATTTAGCTGAAGTGAAGCCTAGCCTCCAAATCAGCCTCCTCATGTATAACTCTTAGCCTTCATAAAATAAAAAGGGTTGCATTTTTTAAAAATCATCCACAGAAAGTTTGAATGAGTAAAGAAATGAGCAGTAGAGAATACAACTATTATTGTACCAGGTTGTGAACATGTTTACTTGTGTTTTAAAAATGGACATTTTAATATGGGACTCAATGGGGATTCCCTGGTTTTTGGAGTAAGCCTCAAGTGGACACTCTTGGAACTGCAGTTTTCTGCACCTCAGCATTGGCTAAATTAACCCAAACAAGAGGTTTCCGCTTGTCATTGACCCCTCTTTTGAGTTTACCTATCCCCCTCTTTTTAAAAGGTCTATGATTGATGCATGAATAGTGTGTAAATGTGTGAGTGTGTGTCCACCTGGCTGTGGGCCCTGTGTGGTCTACTCAATTCTCCAGTCCTACTGAGGGCCTGAGAGGCGGCTGAGGCCTGAGGACCAGTTAGGATCAATTCCCCGAGCTGAAAGAGGAAATCACATAACATCAGGTTAGTTATGTGTGACTATGAAACAACAGAAACAAACACAGTCAACATGCACTACTCATCACGCACACACATATTACACACCTGGATCTTCTGCCAGCCGTTGCGTACTTTGAGGTACAGCTCTCCTCCCCGTTCAGACACAAAGGCCAGCGTTCCATCTGCAGCACGGTGAGAGTCTCTGCTCAGACCGTGGAACGTCTTGTAGGTGGTCACCTGAAAGTGACACATGACATCATTAGTGTAGTGCATGGCAGCCAGTGTATATCATCCAGAGCAGAGGACAGATAGTACTGGTGAAAATCAGGTTGTCGCTCTCTGTCTTGTGTATTATGATTGAAAACAGGTTTCATAATATAAAAGTTTGGCTGTTGAGTTATTGACCCATGAAGGCTGAATGGGGACTTTAAGGGGCTCTGTAGAAGTCGGGTAACAGAAATCCCTCAACAAGTAAATACACCGTAGATCAGGGTTCTTACCAGGTTAGCATTTCCTGGAGATCCTGGTGGGCCAGGAGGGCCAGGAGGGCCGGGGATACTGACGGCTGAGAACGACACATCAGAAATATATAAACATTCAGTCATGCAGTTACATTAGGAGGTCTTTAGATTATGAACCATAACTTTCATGGTCACTATCGTGGTTCTCCTCTTCACATAGATACCTGATCCATAGCCAGAGACAGGTCCTGGGGGTCCAGCAGGGCCTGGAGGGCCTCGTGGACCAGGTCGTCCGAATCCAGGGGGTCCAGGTTGACCCGGAGAACCAGAAGGTCCTGGAGGTCCAACAATGGACTCACCTTTTGGACCCTACACAAACATGTAAACAGAATCAGCGTTATCCTTTGGGTAAAGATATTAAACAGCAGTCAGGGTCGGGATCTGCTGCAGGTAGAAGCATTCTTAACAATGAATGATTTACCAGAATACATTTCTAGGTGTATTTATCTTTGTCATTATAAACACTCACCACAAGTCCTGACCTCCCAGGCAGTCCTGGAGGACCTGGCAGACTGCTATCACCTTTGTCTCCCTTTTGACCTTTGTATCCCTGATCACCTCTGGCCCCCTGAGAGACATCCACAAGTTAATTGACGAACTTACAGAAGACTGACCCCACACTATTTAAAGGCACATTCAGGAATATCCAGAAGGCAGTATTAATATCAATAATATTAATACTGTCTTTAGGATTTAACACCTGTATCTATGTGAGCACAAGAACAGTATGCTGAAAAAACAGAAGGGCTGAAGTCAATAAACCCAAAACGACACACATAATATGTTCTGTAAAACTGGAGCTCCTGTTTGGAGAAGTTGGATGGATTTGCTACAAAGCTAAGCTATGTGCCGCTATATGGGTCACTATATTCTTACACATGTAGCTTGTGTTGCCCTTATGACATTTGTTATGTTTTCAGAGGTAGCTTGCGGGACACCACTTTTATCTTCATATCTGATGATGTCATTTCCTGTTGGGACTCATATTGGATCTGCAGCAGGCTCAGTCAGGCTCTGGAGTGAATCCACTGCCATCCACTGAGAACCATCGGACAGGAAATGCTGCAAGTTATTTGTTTGATCAGAGGGGTGTTAAAGAAAGTTTACCAGTAGTTATTTTAAGAAAATGTTGTTTGTTAAATTAACAGTATTGTGTCATGTGAATATGAAATGTAAATCTAAAGCTAGTGAACAGACAATGAATGTTCAATTGTTTTTATTTCACAGTTTTCACCGACATGTTTGTCAGGAAGAGTGACGGAAAATGAGGGAAACTTGCTCGGAGTCTTTTTTCATTGACTCTGTGCTTAGTCAGAGTTTCAACACACTGCACGAGAACACTGCACAGCGCACAACGTCAGATCAGCTGTTCGGGGTCAGTGTCAGAAGAGGTAAGAAATGTATATTATTGTGGAAAAGAGGAAATGTTGTTCATGACAGATACTAGAGGACACTGAACCAGAGCTCACAGAGGAATCACTTTTACAGATGAGACTGGCAGACGGAGAAACAGAGGAAAACTGAGGCTGTGGCTTTATGGTGAGTTGTTTCATTCATTTTTTTTATACAGTGCTAGCTTTCCTGATTAGGTTTTGGTTCTTCTGTGCTCTTTAGGAAGAGTCTAGATGGATGATTTGGTGTTGATTGAACAGTATTTGATTTACTTCACTCCGGAGAAATGATTTTTGGACTTCTGAAATAATTGTACATGTTGGTCCGGCTGAAATAGTACAAAGTAAACATTTTTGAAGCCGAACTAAGTTACTTATTCCGTATCGGTTTTACCGTCTTCAGATCTGGGTTACCTGTTACTGTGTGCACAGGTCATACTGCTGTGATGTCACTTCTACCGATCTACATGGATCTTGCCCGAATTTCCAATTTGGAATTCCGACTTGAATGGCCGTTCCATTGCACTTTTCCGAGTCGGAGGTCGTTTTTACAATGGAATGCAGCACAACACACCCTGATAATGCGGTCGGGGGTTGAGTAACTCTTGCATGGATACGCGTCAATTGGGCTCAAACTGGACTAGGTGTTCTACGCATGCTCTGCAGTTACTATGCCGGGCTCTGGCCCCTGGAGAGACCTGGCATGGTCTACTACAGAAGCCAGGTTGTTGACTACCATCAGATATCACCATAAATTAGAGGGTTAGTGTGCATCACACCTGTACCAAAAGTGTAGAGTATGAAATGTACAGAGGTATAAAGTCGTCCATGTTTTCACAGTTCAACATACAACCAGTTTGCCGCTTGGTCAACAGGAAGAAGGTCCAATAGAAACTCACTGAAAGGGGACATATCGCCACCTGCTGTAGTGGGGTCAGACATACTTACGTCTATAAATGGATTCTCCCTCAGTGTTTGAGTACTGGGACAAAGACAGTAGTCCGAATGAATGACCTAATCCAGCTTTAAACTGTACACAACTGTGCACGTACCGAGTGTTGCATGTGGGGTTTTGATGTTTACATTCAGTGCATCCAGCTACTGCTGTCAGAGGACGTTATCACCATGACAACAATATAGATACATATATACATATCTTAGTATCCTTGCTTCTCCAAACAGGGATTGTGCTGCAAATTATCTACTGCACAATGTACACTCATCATTAATAAGTACCTCATACAACCTCCAATCAAAAACCAACAAACAAAAACAAGCTATCCTTGAACATGACATGAACCCTGACCTCTTTAATTTAAAGGATGCTGCTGAAGTGTGTCTTGAAAAAAATCTGAACCTTTAGTGTGCGATAAATCAGTACTCACCACAATTCCATCTGGAAACCCGGTGGCTGTGGGGGAAAAAATGGAACAACATAAATGCTAAAAGTTCCTGCAGTAATATCATTTTACACAGTTTAAAGAAAATAAATGTCAGAGAGCGAATGAGTGTCTGCTGAAAGCTTTTACCAGGTGCCCCCGGCTCTCCCGGTGTTCCAACATCTCCTTTGTCCCCTTTAGCTCCGATTGAATCTCCTCTTGTCTCTGACTCCTATAAACACACACACACACACAGATACATGTTAACATCACTTGAACGTGTATATTTGATAAACTAAATCTGTCAATAAAAATTCAAGGGGAAAACTTTGGATATGATAAAAAACAAATGTCAATAGTTATGACATTGATGTCAGCACTGCACAAACACCTGTTAAATAGACATAAGACATGCATGCTTTAACACAGCAGCACACATAGTGCTCTCTTGGCCGTAGTGGTTAAAATACAACAGGACAGTGTTAAAACAGGCTGCACCCCTCCTGCTGCCCCACATTTGAAAGATAAACCCAGTAAAAGGTCCATTCAGGGCGCACTGCATGCTGGAAGACTGGCGCCCTTTTTTCTCCCCCCTGCCCCTCATTTGCAGACTTTATAATGTAAACTTTTTTTAGTGGTTGTGACCTTCTGCACACTTTATTCATCCTACACTGTCAAATTTCAGGGATTAAAGTAGTTACGTCATCTTGTTGCAAAGTTGGCTGTTGAGATGCATCATCAATCAATCAATTTGTATTTGTATAGCGCCAATTCATCTCAAGACACTTTACACAGAGAGCAGATTTAGGCCGCGCTTTGTTTGTCATGGGGAGATAATGGTAAAGGACATGCGTCGTCATTTCAGTCTGTTTCTGAGGTAAGTAAAATTTGCTTTAACTACAAACAGAGTAGAGGTAACTAGGCTGGATCACATTTTAATATGTATGGACAAGATTTGTAATTTTCTCCGGACTGTAACATCTTTTTTAGCTAATGTAAAGTTAGCCGACAAGGTCCAGTTAGCTTATTACCAGACACATCTGTCTATCATACCATTGTGGATAAACCTAGACCATATAATAACTGATTAAGAGTTGTGATAAGTTAACTTGAATGAGATGTGTTACACTTTGGGGTCCTAACCAATGTTGCTGACAAGCTAACCCAGCTAATTAAGAACAGGGATTCTAGTTAGCAACGACCGGTTGTATCTGTTTCATAGAGCTGTTTTTATTTTGGTGGATATTCATGTCAGCACCACTTGAGGTAACTGACCTGGTGTTAAAAGTCATTAAGACTGCTATGTCTGTCTGTCTTCTCCCTGACGTACTCGGCTCATTTGAAATGTACTGCTGTACCTCGCCTGTGCACCATTGTGTTGGTTTAGAGGTGGGATGACATTGTCATGTTCACAGACTAGTTAACTAGTTTTTATCAGCCGGCATTAAATACACACTGATACTGTACACAATTTCCTTCATGCTCTGTGTGCAGTGTCATTGTTCTAATTCTTATTCACTCTCATGAGTCGGGTAAAAGATATAATTCATTAATAGAGGAGCCCTTCACCACACCTGAAACCCAAAAACTTAAAGAAAAAATAAACCAGATTACAGTTAGAAAAAAAAATCCAACAAAAACCACAAACACATTTACAGTAACATTTCAACCAATGAAAGGCCAATCAGAGTTTGATTTGTATCACTTTAAAAAACAATCAATTGAGAAAGAAATTACTCTTTGACAGAGGCGTGTACAGAGGTGTGGCCAGGGTTGGAATGCCCCCCCCTCCCACCCTAGAAATGTGACCACCCCTGGTGACAACCTAAATATCCCAAACCGTGAATGGCTATTTGCCCGCTCAGAGGCAGGGGCAATGTTCAGACCAACTATACTTACTTTGTACTTCATTTCAGACCCAAGGTCCATATCATCATAAAAAAGCACCATATGAAAGCCCATTTAGAGTTGTGATACTAGTTTTTTTGTTTTTTTTGCAAAGGCTGCAAGTAGTTTTCTTTATATATCTATGTTGTATATTTTATTTTGGTTATTCTTGCAATCTGTCTTACTTGTAGTGAACTAACTGGCAATGTGTTGGGACTAAACCATTGCAAGTTAGACTTTGTCATGAAAGTAGATTGGTGAAGATCGAAAGGGGTAAATAATTCATATTTATTTGTGTGTTTGTGTACACATAACACTTTAGACCACCCCTGCATAAGTCAATGCTCCAGTTGGGCCACTCCATTCCAGAAAGTCTGGACACGCCCCTGCTCTTTCAAATAAAAATTGAAGCCTAAGAGGTGGAGTTTCCTTTTTGAGTTGATTGAAATTAAACATGATTCACAATCCACTCTGATGTTTTTCCTCCTGTCTGTCATCTCTCTCCTCCTTGATAAAGAGGACAGTAAGAAAGGAACGTGGCAAGCAGGATTCAGACTCAGACCGCCGTCATCACCAGGCATTAACATTCATCTCAGGTCATCAAGTTAGAAATCTGTTGTAAATGAAGTCAAGATGCCCCTAAGATTGTTCCAGCATCGACCACTGTTTTTTTTTTTCATTAATCTTGTAAAATGTGTGAAATATTGACATGATATGAACTGTGTCTAATCACATCCTGTAGACGAGAGGAATGTTAACGCCTGATGAAGAGAGGCCAGACCCACAGACATGTAGCTTCTTTAAAGGATAATCGGGACGGGAAGGGGGGTGAGGAGGAGTTGAGGGAAGGGTAAAGAGAGGTGGTGGTAAAAGTAGGGAGGCTGTTTGAAGCCCACACCAGAGAGCTGCCATGCTGCTGCACCCACACACCAACAGAACCACCAGATGGTCCCATTTCACACCGAAACAGACCAATCAGATGGTCCCACTCAAGACTTACTCGTCCCCTTTTGCAGTGCGGTCGTGGTCGCACCGGAAACACTGTCTTTAAAATTCAAAGAAGAGCAGCGTGATCAGACTGAGTGATGATGGAAGATCGAGTCTTTGTTGGAACGATGCAGAAAAACAGTAGCGTAGAGGAGCTTTAAAACAACATGCTGACAGTAATATTCACCTACAGAGCTGACACTTCTTGCTTTTCAAATCCAGAGTGTCTTATTTATGTCTTTATGTGAACTATGTGACTACAGCACGTATCTGATTATTGTGAAACCTTGTAAAAATACAAGATTACTTTATTACAAGATTATTTTCTTAATCATCTCTAGCAGACATCACAGCTTCACAAATCTACTGGGGCTGAAGATCGATGATGTTTTTAAAGGAACCTCGAACGCAGATCATTAATAAAAATGCATGTGATTTTAAGAATTTTCTATAAAGGAAGAATGTGCAACATTTTACACATAAATACAGCAGAACACCAGAATATCCTGTGTAAATGTGTCTCTGAGTCAGGACTGTCTACAATGAGTGAGAAGTGTAAGTCCTGCTGGCTGTGTTGTTGTCAGAGCCGTGTTTACATCATGTTTACATCATGTTTACATCATGTTTACATAGACGGGACGGCCTTGTGTATAAAGCTGTTTTAGTCAGGGACTAGAGTGTAGTGTCTTTAGATCTCTGTCATTCTGTGTTCATTTAAATGCATTGTGAAGCTATGAGTTAACCAGTGTGCTAACATTAGCATGCTAACACAACAATGCAGGACAGGCTATTGCAGCTCGAACAAAGGACAATTTTGTCAGCCGCTTGCACTTAATGGTGCTTAATTATGATGCGTTCTAAATAAAAACTCCTTTGTGTGAACGGGAGTGGAGAGTAGAGGCTTTTGAATAGCAGAGGTGTGGCCAAACAGAAGTTTGTTTCGTTTTAGTTTCATGCAGGTGCTCATGGGTGACAACTACTGGATCAAAAAGTTGCACATTCTTCCTGTAAGCTTTACCGGACATAATTCAGTGTAACAAGCTTCGTAAGTAGTCACAAAGTGATGGCCCTAAATCATCATCATCCTGTTTATGAATTAATAATAATAAATCAGAGAAATAAAATGAACAGATGGGAAACTTACTCCGTTCAGCCCAAGGATTCTTCCTGGGACTCCAGGTGGGCCTGGAGGACCTGGAGGTCCCTGTTGGAGGGAGAAAAAAACATATAAGATGTTGACATAGGTGTTAGTGCTCAACTAATTTACCTTATGTAATTTATATCAAGATGAAGAGTCATTTAAAAAAAAGGAAGCTCCACCACAGTTCAAGATGAAAACACATCCTGCAAGGAATTGTTTAAAGCTCAATAGTACAGATTTATTTGTCTGAATCATATATTTCTTTTTCAGTCACACAATTTACGATCGCATCATTTGAAATATTTAATGTAACAGAACATAGTTCTTGTTTGGTGTCAAGGCTACGACCTCATCACTCCTCGCAGTTTTAATTTACATGCAGATAATTGAGGAGTGATGGGATGATAAACCCTTGAGTCAGAGACTACAGGTGGAGGATGGGGGTGGTTGGGCTGAGCAAGAATGCAGTACTGCTGCAGATCAGAGCTGGCAATGAAAGAGCAGACCGGAAATCTCAGAGCCTAAATAGAGCGCTAATGGGAGGGAGGTGTTGTCAGGTGATTGTGGAGAATGATGCATGTCAAGTGTGAAATCAGTTGACTGCCTGAACGAGCTTGCAGGCATCGCCTTAGTATTGTTTGGGGCTTTAACATTAAGAACTTTGTCGATCCTTCTCCTTCCTATCTCCTCCTCTTACCTGCAGGCCGACAGAGTCTCCTCTGTCACCTTTCCTCCCGGGCATACCAGGTCGACCCTGCACAAAGACAGAGAGGAAGTGTTTGTAAAGTTAAAGAGACTTTGTCTGCAGTGTGTGCTGACGTTTACATCCTAAGGATACAAACACTTCTTTAAAGATTTGATTTCAGTTTTGAAAAGACTGCTTCTTTGCCCACAGATATTAAAAACAATATCTTGACAAGTAGCCACACACAGGTACTCACAGAGCGACCGGGGAAGCCGTACTCTCCTTTCTGTCCAGTTGGTCCTATTGGGCCCTGAAATGAACAGAAACACAGCCATGTACACAACATCATTATATGTTTTTAGTATCTCCAGCCATAATAATAGATTTGACTTAATTAAAAAACATTTGTGAACTTTAATGCACTCTTTAACATGAACTCACCATGAGTCCTGCATGTCCAGGATACCCGCGGTCACCCTATCAGATGATACAGAAACCCAGAATCATGTGGGGATGTGTGGTGAGATTGTGATTCATTTCAGTCATAACTAATACATTTTTTTTCTCTATGAAAATGGAGGAATTTCACCATATTAAAAAAAAAAACACACTATATTGAGTCCTGATCAGTGCTACAAAATGCTCCAAATATACTGTATGTCAAGGGCTTAGGTTATGATCAATAATTCTACAATTCTTTACACATAAACTGCAGGGTATGGGGGTAATAGAAGTTTACAACATTTCAATGTAGCTGTATGATTGTTTAAATAACTAAACTAAACTAACCACTAATGCATAAACAGGGGTGTGTTCAGAGGGGTGTCCTGTGCCCCCCTCTAATTGGCCACCCCAAAATCCTTAACAACTATTTTGGTTGTGGTATGACAAGATGATAGAAGTGTCTTTGCATTTAATAGCAGCACCTTTTAATTTGTTACTGTTTTAAATTGTTTGCAGTGTGAACGCAGCTAATGGTCGGATCAGATTGTTTTTGGTTTGGCTGTTCACACTGCTTTTGAAATGTGGCCTGTATCAGACTCATTTTGGAATCTAGATACATGAGAGTGACCCAAATCTGATTTGAAATTAGATCAGATTGTGACTTGTGCTGTTCACACTGTCATAAAAAATCTCATCTGAGTCCCATAGGAGCAAACAAAATCAGATTCAGGTCACTTTTGGCTGCACTGTGAACGCAGCACAGCTGGACCACCCCAGACAAAAGTCATGCCCCTGTGAATAAAGACCAATAGAGTTGGCTGGAATATTTGTCCTCTGATATTCAAATGTTTCTTCTTCCTGCTTTCTAACAGGTCTTTATCAGATTTGCATGTGTATCCCCCACATGTTGATTTACAGAAAAACATCATTATCGTCTTAAACTGAGTCAGTGTGTTGTGCAGGGATTAGGAAGAGAACAGTAGCATGGAGGGACCAGTGCCAAATGAATCACCCAACTATTAATGTTTCCTAGATAACATAATGAGATGCATCATCAGTTACTGTTTAAGGGTTTAAGGAGCCACTTTTCTGGTACCTTGATGCCTTTGGGCCCTTGGGGGCCTCGTGGTGCTGATAAGAGAGATCCGTCGGCAGCAATAGTTACCCCTGGCTCTCCCTTCTCGCCCTGTTAGTGTAAAAAACAAACAAATGTAAAGTGTGAATTGCCTTAAGGAAAAATATCACAATAAATGTTTGACAAATTAGATATTTCCAGGATGAACACAAGATGTTGACAAAGTAAAAGTAGATCTTTGGTGATAAAAACAGGGACAGTGTGTTATGTTTTCTTTACCGAGATGAAACAGGACTGAAATGTAAGAGTCAGGCTGTCGGATTTTCAAAATCCCTGACTGTGTGTCTCACACTGTGTGTCTAATCATTCAGTCAAAATAAAAACAGGGGAGAGTAGAGGTGTGTGTGTGCGCTGCCAGGCAGAGAGCAGGAGAGCAAGTGTGTGTGTGTCAGTGAAGCAGAGCGACAGAGAGAGCACGAGCTGATGTGATGACGAGTGTTAACGAGCTAACGATAGCCTATGGGATAATAATTATCAGTAGCCATATAAGGCGAAGGCTTTTTATAAAGATGCATAAAAAGCTGTTTAATGAGTTTAATCTGTAGCTCCCCAGATGTTTTTCTCACCACACTGTGGATGTACTTCACTAGAAGACAAAGTCCGTCATTCAAAGAATATCAGTGTTGTCATCAGTATTATGTACCTCACTTCAAGTATTGATAGTGCTAAATTATTATCACTGTGAGAGTTTTATAATAACATTAATGTTACAGCTGCATTAATGAGGTTTTTCATGTGTTTATGAGTTTAGAAAAAACAGCTGATACGACCTTTCACCTTTCTATAGGCTGCATGAAGGAGGTTAACTGAAGTGATTCAAGGGGAGAAACATTTTTGACTACAAGTAACGACTAACATGTGACTTTTTATTGACTAAAACTGGACACTGCAGTCTACTCAAACCTAAGGGTAAAAAATGTGACTAAAAAACAAATTACCGTCTAAAGACAAAGACTAAGCCTTGGTCTAAATAAGCTGCCAATACAAAAACTAGAGCAGTGTGGCTTTCTTGTCTCAACTGTTACTCGCTGGAACATTTTTAACATTTTGATTTCATTATAGTAACAGCACATTGTTTGTTATACTTTGGGCGGCTGTGGCTCAGTTGGTAGTTGGTCGTCTACTAACAGTTCAGGGTTCCAATTCCAGCTCCTGCAGCCACATGTCCAATGTGTCCTTGTGAAAGGCACTTAACCCCAAGTTGCTCCCACTGCTTTGTCGGCGACATATGCATGTGTATGAATGGTATTTGTTACTTCTGATGTTCTCTTTACATAGAAAACTCTAACATCAGTGTGTGAATGTGTAGGTGTGACCTGCGATTTAAAAGCGCTTTGAATATTCAGAAGACTAGAAAAGAGCTATACAAGCTCAAGTCCAATTTCCATTTCCATTTCACATTTACTGCCTTGCTTGTCACAGTTTTGTGCTTGTCTAGTTCTCACCTTGATCCCTGATGCCCCCTGTGTACCTGTAGGGCCGACATCCCCCTTTGGTCCCCTGGGGCCCTGGGAAGAGGAAAAAAAACAGTAGTGAAGCAGATCTGCTGTATTTAGCAACATTTTAAAAGAATGCCATGAAACCTTGAACATGTTGCTAAAAGCATTTCCTTAAACAAATGCTGAAGTAAAAAGCTTCCCTGTGTGGCAATAAGATAAGAGAATCCTTTATGGATCCTCAGAGGGGGATCATTCTGGATAATAACATTAACAGCGCTGTGGGTACCTACCCTGTTCAGCCCAAAGTCAGCGCAGCAAAATTGGAAAACAAAATGCACACACTTGTTTATAACATGTTCTCCTCATGAAGTCAATGAGAGTTACAAATGCTCAGCTTAAGGTAGTGTGAGAAAAAATGTTCTTACAGGAAATCCAGCTCTGCCAGGCAAGCCTTCAGGGCCCTGCAACATGCAAACACAACAAACGATCGTATACGCACATATGCAATGGAGTCAAAATGCAAGCTGTTTCTCTGCAGTTGTCTGTTTGCATTCAGACGGGTCATCTTAAAATACATTGTCACATTTCATTACTAGCGTCTTGCTACACACCCTGGGCCCCGGGGGTCCTCTGAGCTCTGTGAAGTTGAAGCTAGCGTCTGTAACATTGAAGGGGAACTGTAGACAGAGTATGTAAAGAGTAAGTTAGGACACAGTTATCACGTTTTCAGAGCTTTGTTAAATTCACAAGTTATGCCCTGAGACCTCAGGACAATCCAAGTAACAACAAATCTGGCTTTACTGTACTCAAAACATGCAATAAAACCTCATTTCTAAACAGCCTTAAACATAAGTTTGGTTGTTCTTTATCGTTTCAACATCGTCATTCAGTTAAATGTGATGTTGTGTTTATAAGTGTTTCATACTTCCTGCAGACTGATAGGTCCAGGAGGTCCAGGAGGTCCTGGGGGTCCTGGGATATTGAGTCCGTCAGCACCTCGATCACCCTTCAGGACACAAAATAGAAATAATAAGTCCTTTATATTAGAAGTGTATAAAGGGAAGGCAGCGGTGTACAGAAATATATGATGCAGCCCAGACGTTATCAAAGATCTGTATTTAACCTGCATGGACTGATGACTGTTTTTGGAAATTTAAGAGCAGAACCCTAGCTGTTAATTTACCTGGGACTCCTTTACTTTGCACTTTTGTGCAATATCGGTTAATTAATAAAGCCACCACTTTACTTTTGCAACAATTTCAGCCTACTGAGCAATTCTACTAAAAACATGTTTTTACTCAGTACCAGTGCAGCACAGCCACACTTAAATCCCTTTTTTAATTTAGAATTACAACCAGTAATGTTACAAGTAGAAATGTTAACCTGATGAATGTAAGGACAATCTGGATCTTTAGCTGCCACATGCTTCTGTTTGTTAACTAGCTGGTTGCTAACTGTGCCTGTGATAATGGAAAAAGTATTTCTTCTGCAGTAAACCACATTGTTTACAGAAGTGTTAGTGAAACAATAGTTAAACATGAGCTGACAAAAGTTGATATACGTATATGACTTTTTAGTGTCCACATGTTTTGTTCAGAATCAGAATCTGGTTTTATTGCCAAGTACATTTACACATACAAGGAATTTGACTTGGTGTATTGGTGCTAAACAATTAACAAGATACACTTACCTTTGATCCATGGTTCCCTTTTTCTCCTTTCACCCCCTGTTTGGAAAGTTAAGAGAAAAAAAACTTGTTAATGTGTTGTAAATTATTAAATGGGGACGATATTGTTCAAGGTTAATCGGACCAAAATTAATCTTATTCATTACGGGTCAGGACTGCAAATGTACCAGGCAGTACGCAACACAGAAACATGTATCAGGTCAAAGACGGCGTACAAAAACATTCCCCAACAAATGCTGAGAGGTTCATGTGTGAACACTGGGATCCACATCACACCTGTCCCCACACAGTGTATCATCATATACCCCATGTTCTTTCACTTAATAATTCTTCTTGGAGCGGCAGTAGCTCAGTCCGTAGGTGACTTGGATCGGAGAATCGGAGGGTCGCTGGTAAAAAAAAATACCCTACACTCATTACTGTAACTCAGGGGCGCTGCTTGTCAACATGCAAGGCAGGCAACTGCTTGGGGCCCCCAGGCCAGTGGGGGGGGCCCAGAGGCTGACAAACTTTGAACCAAAGCAGCAACCCAAAATGTCCAAATTTTGCAGTGACAGTAGGAAACCTCCCTAAGGGGGCCCCATGACAGCACCCGATTTCTCTTTTGCCTTGGGCCCCAACAGACTATAGTAATCGCCACTGCTGTCACTCACTTGTTATTTCTAAGAAAAAAAGGGCCCAAAATCTTCATGCTCATGGGGATGATGAGTCCTCTACGACCTACAATGTTGCAACATCCACCACTTATTGTAAATGCACAGCCAAACAGGATATTTATCAAAGACTTACTTATCCCCCGAATCGCCAGAGCTGTCCACATCACTTCATTTAAAGCGTTTGATGAAAAGATTCAACCATCTATAACATGATGTAAAGTTGAGAATCATCAAAACATTTGTCGTGCTAATAAGACCTAGACAACTTACTCTAGCACCTGGTAGTCCAGCAGGACCCTGGAAGCCCGGTGGTCCTGGATCTCCTGTCTCACCCTGCAATCACACACAGCAAAGACAGAGTTACAAGTTATATGAGTGGTATGATGAATCTGTAGTCAGTTATTTTGTTTTGTTTCAATCTATATAGAATAATTTCTATTGTGTCAGTAAACTTAAATCATGAAAATGACGTCTATATTTAACTTTAACGGCCTACTTAAAAACAGGGTAGAGAGGATTATACCTCTATATCTAGACATTTAAAGCAGTACTGCTTCAGAATGAGCTCACCTTGACAGAGAGCCCCGAGCGCCTGTGGCTCCATCCTCACCCTGCAGGAGACGAGAGAGCATCTTAAACAACCAACCAATCAAGACAGTGCCATAAAAAGTATACACACTGGCACACTGTCTACAGCTGTTATACCAGTGACCTTCTGCAAGCAAAACCCCAAACATCTTGAAAGATTACCTTAGGTCCCTGTGTTCCTGGTAGGCCAGGAGGACCCTGGAAAAACAAAACAGGAAACAGTTTCTATATTTGATGTAATACATAAAGTGAGTCTACCATAAATCACGCACACTCTGGTGCTACCTGTGGGCCTCTGACTCCAGCTCCAATCAGCATGTCACTCTTCCCAGATCCCTCCAAATCCTAAAAAAACAAAGTCCAGTCTGGTGTTACACATTAAACTGAACCTGTTATCGCCATCATGGCCTATAAATGAAAGTACATCCCTGTGGGTTTGTTAACAGCAGTAGTATGTGGATCTTAGAAGTTGCATCACCTCTACAAAGAATTTGGTTCCCGGAGGTCCAGGGGGACCAGGCAGTCCCGGGGGACCTGAAGGGCCTCTCTGCCCCTGTGGACCACTTGGCCCTGGTTGCCCAGGTAGTCCTGCTGTTCCGACAGACCCACATTCACCCTACGGAGATAAAGATAAAAGGAACTCTTATAAGCATACGTGTAGGTTGCCTTGGTAACATTGTTTTGACCTGGCTGTGAAGTGAAAAATTACAGTCTGTATATAAATAAGGACAAAACATCTTAGTTTGAAGCCAAAACACCCAGCGACTAGCATGACCATGGACTGTATAAAACATGGACGTCGTCTCAGTGAGGTCATTTGTTGGTTTACTGAAGGGGAGTTGAAGCCAAACGATGGTGGTTGCTGTTCTGAAAATGGTCTCAACCTAACTTTAGATCAATCTAGAAACACGTGAAGACATGTAGCTATGACACCCCTATCAGTACCGCTCCTAACTATGCGTTACTCTTCTCCTTAGTATAATAAAAACATACAGTGTGTGCCGATAAAGACATTAGCTATTCAGCCTCAATTGTTCTATAACCAGGCTGTAAAAGTACAACACAACAACCTGTGTCGGTTTGAAGCAGACGCTCTATGAGGTAAAGTTTAGTAACTCTAATGTTTGTCCTTGTTACGTTTCCTGTCACCATTCTTCTCAGAGCAGCAGGAGCCTCATTTGTCAACAGAGCTCTCTACCATGTGGTAGAGAGCTAATTTCTGTTTTAAATAATGAATGAAAAAAAAAAAAAGTCAACACTCATAAACCAGCATGATGACAACTAACTATTATTGCTTTAATATTTTAAATAATAGGCCTAGTTTAATTTCAAAGTCTGTCATCTGTTAACATGGAGGGGGCGCGTGGTTTATGACCTTCTAGTCAGCTTGGGGAGCTCTAAATCTTTTGGCTTCACTTTTGACAACTCTTGTGCTGTCCAAACATTGCAAGTGAAAAACATTAGTCTTTTTTGGGGAAATCATCATAGGTTTTTGTCTTAAATTATTACATCACCTTTGGTCCAGATTGCCCAGGCAACCCTTGGTCACCCTGAGGATGAAAGAGAGCAGATGCCTTTACTTTAGCAGTGGTGGAAACCCAGACAAGCACAAGATCCATATCAATAGAAACAGTTCAAACATGAACCAGACTACGTGTGTAAAGCATATCAGGAAACGGTTTCCAGCTTTGTACTGCTTACTTCTCTCAAGCCATAAACTTTCTTCACTGTGAACTCTCCATCAGTTCTACAGACTTCCGCTACATGTCCCATCTACAAAATTCAGCTCTGTAGTCTCCTTACCTTTACTAGTCCCCCTTAGCTCGACAGCTTCACTCTGCGTATAGTGGACCATTTCTGTTGTTTGGTTGCTACTTCATCCTCATTTCTATCTATCTTTGTCTTTAAGTTTTGGTCCTCTTTTCCATTAACAATTTGCCTACCTACCTATCAACATGTGCTTGTAACCAATCTATTGGCCAAAATCTTGACTCTTTAGCCCATTGAGCCCCCATCAAAGAACATATTATCCTTCTCAATGATCTCACCTTCTCTCCCGCAGCTCCTGGCAGACCTGGACTCCCATTTTGTCCTGCTAGACCCTGAACAAACCAAACAAATACAGACACAAGTAGAGGTAGACAAATGAAACTTAAGTTACAGAACATGTGCTGGTTAGTAAAGCAGAGCTATGTGATGTTTAGCTGTTTGTTGATCATTTATTCAGAGGGGACAGTTATCTTATTTAAAGGAATAGCCAGACTTTTGCAGAATCTGTCATTGGCTAGTTTACTAGCGATATCCTAGTGATACGATCATCCATCAAGTCGGTACAGGATTGTTAACTTCACTGAATTATGCTTACACTTTGGAATAGTCAAGTTAGACAAACTTCACTGTCACATTGATGTCAAGTGCTTGCTCGTGGTGGATAAATATTGGGTCTCTGTAAATAATATCACAAAAATATGGTCTCAACCTTCATTAATTATAATTTTTCCAACTCAGACACCAAACTGGCAGAAATGGCTGCATTTCATCGATTTATTCAGCTCCTTTATTCAGCTCCTCTCTCTATCAGTACTCTACTGATACAGAGATAGATACTTTATTGATCCCAATTGTCCCAATGTATTTGTGCAATTTAGAAAGTTCTCTCTCTTTCGCTCGCAGCAGCTGTTGGTGAACAAATATGGCTAAAGATCTGAAGTATTTTTCTGAAGTCCACTGCGGTACTCAGTCATTAAAATAAAGGAGATTGCATCACTTTAAATCATGTTGTATTGAAATGTATTGAAGGATCAGAAATTTTGACAACCTTACAGGATAGTTTTAATTAATAAAAAATGTGTAAGTAACTGTTTATTTGACTTTCTGGGCTTTTGCAGCCAGCCTCAAATGGACTCTTGTGGAACTGCACCTTTTTTTGCCCTCAGTTTTTCCAACACCAGAGGTTGCTGCTTGATCTAGAGCTGCTCTTTGGGTCCTGAGATAACATTTGTTATGAATTGGCACTCGTAATACAATTGATTGTTGATTTTCAGCCAATTAATGGTGCAAAGGATGAATGATTTTAATGAACCCACTTCCTTTCCTGAAGTGATATTATCAGGTCTTACTTTTGACATGACAAACAGTTTAAACAAATAACAGACTGACTTTCAGTCTCCAAATTATGAAAACTCTCCTGAGTCGTTTCAGCACATTGAAGCAGCCTATTCTCTTGTTATCATCATATTTGTTAAACGACAATGTCCTTTAAATGTTTTAAAAAATGAGCATAGTGAAAGTTTGAGAGATACATCAGCATGCCTTGACACTTTACATCAATATCAGATTATAAGCAGCAGTTTACAATAGGAGGGAAATAACAGATCAGTTAAAAGGCAGATTTCTCCCTTCACCATGTTGTATTAAAAAAGCAAAATGGCGCTTAAACTGAGTTTACACAGCAAGTTTGAACTCAGTTCTTTTATTTAAGCATGAAAAGAAACCTAATGTCATGATAATAGTTAATCCCAAAGTGTCAGCAGTAACAATGGCTGCCAGAGGGATTATGGAAGAAGCAAACAAAACTGTGATATCATCCACATAAACATGAGAGCAGAGCCAGCCAGGTTAGAATAACTGATCAAGCTGCAGGCAGGCCATTGAGACAACATGGTTGGAGATAATATACAGTCATTAGCCTGAGTCATGAGGCCATGTGTTAGAATGGATGTTTATCACAGGTAACTGTTTGAAAAAAGATCAAATCACTACTCATGTCAATATAATTTATGGATTATATTTGATAAAAATGAGTGAGCACTATGGTAGGAGTGTCGCTCCCTCAGTACTCAGGCTGTTTACTGTACTTCTGCCTTTTATTGTTTGCTTGGTGTCCAACCAAGCAAACAACAGTGATATACCTCGCCTGAACCCCAAGCAGACCCAAAGTCAAGCCCAGAACCTGACGCAAAACTGGGTTCAGGACTGAAACCAGAGCCGAGGTCAGAGGACGACCCCGAGCTCAGGCCTGAACCATCGAGCCCAGAACCACTAAACCAATCCTCAAACATCTGAAACAGAGTGAAGACGGGAGAGGAGCAGGAGGAAAACGAAGATCAAGGAGGGGGCAAAGTAATTGGTGAGGAGAAGGAAAGAGAAGGAGTAATCGAGGGTGAATAATGAAAGGAAAGGTAACAGCAGAGGAAGAGGGAGGATGAAAGACAGTTATAATCTGTGACACACAAATACGATCACTACAATATTAATTACTAAGAAACACAAACTGGACAAAAAAAATGATTTTGCTAAATGATTGAAGAAACAGATTTATGACAAACTTCAAGATGGAAGATGGAAAAAAATTACAAAGAGAAGAATACAAAAAAACACAAGTAAAAGTGGAGGACAAAGAAACTAATCTGGTAGAAAAGGACATTAAGTATGCAACAATATAATTCTCAATATACAAACTATGAAATACTTAATGAAACACAAACAGAATAGCATTTCCATGTCTTCAATCTTTTTGTTTAAAAGACACATGAATGGTTTGGTGCTAATATGTTTCTGAGAACGTGTTTCTAAGTGAGGTCATTACGTATTTTGGACTATTCAAAGCTTTCAGTCACATGACTAGCGTGGAGGCCTGGAGTGGAGAGTTCAGGAAAGTTCCATTGAACACTCTGAAACGGAAACTGGCTTTTTTTATTTTAAGTAATCTCTTAAGAACGACGCAAGTTAACCTTTCCCGACGACCGCAGAAAAACTGAGATATTTAGATTAAAAGGAAGTTGTGGGCACTTGTGACTCAGGAAAATAACTTTGATGATGCTGGGTCAATAATGCTGCCGTTTGGGAAGTGAAGGGGAAGAAATTCTTCATCATCAAAGCATAGCTGAGTGATAATTAGCTAACATAAGCTAGCTAACGTTATCTAACGATAGCATCAGGATCACTATCAGCTGTCACTGTTAAAAGGCAGACATATGATATACTGATCAAGTTAACACGATATTTGATGCCTGGTGTGACATCACGTGAAGCTAAGCGAGTTATAAACTTGACAAGTGAAAATGTGGAAAGTGTAACCTGTAGTGTTTCTATTTCTGAAATATTCTTCTGAATATCAGAACAGCTGTAATTCAGTCATGATAATGATAATGATGACCGTGTATGTATGAAAAACTCACTGGTAGTCCTGGTTGTCCTGGAAACCCGTCTCTGCCGGGGGTACCAGGTGGTCCAGCATGCCCTGGAAAGATGCCTTCAGCTGTGCCAGAGGATGACAGGTTGGGCCCAGGAGGACCTGGAGGTCCTGGAGGCCCAGGTAGACCAGGAGCGCCCTGATGAAAAGAGTATTTTATCATCGTTTAAGTGAAACAACCAGGCTGTTAAATCTCTCTCTGCAGCCTTTTCTTACCCGGGCGAGTTCTGTGTCACTTTCCAGGTCTTCAAACCCAGAGCCAAGGGCGTCTGCTCCATACTGTAACACAGGAATTGTTTTCCTAATCACTAGAAAGTTTGGTGACTTCTCTTATAAATACTGCGGCGCAGTTACCACCAACTCTCAGCAGACAGTTTGTTTTCACTCTAACTGTGGGTGGCCGTTAGTGTCAGCGTTTATGAGTAAAACACAAACTCATTTTGCAATGAGGCTTATTTGCATAGAAAGGGGGCATTAATGCTCATTTAAATATGTGCAAATGAGACTCTCGCTCTATTCCGACTGTCCTTTCAAGGCGCAAATTTGCATCCCTGTAACATTTCGCCTTCAATATGAATGTTGAGGAAGTGTGCCGCCTTTTGAGGTGTTACAGGGGCGAGATGGGACAGATGGAGCCAGCGGGGGAGAGCAGGGCTGTGTGAGAGTGCATGTCTATCTCTGTGTGTATGTGGAGCTCCAGTTGGCCGTACTCTCTCGCACTTATAGGCAACTTAAAGCAATGTGAATTCACAGACTGGGACACCAATATTACACCGCTTTGGGATCAATATAAGTGTACAAAGACGTTATGATGAATGAGCTCTGTCCCGGCACTGTTGCAGAATTGAACCGGGAAAAGGGCTAATGTTTGCTCTGCAGGGCAGTTAGGGGTGTGTGTGTTTAGTTGCACAGGTTTAGCGGGCGCAAAAGCCGCTCAGTCTTTTAGTGAGTCAGACCTTCAGATGTTCTTCACACTTGTCCTCACTGCACACAAGGCCTGAAACTTTGAGAACTACATGCTGATCTCTAAAACATACAAAAAACAAACAAACAAACAAACAAAACACCAAAAGTCAACTGGGATACTCACAGGTACACTGCGTGATCTGGGGGGTCCCGGAGGCCCAGGGAGGCCAGGAGGGCCTGGCATACCAACTCCTTGGTCTCCCTGCAGAGCAGAAACAGGAGGAGTTATCTGACTTGTGCAGTTTAATTGGTGGCATACATTAACAGTGAAGCTTTTTAGCCAAAGGTTAGCTGTACCTTGTCTCCTTTAGCTCCAACATCTCCACCCAGTCCTGGAGACCCCTTAGGTCCTCTCTGACCCTGAACAGAAAAACACAGTGTTCATGTGATCTGAAGCAGACTAAAGAAGACAGAAGACGACCTGAAGGGATGAATAACTTACTGGATCTCCTTTTTCGCCCTTGCTTCCCTGTGAAGTGAGATAGTTTTAGTTTTGTATGACATGCTGGCAAGATAAACGCACACATGCTCTCCGTCTCTTTAAGCCCACACACACACCTGCTGTCCCACTCGCCCTGGCACTCCAGGGGATCCAGGAAGTCCTGGCGGCCCTTGGGTCCCTCTTGGACCAGGATAAGCTTGTGCAGGCGAAAGTGTGGGGCCTGGTGGACCGGGTGGGCCAGGTTGGCCTCTGGGTCCAGGATCTCCACGTGCTCCTTTGAACCCATGTCTGATATGACCCTGAAAATTCAGATCGTCGTTCATGTCATTTGGACATTTAACAACAACATGTGTTGGTGCAGAATATTCCAAATATATTGTAAAAAAAAGGAAAAAGAAAGACAACAACTTACATCTCCTGATCTTTCTCCTGGCTCCTCTTCCCGATTTGGCCCTGTACACAGGATATGACATCATCAATGAGGCTAAACTAACCCTAACCCTAACCCTAGGACAAACTGTTCCGTCTCCCCTTTGCCACACATTCATAACCTCATAGAAGCATCACTTGAGTCGACGGGAGCCTCCAGGAAACTCAAGTTCCTACTCAGTTCCTTACCCTCTTGAGAAATGGCTCAGACTCAGAGAATAAAAGGGTGATGGTTAATAAAGCAAAAGATACAGATCTCTAGAATTCACATTTTTACCTTAAGGTAGTGATTATTGTTATTATTTACAATGACGCCTTATCTGAATAGATTTAGGCTCACAGTTTGCTCCATCCGTGTTCGGGCACAGCCCTAACATCACCCACCCAGGGGTGCTGTGGTGGTGAAATCAACTCACAGTTGAACATTTGTTTTTAAGAACTGTGTTGGGTCTGTCAATAAAAGTGAACGATTACTAGAAGTACTCTGTCCGCAATCAGCTCTGCCTGACCACAGAGTCGAAATGGATTCTGTTCAAAAATCCACCTCAGAACGTCTTCCTGAGGATTTGGGCTCACAGTTTGTTCTGTCTGTGACAAGTCATAGCTCAGAGGCTGGCTTATACTAAAACTTAAAGCAATCATCTAATTAGTGGGCTGAAGCACCTGTGCACTGATCAGTGGTGATTCTAGAGTCTCGAAAGGCCCTCTGCAAAAATCAATTGGGGGCCCCTCCAACAACGAGTTCATCACCATCATGTCTGCCACTGTACCGATGCTTACTCCTCTTCCTTTTCCTGTTTCTCTCCTAAAAACGGATTAATTGAAGCATGCAACGCTTGGCAGGGCACCAATAGTGAGTGCTGTCACATGGGGCACTCTGACACTGATATAAATAGTTTGAGCAATAGTCCAAGAAGCCTTCATGTTTTATCTAAAAGTATGTGTTCATGGTGTACTGCAGTAAATAGCCTACATATTTGATGATACAATATGTTCCATAAAAAAAACTTTGTCAAACAGCTCTTATATTCAGTATTTGTGGTGGCACAAAACATTAATGAAGCTGATGGTGTCATTGATGGGATTTTCTGTGTGCTCATCTTTCTTAACTTCTACGGTATTATACTGTATATGGGACAGTCTGTTAACAATGAATCAGAGGCTTGAGGCTTTGGAGAACACCAGTCAGGCGATACTGTATCTGTGATAAAGACTCTTACTTGTTCTATAGAAACAGTTTGCTGTAGTCGTGTTAAACAGGCTTCAGAGCTTTGGCATGATCCACCCACCTCTACCTGACGTACATAATCTTAGTAAAATATAAAATGCAGCAGATATGGATACAGCATCAAACTGTAAATTGTAAAATCTGAATTATGTACCAAAAAAAAAGAAAAAAAAAGAGAATTGTACATGAAGGTTGATTCTGACCTCGTCTAAGCATCTCCTCAGTGGTCTCTGTTGGGGTCTGTTGACCTGAGTACTCATCCAGCTCCACCTCTGGAGCCTCGGTGGGCGGAGCTCTGACTGGAACGCTTTCCTGAGAGAAGAAGGAGAGAAGGTCACCCAAAAATATGAATTCTCCCAATGACAGTCTGGATTTTTGTGAGCAAATATTCTGTCTCATATCACCTCTTGTTTCAAAACAGCGTTGTTGTGCCAGTAAATTAATCAGTGCCGCCATAACTCAATGTTTTTGTCACCATGTCAATCAACCCTGGAAATGTTTCTTACATGAAAATCTAATTTTTCCCCACATTTTTGGTGACACGGACTGCAGTATGAGATGGTTTGAGACCATTTTCTTTGGGTTAAGCTGAATGCTCCTTGATTTTGTATCATACTGAGCTTTTTAGATTCAAATTTCAACATGAGGTAAAAAGTTCACTGTGAAAGATCCAAACCGTACAAGACAGCAGTTTACATGAAGATCAGTCATTAACAATGTGGGACATGTAAACACAACATTCACCTTTGGTCTTTCATGTAAAGTCAGATTCAGAAAATCTGCCACAAATTGACACCCATGTGTTTTCCTGGTTCATTACTGTCAGCTGGCAGCTCATTGGCCAATTTAGTAGAACCCACAAACATCATCATATGGAGATTTATGGAATAATCATGGACGTCTGACACATTTTGAGAACTGAATGGACCATTTTGCTTGCTAGAAGTTGTGAAGAGCTGACATTGTCACTGAGAATCAACTGGTCAGTTTGTAGTTAGGGGAGGTTATTGGTCAGCAGTGTTGTAGTACTCTAAATTAGTCTTAGTCTCAAGACCAGTCTCGAGACCGTCTCAGAATCTAAAGCATTTTTACTCAGTCTTGTCTCGACGGTCTTGTCATGCCCCTTCTTAAAAGAACAAATAACTTTCATTTTAGTTTGATTTTTATCCCCTGGTCATGGCTGCAACCTTCCCGGTGTTACGCTCTGTGAGTGAGTAACACGCCCGCTGCACACAAGTTGAGGATTTTTCTGTGATATTTATGGTCTTGGTCTTGTCTCGGTCTCAGAGCACTCTGGTCTCGGTTAGTTTGGTCTTGACTACAATAGTATTGTGCAGATTTTTTGACACTTGTTCTTTTGCACTCATGCAACGAAACATGTTCAACTTGCCTGAATGAATGAGGCATTCTAATCTGAATGAACCTCTTCATCAGCAACAGTATAGAGAGAGAGAGATAACAAGCAGTCATGGTGACTTTAATATCCGGCAGCATTTACTCCGCTTCAGAGGGACGGTCTCCTTTGAAGCCTCAGAGTAAATGCTGCTGGTGGGATGTTTGGGGTCAGATTGACTTCCTGGTTGTGGGAGAATGACCGACGGCAGCGGAACAGAGAGGAAACAAACACGTGAACAAACTGGTGTACACAGGGAGAGATGTTTTAGGGTCCTGATGATTGGAGGGGGGTAAGCATCATTTAGGTCAGAACCTAAAGCTATAACAGATGTACACACACACATGCACACTCCCACACACACACATGCATTATCATACACACTCCCACACACCCTAGCAGACTAAATGATGAGAGGATTTCTTTCAGGATCAGCAAATAGTCTCAGAAGGCATTGCTTTATGAAGAGCGCTTCCAGGCTACCTCTTAAACTTTTCTTTTGAAGACCAAAATTTCGGTCAAGGTCTTTACTTATTCACTTATTCAATAATGCAGCTAACTGAGAAGTCAAGCCCTCATACCTGTGCCAGGCCGAGTTTCCTCTCCCCGTTGTTGTTCTTCATGATTTCCTCCTCAGACTCTCTGTCATCCAGAGCCTCATCTCCACTGGTGTACCCCGAGGCCTTCACCAAATATCACAGTGTGTGATGGTTTGAGACGAAAGGTAAAAAGAAACACATTTTCCAATTTATGAGGCAGTGTCAAACCTTTTCCCGGTTGAAGATGTATTTCACAACTACATTACTAAAGTCAAGCATTTAAATTTCATTTTTTCCTGCCATGAAATCCAAATGTATTTCTATTTTACAACATAAAAGGTCATTCCTGTAAAGAGGGCAGGAAAGTGCTAATGGTTTTTAAATTTCAGCAGCTACAATCCTCATTTATAGATGCTCATTGATGTTCTTTGACCACAAGGGGGTGCTGTTAACCTATATGTTTTTTTTATTTTTATTATTATTATAGAAACTAATAGCAGCAGAAGTATAGTTGTGTTTGATCAGCTTCTACTGAGTATATGAGTGAGTGTTTCTTACATAAGGGTCATCGTCTTCACACTGATCCTCCGCTGCTCTGGGATTGGTTATCATCAGCTGCTGGATGGATCCCTGCAGAGAGAGAGAGAGACTTTAGTAACTGCTCAAGCATTAACTGTCTATTTTTTTTTTTATAAATAAATAATACGTGAAGTATTGTGGAAGACTTGTGCAAGGTGTAAAAGAATGAGCCAGTGACCACCACTTCAACACATTGACTACATAATGTAAATATACAGTTTTTGAGCATTTAAATGAAAGATAGTACATCTGTGTCCAGCTGTGCTTCTGTTCATCCACATCTGGGCCACTTATTTCAGACTGACTAAGTTAAAGATAGTTTGGTCTTTGGATGTCTAAAGAAACCTGGATGTGTAAATGTATTGTGGATTAAGCGTCATTGACCGTTCACCAGTAACACAAAATAAAAACAGAAGCAACATTATTCAGATCTGCTTTTATGTAGGCTTTGAAATACCAATTCTTAGAATGAAGGCTTACAATTCTTATTGTTTTTCCTATTCATTTAGTTGGGTTGGTAGGTCATCAGCATCATCTTTAACAGTCAAAACCTTTACAAATTAAGGCTTTGATACAAACCATGTAAATAACATGTTGCTGTTCAATTGAGCTAAAACCATTAACTTCAATTAATTTAATTTGAGTGCTGAGACTTAAGATACTTCTGGATAATTCCTTGAATATAATTTTAACTGGAGGACAATCAGGACATTAACTTTTATTAGAGTTAATAAATAGTTAAATAAAGCCTTTGTGAAAGAGTGTAAAAAGTTAAAGATCTGTGGGCTGTTCTGTATACGTTTGTGTTAAGGTGTAAAGTCCGCACTGAACTCTACATTGAAGAGGGTTCAGATTTCATTGTTTGGTTGCATCTCAGAGATGTAAGGTTTATCTTAACCATTAGAAACGTCAAAAAAAAATATATATATTGTTGAAAAATGACATTTTGAATGTCTTCCTGTGGCTGATCAGTTAAAAGCACCTTTCTTAATGCCTAATCATGCATAACTCGTCTCCTTTACAAAATGCAAACCCAAGAAATCCACCCTGATACAGCGTGTTCAGATAAAGCTAGTAACTAAAAACCTTTGTACCAGGCTGTAACCATGTTAATTTCTGCTCTGATAACTGGCATTTTAGTATGGGGTGTGAATGTGACTTCAGGGTCTTTTGCAGCCAGCCTTAAGTGGACACACAAAGAACTGCAGTCACATGGAAATGAGGAGATACCAGACAGTTAAAAGTTCAACATAAAAAAGGACAGTATAAACATATTAAATATTTAAATGTGTTCACTCACGTTGTCAACAGTTTAATTAAGTACACATTTACAGCAGTAATGCCGCAAAGCCAGTCCTCTTGTAATGATGTATGATATGAATCGTGGTGGCTCAATAATCAGGAAACACAAGGAAACCCTTTTTTGAAATCAGTACACTAGTTCATAATTCAAACTCTGAATGAATGTTTTTTGTGCAATTATCTACACTGCAAAAACGTGAATCTTAGCACGTGTTTTTATCAAAACTTTAGTCGAAATGTCAATTTATAATTATTACGCATGCATGATTTAATAATATAGGATAAGATAAGAGCTGAGTTTTTGCAGTCTACCGCATCATGACTATTAAAGGGTAAGACAGACTTTTTTGACTGGGGTGGCCCAACCCGGGCATTGACTTATGCAGTGGTGGCCTAAAGTGTGATGTGCACTGAAACACACACAAATATAAATGATTTACCCTTTCTAACTTCACCAATCATATTTACTTTAGAATACAACAACAACAATTCTGACGACAGAACGAATCGCCCATCTGGGGCAAATAAAGTTGAGATTGAGTTGATTAGCTTAATTTTTGAATGACACACAAAAAGATTTAAAGTACTCAAAAATCTGAACGCAAACTCCTCCTTAGTTTGAGGTAAGAGTTCATTTATTTCCTATGCCCCTGTCTTATGAAAGAGATATTGATATGTAAAGAGAAGAACTAGCAGCCTTTCAAAAAAATACATAATAGTTGGTTTTAGTCCCGCCTCTGACAGGGCAAATAGCCAATCACAGTTTAGGATTTTTGGGGTGACACCTGGGATCAAAAATCAGATCTCTAGGAAGGGAGGGGGTGGGGGTGGGGTGCCTGCCACCCCTGTCCACCCCTCTGGACACAGGCCTGCTTGCAAATTATTATTTAAATCCCAGATTTAACTGTCATTTTTTCATCTCACTCCCTTTTTATAACCAGAGGAGCATCACACACAAATGATGTTCAGTCCATACTTTCCCCTCGATTACACTCTGTCATTGAGAGATATGATTCTCACACACACCAAATCACACAAACAGGACCTGTGGATATGCGTTAATGGAGAGATGTCAGAGTGGGGCTGCTACACAGGGAGCAGCACACCGAAGCTGTTGGGGTTGGTGCCTTGCTCACAGGCATCTCGGAGGTCGTCAGGAAGTACCCTGGCACCTTTCCAGCTACCAGACCGACTTGGTCCGCACTGTTTGGCCCAAATATTCACACACAAACAACACTGAAACAACATGATGGCACGATAGTGAGATTTCTGGTTTATATATTGAAGCTCTATTGGAATATGGACAGAGATGTCAATTTTATTGGTCAACTTTCAAAACCTTTAAACCTCTGCTGATTAAAAAAGGCCCCGTGCCATGACTGCCATCCTTTGAAACCCAAAGCAACACACCAGAGACACACATGTACACACATGTATACACACATGCAGAGTGACCCAGATCTTTCACACTGGCCATGCCTGCTGCTGAGCTTGCACATATATTCAGTGGTCATGCTTCAGATAACCCGTTCACAGAGTCAGGCTACACTGCACAGAGAAGAATAAAGAGGGAATGGTCACGTCCGATCAACAACAGCAGGGCATTTCTCTTTGTGAGCTCTGTAACATTGGAAATGGTTTTCATAATGTCAGTGGGTAGAGAGAAGACTCTCGACTTTTAATACTGCATGGTGTCAATCAAACTGAAACTCAGAAATCCAGCCATTCATTTCTCCTATACTAAGATGACCTCGTCAGGTTTGACATGGCAGCTCACTCAAAGGCTTCAGTCAGGTCCTTGATCTGACCACAACTATGCCTTGTTGACATCTTTGACTTCCTCATCTGCCATCAACTAACTCCCCCATGTATCCCTCCCTTCCACATCCCACCCTCTGTTCCTTCTTCACCTCCTCTCCTCATTCCTCCCTTTCTCTAATCTTCTATGTTTTATTCAGTTGAGTTTGTCACAGAGCCAGCTCTGGGAGTATTACCAGAGGTGGTCAGGACATTTTGACCTTGTGTATTGATGCAGACTGTGTTGGAGGCAGATGGGCCTCGTTTAGCGATTCTTAAAACTTTTAGTAACCAGAGGCTTTGGATGAAGTCATCACACGTGGTAGTGAAGTAAAAACATCTTGTTCAGCTGAAGAAATTGGTTTTTGATTTCCACATCAAAGTAAACATGCAATTGGTCATTCACACACTGATATTCACAGACAAATGTCATTTAAGACCAACAACCTGAACCCCACTGTGACATCGACTCAGGCAGCCCGTCTTGTTCTTTTTTTTGCCCCTTGTGTAGAGAAAAATGATTTCTTAACTCACCTCAAACTTGTCCAGCCCGGTGCTTCCTGCGTTGGCTACAAAAATGCCTGAATTATGTGAGAAAGTGAGACCTTCTGGCCTCCGATGGAAAGCAGTCCGCTCAGCCTCTCCACAGTCCATGTAGAGACGCACCTCGTCGTGCTCCACCACCACCTGAAACACAAACCAAATTGTTCATTTCTCACAGTTTTCCCTGTTTAATGGTTAAAATGTATTTTTATCATTGTAACTGTACATTAACTCACAAAAAAAAACATGTTCCTTCCTGAATGAAAGAAAACATATTTGCAGTCCTTTGTATGTCAGGGTCAACTTCTGTAGGAAGGATGCATGCCGATCTTCTGCTACGGCTTGTGCATTTATAATGCTGGTTATTCAGCTAAATCAAGATGTAGCGCTCTAGCACCAGTCTCTCAAACCAAAACAAAGCTATCCCTTTAGCGCACCACTTCCTCTCCTCCCACAGCCGTTTCTACGACTGATCTGCATTCAGATACGCAGCCCAAAGTGGATTTAGTTCTTACATTTGAAGTATTTTATACCGAAAATAAGTATATTCATCAGTTAGGAAAGTCTGTTTGTTCTCCTTAAATTATAATATTGCACAGAACGTCATTATGCCTCTCAACACTGTCCCTAAGTGGACAGGCCGTCTCTCTTTCATACACAAGCTGAAAAGAAGCGCTGTCCTGTCAGTGGGAACAAAATGCTGAGCTAGTTAGGACATGTTTGACATCTGCAATGTAAGTGTTTAAAATGTCCCATATTATACCTTTAATTATCAACACCATTTTCAGGGTGCACACTGATGCAAAGTGCTGTATTTGTTTTGTTGTTACACTAAAGCAGAAAGCACGCAGGTTGCCATGTCACAGAGACTGTAGCTTCAGCGTTTATCCAGCTCTACATCGGTCTTGAAACCTTTTTTGCGTTCTAACCTCTATCCATTTTTCAAAAGCATCTCCAATATTGATCCTATTTTGAGCACGTTTCTGCTTGTGGAGCATGTTGCGGTGCCTTAAAACGCTCACCGTGAACCTTGTCCACTGGTTGGTCATATCTGGGACGCTGAAGGCGGCAGCTTTGTGGCTGTGGGACGCGTCCTCTGTGTCCGTGTAGTACAGTAAGATGCTCTGCAGGCCTCCATGCACAGGAGTGAGGGCCAAACCCAGCTCCACCACCTTCTGACGGGCATCTGTGATGGCAAAGAGCACTCCTCCTCTCTGATTGTCGGGACGCATCTGGAGGGAGAGCAGAACACATCACACATCAAAACAGCTACTTGTTGTTGATTATAGGTCATTTCATTTATGTTGATTATATTGAAATGTCAGTTGAATTTAAAGTACAATCATACTGTCCTGTAGATAGATAGCTGGATGGATATGGATAGATAGAATCATTTTTTGATCCAGAGGTAAATTAAGGCGACCAATAGAAGCCTTGACCCGATCAAAAATGTAAAGGATCTTATGCAGTGTCTGTATTGAGGTTGTGCACATTTAAACATGAATGCAATCGACCGTTTGTCAAGCCCCGCCCTCCTAGGTTACTGTTACTAGGTTAGACAAAATCTCGATAAACTGCTCTCTTTGTTAATGGATTAATGATTAATAAAGTTACATTTTTAATTTACTGTGCCCACCTCTGCAGGTAAATACTAAATATAAGACCGGGACACAGAGTTTTGTTTTATCATTATGTTGCACAAGGGGGCGACGCGACACGACCTTAGTTGACTTTAGATACTTAAGGTTAAACTTTGTGTAGTTTTATAGTGGATGGTATGAATATATTCAAATTAGATAGTGACTCCTAGCAGCTGCATTTTAATTCATGCTGACTCCTCAAAAAAAAAAAAACAGATTGAGAGCATGAAGGTGGTTTTAAAGGTCATAACGTTAATTTTTCTGGTGTTACCGTGACGATGATAGCAAAGTCCCTGTAGAATGACCCCGGCACGAAGGTCTTGGTGAGCCGGCCGATGTTGGCATCAGGCCCGAAGCTGTAGGCCGGAAAGCCCTCAAAGCCCGGACTGAAGGCGACAGAGGGAGGGAGGGGGACGCCGATTAACTCCATCAGGTCCAGATGACTTCCTGAGCCTCGGTCTGACAGAGACACAGAGATAATGTACAAATGATTGCATGCAAAGAAAAAGGAAGTTGAAGGTAGCAACCAGCTTAAAGAGACGGCCCCTTCTATGTGTCTTTGACGTGATTTGTGTGCTCGTATCTGTAGTTATTCTAATTTGACTTTTCCATAGACTTGACTACAGGTTGGATACACATTGTATTGTCTCTGTCCCGGTTGAAAGGTCCCTGTTTTAAAGACTTGTCAATCACAGGTATCTCACATTTCATAACATCATTTACAAATCATAGAAGTAGACCTGAAATTAGCCGTTAAGAGCATAATACAGTAGGAAGAAAACTCCAGAAAGTTTCCTGAAAGTGTGACGTATTTTAGCGTGTGCTGAATGCGCCCTCTCATGGCCATAAGAAAAAATGCAGCTTCGCACATGTGCATTTGCCTCACTTTAGAGCCGAATGATGCGTCCACTTCTCATACACACGCTAGGATTGATCCATACATTAGTTTATCGTTAATATCAGACTTTATGTTTTTAGAGTACTAAAGTCTGTGTAAAGCAAAATCAGAAACTTAACACATTATACATGTTGGAAAGAAGTTGTTGTAAAAACCTAAAAAGACTCCAAACTATGTTTGACTGAATTATTTTAACTGTAAGAAATGTTTTCATCCCTTTTAGTTTCAAATTCTTTTGGTGGTCGGGTCACATAGGAGGGTCGGTGATGCACTGGGGTTCTTTAGCAAATTCCCTCCCCCCTGGTGCTACCACAATAAATAAAAAAAACACTGAAGACTTTAGCATCTTCAGTTCTCCCGCTCGATTGTGAGTTACTAAAGTTTCAACATTAACCTACAGTCTGCAGTTTTGGTAGATAGCTGTGTCTTGATTCTGCAAGTGCATCTTCCCTCCCTGCCAGAATTTGAAGAATTTTAACTGTTTTTGACATTTTCTGAGTGTGGGTTTCAGCACACTCACAGCATCCCGGAGCAGAGATTACTGCTCAATCTTTTATGATTTTTAAACTTATTTTTGTATACACACAGCAGGAAGTTGGTGGCTGTGGCCCAGCTGTTAGAGTTGGTTGTCTCTTAACTGGAAGGTTGTGGGTTCAATGCCCAGTTCCTGCAGCCACATGTTCAATGTGTCCTTGGGCAAGACACTAAACTCCAAAGTTGCTCCCATTGAATGTACATGCTCAAGTCAATTTACCATTTTCCATCATCTCTCTCCTTAGACCAAGAGGTCTGCTGAACTCTTGCAGAAAAAAGTCTGCACACAAGACTATAGTGTCAACAATTTTGTCATTGCTTCCAATGAAACAGGAGACTTGGTTCTTGTGATCCTGAGATGACTTCACTGAAACATCCACCTGTAAGTGGAGTCATCTCAGGGCCATGAGAACTTCAAATGATTGCATTAAACATAGTGTATATATGAAGCGGGTATAGCATCTGGTTACAAAATGAGGCTAAAGTGGAAATGCTGAATTATTTCAAAAGGCCAGAAGGGGGCGACTGCGTAATGTTGCAAAAAGAAGTCAGACTTTTGAGAATCAGTGGGTAAAAAGAGCATTTTTCTCCTGGTGAGTTTTAACGTCTACTTTAAAAAAAAAAAAAAGTTCTTCTGAACTCTTGCAGGAAAAGGGTAATGTTTTAAACAATGTTCTCATTGCTTGTTATGCAATAAAACTGGAGATTTGGTTCTCTTGATACTGACATTACTTCACTGAATCATCCACTGGTAAGTGACCCTTACATCCGAGGTGCACAGAAGCTGTTCTGGCAGAAGTCTGAGGATGTGCGCTGCTGGTTCAAAGAACACATTAAAGAGAGGAAGAGATGTACCAGAATCATCTTGACATGGTTTTAATTTGACCTGATGAGATGTATGCTTGACTGCTCTGCCTCGCATGGACATAATCCTCCCAACGAGAAACGCACACACAATGGCTGGTAATTGGAGTATTAAGTGTGTATGTGAAGGGATTGTTTCACATTCCCCCTGTCTCCCCCTGCCATGGAGCCCGTCTCCTGTAGCGACAAACTCTCACCTCAGCATTCCTGCAAGGCTCTCGGCTGCTATCTATATCTCTGTCTCGCACATCCAACCCACGTGAACACACATAAACCCCAGACCAGACCAGGCAGTCCAACGTCTGGGGGTCTCTAATTCATCAGTCTGACCAACTGGAAACATACCTTATTATTAGAGGGTTTAAGATGAGTTTGTGTGAGGGCTTCCTTCTGTGCACCACTCCCACCTCTCTGCACATTTATTGTTGCAAATACAGGTGGTGAGGTGAACAAAACACACTCACACACACACAAACAAACACACCAGAGCCCTCACACCTCCAGTCCAGATGTGAAGTCATTAGTGCTCTGTAATGACTGAACAGAGCAGACGATCACTGGGAGACAACTCAGCCAAACATGCTGACTGAGGAGTTTTACCTTTTTATTCCCGCACTGTGAGATGCTCATTTTAAATACAGGCTTGACTAAAGTCTGGTCCTTCAGTGAGTTGGTAGAAGAGGACTGATGGTGATAACATGTCTTGGATGGCAGCCACACAAATATTAAGAAGGACAATGTTCACACTTTAACTGCTGTCAGTGGCGATTCTATAGTCTGTTGGGGCAAGGCAAAATATAAATTGGGTGCTGTCAGATGGGGCCCCCTAAGGGAGGTTTCCTACTGTCATTGCAAAATTTGGACATTTTGGGTTGTTTCTTTGGTTCAAAGTTTGTCAGCCTCTGGGGCCCCCCAATGGTCTGGGGCCCCAAGAAGTTGCCTGCCTTGCCTGTTGACAAGCAGCGCCCCTGACTGCTGTAAAGGGTTCACATGGTCCAGCTAGGCAAAAAAAAAGAAGTGGGAAGAAATGTTTAATAATTGGGTTTGAAGGAAGTGGCTAAAAACTAGAAATCTTAAGCACATTTGTGAAGAGTCAGTTCACTGTTTGAAAATAGACTCAATGAAAATCGTGTTAAAGGAGCAATATATATATAAGATATCTACTTAATGACATCATAAAATGACCTTACTATATGATCAGACATTAAAGAAACATGTTATGTTGAAGTGCTGGCTTCTCTGTCAACAATGCAGCAGCCAGTATGTCCTAAGTTTTCATTGCATGGGGTGCCTTAAAACCTCCTACCTTCTCTGGTTAAAACAAATACAGACCCTTGTTGTAGTACTTGAAACCGGTCATGCTCTCAAGACCGGTCTCGAGATCACTTTTTGAAGGTCTGTCTTGTCTCGCCAGCATTTAAATATAACGTGTTTCCTTAATGTCTGATGATTTAGTAAGGTAATTTTAGCAATTTATTCAGTAAATATCTGACATAGTGGTTCAGATAGAAGTGATTGTACCCGACCTAAAAAGCCTCTGCATGTTTCTAATAAGCTCCATGAGCAGAAACGTGCTCAAACTAGGATCAATATTGGAGATGCTTTTTGAAAAATGGAGAGAGGTTAAAACACAGAAAGGTTTACAGACCCATACAGAGCTGGATAAACACTGAAGCTTCAGTGTCCAAGACATGGCAACGTATATGCGCATCGACTCTAGAGAGGAGAAGGCGGGGGGGAGAAGCTCTCTCCAATGTTTTGAATTTGGACTGCAGTACCCATTTTAAACACTAGGTGTCAGAGTTACATATTGCTGTTTTAACTTTTAACTAAAGAAGTCACATGCATTTATATAATACTCCCAAGTAAAATGAAGCTGAATAGAGGAATAGTCTAAAGTTGTATTCATGGAAACCTTGGGAATAAAATAATGTAAAACTAAACGCCTCAGCGCCTAGGGTAGTTTAGACACACACACACACACACACACACACACACACACACACACACACACACACACACACACACACACACACACACACACACACACACACACACACACACTGGGTTGAAAAATCCCATTATGACATCATGTGATATGGCTTCAAGAGTATACTTGATCCTCATTTTCATTGCGATGGAAAATGTCCTTTAACACATGTCTTATGCAAACATATGTTCTTACAAAGAACTTCCTGATGATCCTCCTAATTAAAGATGACTACAAAACTCTATAGATTCATTAGGCTGACTCAAAAAGAAAATAAACGTGGTGGTGAGTCAGGCTTCAAACCAGTCAGCCAATGGAATAATATTTCAGTCATTTAGTAATTGCTTTTTTGTCTTTGGTCAATCAACAAAACTAACAGAGTGCCTTTCATTCATTCACTCCTCCCTGTTGCACGACATTTTTCCACTCTAACCCCGTCCTCCTGAACCTAATCCTCCCCATGTTGGCCACACATGGATGCTTGATCAGCTTACAAATCCAAATCTAACAACCCCCAATGAGTTGCCACGAGAAAAAGAAAACACACTTTTAAATCTCGACCCCGCTGTGCCACACAAAAGCTTCCAGCTGCTTAGCTCAGTCTCTCTTTGACTTTGGCTCTGAATTATTTAATGCTGAGCACATCAGAGTGTCACAAGCAATTCTTAGGATACACAGGGACATGATAGCAGAACTTTTACATCAGCTGTGATTAAATGATTAGCTTGGGTAGATAATAGACTTAACTACAAATCAACCAAATGTTGTGCACAATATCCGCCCGCCACTGGTTGACGGTGTGGCTCCGGTCATTGGCTACTGCCATCTGACCTAATGCTAAACTATGACCCTGAAGTGAACAATAATGGTATCCCGCTCTCAACTATGGCGAACCAAACTCTGGTGCACTGCGAACCGAGACCCCCATTTTCAAACGGTCCAGAGTTTGGTTCTTTGGTCAGCATCAGAGCTCATTTGAGCATTCACTCCACCCCAAACCAAACGAGCTATCCAACAGACCAACAGACCAAACAGCTCTGGTGTGAATGCAACCTTAGAGGAATCAATCTGTTTGACAACCAGATCAATAAAAATGTTCACATGAGCTTTAAAAATAATTCAAATCACTGAGCAGAACATATAGGAGTGGCTCTTAATGAGGACTTCACAACA